TTAAAGCCAGCGAGGGTGAGATGAAGGAGGCATCCCATCACCTGGCAGCAGCATCCAGCCTCCAGAAGTAAACAAACACTGCATTCCTCACTTTATCTAAGGTTTAATGCCTCCTTTTCACACTGAACCGCTGTTTGACGTGGCCTAAGGCACTTGTGTAACTTTCACGCACTTATATACACAACTATTAGCGGCGAACAACCTTTAAAAAAGCGGAAGTTTTAAGAAATAATTGGTGATCCGATCGAGTGAAGTCACCACAGGTTGTAACCATGGACACTGCGCATGCGCGCTGATTTGAAAGGTTCGCGCCATGTTGTTGTTCGGTTCGTCTCTTTTGGTACTGACTTCAGATTGTTTTTAACTATAACTTTATATTGGTGAAATATTTATATATTCTATTTTTTCATTCGTAACCTGTTAATTAATATATAATGAGGGGAGAAACAGTTTAGAAGAAAACTATGTAAGATAACCACCAATAATTGTACAGAAATCTTCAAGCATTCGGACGTTAACTACACATTCTGTACGAGTGAAGGAGTTGCCACCTACTGAGTGCCACTAAAAATATATTTTTATTGTATTTATTTTTGTTTCTAGATGTTTAATTGTTTTAGTAAGGAAAACGCTCAAGAATTTTTTAATAATGTATAATTGTGTACGTATAAAGGATACGTTAAACCTAAGATATTACATATATTTGCTATTTTAATTACTGCAATGAAATTTACAATTTTATTGCAGATGTCAATAATATTTGTAATTGTTATAATCGGAATTTATAAATAGCCCTTTGTAAATTGAGCCGTCAAATGGATATAAAACTATTTAAAAGCACATGCAGCTCACCTCACCAGGTGAATATCAGTGCATTATTAAACCATTGCACGTACGCAGGTTCAATCCCTTGTCATATGTCTATCACCGCAATTTGCATGACATAAAACTACAGAACCTCTTAAGAAAAAAAAACCCTCACTGCAGGCAAATGAAATTCTTGCTATAAATCCTTTTGATCACGATGAAGAGGAGTAATATCAAATGAGTATAAATACTGCCAAAACGGCTAAGTCAGCGCGCGGCCAGAGGCAGCTATGTGAGGTAGTAGTGAGCATTGTTTCCCCGGGCGAGGACACGTGCCATCACCCTCCTCTCGCCTCTTAGACGCGTGTCTGTAACTCTATAAACACAATACTTAAATTGCTGCCCATCCCAATTAAATTTACGGGCTCGCCATAGCCCGTGCTACATGGACACTTCGTTCTGAATAGCTAATTCTAAAACAACAACAACAACCCAATTAAATTGTCTAAATTGAGTTATAAGGGAACTAATTAGGGGAAAGTGCCGAGTCATTACGACTATATAGCAATTGAAAAGAGGGTCAGGATAAGGATTTGGGATGGGACGGGGAAGGGGAATGGTGCCCAACCACTTGGACGGTCGGGGATTGAACGCCGACCTGCATGAAACGAGTGGAAACTACGCCGTACTTTGACAGGCTAGCGATAAGAGTGGGTGATGCGATTACCCTCACACGTGGAACTTGACAATTATTTTGTTTGTATCCATGTTAATTAAGAACATCAACTAGCCGCACTAGCTAGTTAGCTTTTGATAGATTGATTGGTTTGTTATGCACCCCCTTGAAAAATTTAGGTCTGTCATGTTTGGTTTCCAGTCGTGTTAGTCCTGCAACCCATCCGTAGATCAAGTCCATTCTATCCAGCGGTCGACCCCATGAAAGATGCATTCATCAATTTTTATTTGTAGTACGTGGGTGAAGCATTTCAATCCGTCCTCGACTCCAATCCATTACATTCAGCGGTCGAACCCACAGACGTATTCATAAATTTTAACATGCTGTTCATTCAAAACGGGAATTTTCTCAAGTATAAATTAATATTATAATATATTGGCATATTGTGTATATATAGGATAGGTTAGGTCAGGTGTTTAGGTTCTGTTGGCGATTATATGTACTTGTAGTGCGTGGGTGAAGCATTTACAGCGTTGCGGTTCGAACAAAATTCGTCAGTGAAGCACTTGTTCCTGCAGCCCGTCCTCCAAACAAAGATCCAAAAGTGATTCCATGCACCCGCCAAACCCCCTGTTTATGAATGAAAAGCGGTTTACACACGACTCACAACTGCTGACGTTCGAACATATCCGGAACAAGTGCTTCACTGACGAATTTTGTTCGAATCGCAATACGCTATAAATGCTTCACCCACGTACTACAAATACAAATAATCGCCAACAGAACCTAAACACCTGACCTAATCTAACCTATGCCTATATATACACAATATGCCAATATATTATAATATTAATTTATACTTGAGAAAATTCCCGTTTTGAATGAACAGCATGTTAAAATTTATGAATGCGTCTGTGGGGTTGACCGCTGGATGTAATGGACTTGAGTCGAGGACGGGTTGTGTTCCTGATATGTTCGAACGTCAACAGTTGTGCGTCGTGTGTAAACCGCTTTTCATTCATAAACAGGGGGTTTGGTGGGTGCATGGAATCACTTTTGGATCTTTGTTTGGAGGACGGGCTGCATAAACAGCCCGTCCTCCGAACAAAGACTCAAAAATGATTCCATGCACCCACCAAACCCCATGTTTATGTTGACCAGACCACACACTAGAAGGTGAAGGGACGACGACGTTTCGGTTCGTCCTGGACCATTCTCAAGTCGATTGTGGATAATCGACTTGAAAATGGTCCAGGACGGACCGAAACGTCGTCGTCCCTTCACCTTCTAGTGTGTGGTCTGGTCAACATACTTTACCCACGCTATTGTGACTCGTCGCCTGCCCATGTTTATGAATGAAAAAGGGTTTACACACGACTCACAACTGATTTCGTTCGAACACTTCCGGATCAAGTGCTTCACTGACTAATTTTGTTCGAACCACAACGCCTAACCTAACCTATGCCTATATATGCACAATATGCTAATATATTATAATATTAATTTATATTTGAGAAAATTCCCATTTTGAATTAACAGCATGTTAAAAGTTGATGAATGCGTCTGTGGGGTCGACCGCTGGATGTAATGGACTGGAGTCGAGGACGGATTGAAATGCTTCACCCACGTGCTACAAATACAAATAATCGCCAACAGAACCTGAACACCTAATCTAACCAGTGCCTAAATATGTATAATATGCTAATATATAAAAAATATTATTTTAAATGATAAAAGTTCTGTTTTGAATGAACAGAATGTTAAAATTGATGAATGCATCTTTGGGGTCGACCGCTGGATAGAATGGACTTAGTCTGAGGACGAGTTGCAGGACTAACACGACTGTAAAACAAACATGACAGACCGTCTAAACTTTTCAAGGGGTGCATAATGGCTTCAGGCCTTAAGCCCATTATGTGCCACTGCAGCGACTCCAAAAAATGGGAATCCTATGGCTTTTGAAGTCCTCCTATATGTGCAGTTTAAACTGCATCGCCGTCCTCCCATCTATAGCTAAAGCAGATAGGATTTTCTATGGATTTATTACTTTTTAAGTGATGAAATCTTTATAAGTTTGAGACTGTATCCTCTTACATGTGCCACAAGTATAGAATCTCGTGAGGTGGTTGGGGTTTACATTGTAAGTTTCACTGAGGCTAAACACTGCCTAGGGATGTAAAAGACACATCTAATACTTTATGTAGGGCGTACGTAAATCTGTGTATCTTTGTATTTACGTATGTAGGTTAGCTTAGCATTTTAAAAGCACCGAATCACCTTCTGTAGTTGAGTGTTCAATAAACCCTTGAACTGTATGTTTAACACTTCTCTAACCCTGTCCATGGAGGACAGAAGAAAATGTATATATTCTGGTTAGCATTGTAAATGTGTGGCCACGTCTGTGGTAGAAAAAAAAAAAAAAAAAAAAAAAAAAAAAAAAAACTGCCTAGGGAATATAAATGTTACTGGCCAGTTTTCTCAGCCCCCCCCCCCACCAAAAAAAAAAAAAAAATTATAGCCCGGCAAGCCCACTATGGGCTCACCATAGCCTGTGCTACCTGGAACTTTTTGTTCTCAGTAGTTGAATCTTAAACAACATTTTCTCAGTACTTGTTCATATCCTCATCAATCAACATCCTCCTTAAAATGTTGATCCCCCTGGCGGGCTGGTCTCCAGCCCTGGCCAGGAAGTTTAACAAGGAGTTTATGTGACTTACTACTAGGCTCACTAAAAGCAGAGCAAGAAGGGAATAAGTGTGTCAGAATAACATGCTCAGAAATGAGCTGTTATTCTGCCAGTGGTCAATACATTGAGGTCACACGTGAAAGGTCCCCGAGTTCGATTCCCACAGGACGACACACTTTTGGGCGTGTTTCCTTTCACCTGATGCTGCTGGTCACCTTGCAGTAAATGGGTACCTGGGAGTTAAGCAACTGTTGTGGAATGCATCCTCAGGAATGTCAGAAGTTGGCCTGGGGGTTGGGGGGGGGGCAACCTTGATAAGCCTAACAGGCTTTATGTCTCTGACTAAGGGTAATCAAATGGAGATGGGTAGAGTACTTAGCAATGCTGCCGAGACAAAGCAAATTACAGGCTATTCATGCCTGTGCCACCTCTTGGGTGGCTTAATCTTCTTCACAAAACAAACTCCTTGTGAGGCAACACAGCTAGTCCTTTTGTCTTATCTTACCGCTCTAGGATAAGGCATTATATGTCACATCCATATAGCTCACCTCTAAGACTGAGGTGATAATGTAGCAGAGATACCGTTATATACATAATGATACAGAGGGCGTGATAGCTTATGTAAGTAGTAGGAGCCCCCCCTTTTCCTTTATCATGATTCACATTTTCCGGATTCTCTGCAAAGAGAACTTTACGATTTTCCATCCCCTCTAACCAAAGCTTATTTGGTTAATGGGGTTAACCCACCCATTATCAATTAGTATTAAGTATAACACAAATTTAATAATTTTCCTATGTATACATTGGTGCATTCATATTAAAACATACGTATATATATTATTATTATAATGTGACTTAAAAAAAATAGTTTCACAATCTTTTATTCAATTATCCAGTATCTGAACATTCAGAGGCACCAATCAGTTTGGATAATCATGGTAACAATGTACAATATATTCCAGTAAACATTCTTATAGTTAATTGTTGCTGCCAGCAGCAGCTAGTTTATTGTGCACCGCATGTTCATCCTGTGACGGCAAATATAACAACTTACTGGAGCAAAGGTTGGAAATTTAGACTAGACATTAGAAGTACAGATGCCTCAGACACAATCAGAACACAGTATAACATCAGAATCCCATGGCTTTTCCAACCTTCAACCAAATATATATATAAAATATTGCCAGAACAAAAATGGATGTTTTTAAGAGACAACCGAAGAAGTTCCTGCATGAAATACTAGATCAGCTAGGTTGTTATAGCCACATGGGCTTGCAGGCTGCTGCAAAGAACAGCATTACAGACTCAAGTTATCACCAGAATTGAATTGAATGACTTCTAAAACTGACAACAGGTAAACTATAACAACACCAAAGAAGTGCAATATTAACTCTAGCAGTGGACAATAAGTACCAAGGGAGGTGATTTGGCTTACTGTAAAATGAAGCAAGGCCAGGGATTGGTTGGGGCCTGAACTTGGCCAGCGGTTTATCATAGTTACAGTAGAATGAAGCAAGGCTTCATTCTACAACCAATGAAGCATTGGTTGGGGCCTTAACTTGGCCAGCGGTTTATCATAGTTACAGGACCCTTGGTCCTGTACTTCCTTTATTCATACAATTTGGTACAAGGGCTGAGAGATTTACATTCTCAGTATTAGTCTAGTTTGATCGGATGACTGCTCTGGAGACACTCGGGCACCAATTCTGTAGGCATGCTGTTGCCTCTGTGGCACGGGTGTCCTATGCCAATTGCCTAGCTGCATGTCATGGGAGCTGTTAAGGCATGCAGCGTACAACATTTGAAGGTGGCAGAATAAGAGCTCAAACAATAGTTGATTAAATATGAAAAATGTTTGACAACATAATTTTCCTAACATGTCTATGATATGCAGGTTTTATATAATAGTTTTCTTTCTTATACAATTTTGTTAAAACAAGATCCTGCTGGGCTTGTGAAAAGTTGTAAGGTTGAATTTCAGAATACATATTATATACATACTAAACCCATACAACAGTAACAGCAGAGTTATAAAATGTCACTACTTTCCCGGCTTCTAAAGTGTGAGTCAAGTGTCTATTTCAGCCACATTAAAATCATGTTCGCTTCGAACATTATATGTAAATAACATTTATTTCAATACCTAATACATACAAGATCACAAATTTGTATATACTATATACAGTATTTGGTGTTTAAAAATGCTATACTGTACTGTATTGTCTTTGTTAAAAAGTTTGCTTTTCAAAGCTGTGCACAAATGAGATTATTAGTAAACCTGAGATCCTCATCAGTACTCTTTGTAAATATGACTACAGAACTGACACTAATGTTACATAATACCTTAAGAAAATAGTTACGGTGCAGTATTCAACAGAAAAAGCTTCGTCCGAAAGGTTTAACTAAATCATTCACCAAAGCCGCCCTTTTATTACAGCTTTTCACAATTAAATTAAGCATTTCTAAATTAAGCATAATTAAGCAATTAAAGCTATGCATGTTAGTGGCTTTACAAGAATGTAAAAACATCAATGTTATGTACTCTCATAAACCCAGTGTACCTTCTTGTACATATATAAATAAAATTAAATAAAATAAAATTTCAAGAATTGGTTTTTCCATCTTTTAGCCTTTTCAGTTCCATAATCTTACAGGAGAGACAGAGATTGTCTCTGTGATAAAAAGAGCAAGTGTGCGGGACAAACCTGCCATAATTTGAATCAAACTCGTAAGATTTCACGCCAGGAACATCTTAATATGTTGCAATTATTCCCTTCAATTGAAGTAATTCTCCTTTTTATCTGACAATACAGCAGTAATTGTTAAGATCACATGCATCATGACAAAGGCTACTCATACAAGAAATTGCCACTGAACTATAATTACAAATTGAAATACATTTCAGATTATTTTTTAATATTTGCATTTTGATCTAGCCAAGGGCTGTCAGGAGTGAGGGAATTGAGAGCTAGAGAATTCCACTCAGATGCTTCCCAAGGTAAAATTGATTGTGTCCACAGGACAGGATCATGAACAGTGAGTGTAGGTTGACATACTGGCACTGGCAACACGGGAAAACCTATCAAATATTCCTATAGTGTCCTATTGGTGCTGTGAAGACACGCGAATATTTAATCCAGTCCAGAAGAAGACCCAGATCGCCAACCCATGCTTTATATGAACAAATTCACAAGGGCCGTGATGAGGGTTCGAATCCCTCTTCACGGAGGGATGATATCCCGAATTGTTCATTTGATGCATCACACTATTGTGATTTCTGATGTGCATGCTTTACATATTAATATAATTTCTTATTACCACCACTATACAGTAGAGTATATAGTAATTACTGTATGTGAATCCAAATTCTATCCATGTATACTTGTCCCTACAGTTATTTTTTGCTCATGTGTGACTGTTTCACCTCGTAATTTAAAATTCACTGCAAATTCTGAGTTAGCTTCAAGGCTTTGGAATGTTTTGCAAGAAATCTCAGACAAGTATACTTTCACAAATGATTGAACCTTCTTGTGTGTACATATATGTATATGCATATACTGTATGTATATATACATATATGCAGTATATATACAGTATATAGTGTGTGGTGGGGAAGCTTTGATCATTTAAATCTATATAACAATCTACTGCCCTTTGGATTTTAGCCGAAAGATGTACTGTATTTGTTTGCTCTGACCCTTTATAATTATGCAATGAATTAGCTTCAATCATTATTTCATTTAACCCATTCCACTTATTGACAACCGGAGTTAACAACTAGTTGGCCCCACGCAGTTAACAAAAACTTCATTGGTGGTCCCTTGTGATGCCAAAGTTATTCTGGGCTGGATTGAATGTTCTCCAGTGTTTCCACAGCACCAAGTATGATCCTGCAGGGATGGTTGAAAGGTTTCCTGAAGTGTCAGAGTCAGGACATAAATCTGCAGTAACTGTTCATGGTTCTGTCCTACGAGCACAGTGGATCTTACCAAAGGAATCAATTGAGTGACCACCACAGCCAGGAGCTTGTTGTATTACAGTACAGTACCTCAAATTCTAACATTCTAGGAGACACATTGTAATTTTAGACTCGGCTACGTGGAACGAAAGTTCCAAGCAGCATGGGCTATGGTGAGCTGGTAGTGGACTTGATTAGGAGACACAGGAGCTTGGCTAGCTTTGAACTCTGGTTTCTCCTCACATGAGGAGAATAGAACATACACAAGGTTCACTAAATGTATGGAACAAATTCCTGCCTATAATACAAATATATTAATTATCATAAATGTAAAAATATATGATAATAATTTAGTAAGAAATAACATGGAATGGAAAATGTAAAATAAATTGTACTGGAATTATGAATAAAAATGAACAAAAATGGAAAATACCCAGCCAGTGTCAGGCGATAACTAAACATTGCTAAACCACAATATAGAATTGTGAAGGTATTTGACCGTAATACTTTTTGATTTACTGCACATTAAAAATAATTTTGTAGTCATATGTTTATATAATTCTGGTAAATTTGAAGGTAACTGTACTGGGATGTGCATGTGTGTGTGCTCTCTTTATCAGCACTGAAAAGGTTAAATAGATGAAATATTAAACTTTAAAAGTATATATATTACTATGTTCTGTATGTAGAAATTTGTATGCATCTTTGATTTTTGTTATTAAAAACTATTAATCTGTCCAATACCATGAGATAACACCCATCACCAACACTTACGATAGCTAATTAAATATTTTGAATACTGATTTGACTTTTACATATGTGAAAAGAGCAGCAATGCCTACACTGTGAAATATAAGAATTAAAAAAATAAAGTACGGTATAAAGAATGAAAATCAGAAAATAGGCACCTAAACAAATTATGGAATGTGACCTAATGAACACGGTTAAAGTAATTATATACAGTACTGTGGTTTAAGGAGGAGTACTGCTCTATAACATTGTATAGTGTCTACTGCATTATATTAATCTGTGATAAAACTGTCATTCCTTAAATCTTTCTGTATACTGAACTTGCTACTTGAATTAAGACACTGCATGTATTAAATTCTTGAATTAAGCTGTTCAACCTGATTCAAAGTGACTGCATAACAACGGCTGTGCAACTTTCACTGTGTTGCCATGAACTACTAACAATACAGGCATTTTAGCTGAAAGTGAAGAATATTACCCAATGGCATTCATTACTTTGGAGCATTTATTATAAAATGCTAAAATTATATAAAAATCATTATTACGATATTTACATTTTTTTTATAAAGTGCCTAAACTCTTAGTTAAAAAGACACTGCACTGCCTTGGGGAATGGTCAAATGTACTAAAAATAGATAACGTCTGTCGTTCCGTTAACACTTTATAGATTTCTGACTAGACAGCCCCTGAAGACTTGTTGAGTTGGTCCACTGTATTTATTATCCAGTCTACATATGGGCGTTCCTCTGGATTAACTTTTAAAATACTCTCGATCAGCTCCAGAAGATCCTGCAACATACATTTTGATGAATTAACATGTTTGCACTTTTCCATTTGTAAAGGGTAAAGTTATACATTACAGCCGGACTGAGAAATTAGTCAGTGATGAACAAGGTGGGTTCCATGATGAAAGGGGGTATGTAGATCAGATATTTACAATGAGACTGCATGTAAAGAGTAGGCTAGAAATATTTTAAGGAGTGCATGATCTATATATATATATATAGAGGTGGATGAAGCATGTGACAAAGTTAATAGAGAAGGAATTTGGAAAGTAATGAGCATGTAAGGAGTTTGTAATGTTCTATTACATGTGAAAATCTATTAAGTAGTGTAGTGCATGTATGAGAAATGATGGTGTAACAAGTGACTTTTCATATTAATGTAAGTGCATGCTGTAGTTTTGTTCGTTCAGGGGCAACAAGACAATTTAATATAGAAATTAACAGACTAATTTCTATCACTGGTAAGATAAATCGAATGAATCTCTTCAAATATTGCTTACCACTGTACTTTGTCAATGTATTAACCATTTTAAATAAAGAAGCCAGTTCTACAAACCTGTGAGAAGGGGTGAGTCTCAGGGAATTTGAAGGTTCCACTAACCACTGCTAAGGCTACACTGTCCCCTCTCTCATATACTGCGTCAAATGGAGATTTGAAGAAGCATAATGCATACAGCAAACACCCTAATGACTGCAACAAAGAATATAGATACATATTGATACTTAGTAAATCTCTATAATGTGTATGTTAATACACATAATGTGTAAATCTCTATAATGTGTATGCTGCACAGAATTATAGCATACACACTGATTTACATACAAATTTTAATGGATTGTGTGAAAGAATTTACAAATCTGACCTGTACTGTATTATTTTTAGTACATCACTATGAGAAGATACATTTAATGATACAGTAAGTGATAATGCCAAAATCTACGACATACTGAATATATAAAAGGGGGATAAGGAATCAGCCCATCCTCTCGAGCGTTCACAAGGTCATTAAACTAATGCACTAAATTGCCCAAACCAAACTTAACCAACAACCCATGAATAGAAGGTACAACATGGTATAAGAATTTCAACCAGAAATTCTACTGAATTTACTTGGATCCTGCAGTCTGTCCGAGACACAAACCAGGATTTTACACAATTCCCCCATGCACTTGAACTATGTCAATAGGCTGTTCTACCTCCTTGCCCTTACTTCAATGCACACAAAAATCACAATAGCATGATGCATCAAATGAACAAATCCACAAGGGCCGTGACGAGGATTCGAACCTGCGTCCAAGAGCATCCCAGCATCCTCGTCACGGCCCTTGTGGATTTGTTCATTTGATGCATCACGCTATTGTGATTTCTGTGTGTAATAGTTGTCAAAACACTTGAAAAAGATTATTACAGAAGAGTAAGTAAATTCACATACTCTAGCAGTATTGTATACGAGCTGAAATGTCAGAAGCTGGAAATTACTAAATACGTTTTCCGATGTAAAAAATACTAAAAGGTAGAATATAAATAAAATACAAGAAATCAAAACTGAACAACGGAATTGAAAGTAAACAAATACACAACATAAAAATAGGGTAAGTAAAAATAATTTCATGAAGGTTTCAAATCAGATGAAGGATCCACAGGTGAGTATGAATGACAATTGTCACCAGAAAATTGTATAAATGCTGTAAAGTAGTTAGAGACATGTGATATTGGCACCTTAATTGAAACACACTGCAGAGTGAACTCTGATTTTGTTGACACCTTGTATGTCTACATACATTCATACAGACATACACTCAAGGGTTCCTGCAGACATATGCACACGCATACATAATACACATGAGTACAAGACAAAATAATACATGCAAGATGCAAATTAATTTTAAATGTTGTGAGAGCAGCAAGTGTAAGAATCAACTCTAAAGTAAAAATTGAAAGTTAAAGCTGAATTGCAAGTGACCATTTAGTTTTCTTTACTCACAATGAAAATGTAGCAAAGACAAAAAAATTATTATTTACCCAAACATCAGTACGTTCGTCTATATGACAAAACGATTCGACGTTATACAATTCTGGAGGCCTGTAGGGCATGGAACTTCTCTCCGCAGCTTCATCCTGCAGCTTTCGTGCCTCTGAGCTACCATTAATTTCCACTCTTGCTTTGGCCACAGACCCTGGAATGTTATTTAGTTTAGCATAGAGCAGTGTACATTTTGTATAGAATTACATACCATACTGCCCATGAAACTATAATTTTTTTTGTATTTCATCAATAACTATACATATGCTGTACATGTATAATTCTGCATGTACAGTATTGTAATGTAATTAGCTAATTGTATGTACTGTACAGGAAGAGTGCTATGCTTATGTTGTCAAATGCAGTCTTAAAATTAGTGGTAATTTTGGCCCACACAACATGTACAATACTGTATTATACAGTATATATGGCTGTATAATACTGTATTATATATATGGCTGTACAATACTGTATTATATATATGGCTGTACAATACTGTATTCAGAAATTAAGAAGGGGGTTTTAAAGTTATAAAGAGATAGACCTTACACGAAACAAAAAAATATTGCTGTTATTACCACTATTCTCATTTACATGGGGAGAGGAGGGAAGATAAGAGGAAAGACTTCCTCATAAAACTATGAAAACGTAAGAAAAAAGAAATCAAGTTAATAGATGCAATACAATATGTATAAATAAGAAAACAATACATTAAATAAATAGGAAATACTAAAAGAAGGTCATTACAATTAAAATAATATTCAATTTTATATTAGCATCATGGGAACCAAGTACACAGTACATTGCTATACAGTACTGCGATTCCTCAACACTAAGATGTAAATAATCCATGCCCTCCGAACAGATTGTTTCCACTCGGTTCTGTTCAAACTACCTAAATCCATAAGCAGAGGTGTGAGGTCATCCTTCAGGAGAATGTTGGCAGTCTTTATGTCTCGATGAGCCAAGGGGTGAGGCGTGGCAGAATGCATACACTGGGCAGCCTCACATATTTGCCGGAACATGGATAATATGACAACCTAAAAAGGTCAAGAAAACAACTAATATAAGTTAGTACCTTATTCATTAAGTGGAGAGAGAGAGAAAGAGAGATTTCATGATGAGTATAAATACTTTTAACAAACATTTGAAGCTTTTTATATAAAATGGGTTAAATGTGAGTTTAGTAAATAAAGGACCGTTCTTTGAACATATGAGGAAGGATCCGAGAGAAAAAGTGAAGCTTTTAATATGGAATTATTTTCCGAGCAGGAAACTTGGGTGCTCTATATGGCTAGTTCACTGCTGGTCCTATCAGACAGGGTCATGCCAATCTGAGCAGAATGACTTTCTGCACTGACACAACTGAGATCTTTCTAAAAATCTCTTTTGGGTTATAATGTTGCTAGGAAGGCACTAAAGTAAAGCTCATTCCAAATAAGAATGACCACAAATTTAGCTAATATGTTATTAAAGTCTTTCCAAGCTCTACTTGATATCCCAGGTATTGCCAAACAGTGCTCACACTAACCACCAACTCTCAAAAAAAAACTACCAAGCTACAAAAAGGGAGGACTTTATAAGAGATCGTGGGTTATGGCTACAGTTTCTATAGCCCAGTGCAACACAACAGTAAGGATAAGGAATTAATTTTGGCATAAAATTCTGCTCTGAAAACAAAAAAAGAACCAGTGTGTATTAAAAAGTATACTTGTTTGGCTTATATCGGGGGCTCGTAGCCTGGTGGATAGCACGCAGGACTCGTAATTCTGTGGTGCGGGTTCGATTCCCGCACGAGGCAGAAACAAATTTGCAAAAGTTTCTTTCACCCTGAATGCCCCTGTTACCTAGCAGTAAATAGGTACCTGGGAGTTAGTCAGCTGTCACGGGCTGCTTCCTGGGGGTGGAGGCCTGGTCGAGGACCGGGCCGCGGGGACACTAAAAGCCCCGAAATCATCTCAAGATAACCTCTCAAGATACTGTATATCGAGATAACCCTCCTCCCCCCTCCAAGATCGAACTACTGATCCTCCCCAGGATGCAACCCCACAACAAGTTGCCTAACTCCTTGGCACCTATTTACTGCTAGGTGAACTAGGGCATTACGCGATAGAAAACGCACCCGACCATTTCTGTCCCTGCCAAGGATTCAAACACAGAATTCCTGATTATGAGTCTAGAACAAGCCTGACTGTACTAATGGGACCCTTCAAAAATGTTGTCATGGGTGGGTGTTAGCATGGATGCAACCATTTTGTAGCAATTGAGTATAGCAGCCATTTGGGCATTTGCGAGAGCATTTCTTGCAGGTCCTTATGATTCTACCTATGACTTGTTTATGTGGGACGTTTCTGTGATCACTCTGGGTTAGAACGAGCTTTTTTTCCATTGCCTCTAGTATCAGTATAACCCTACAGGACCATTTGAAACTGGACAGGTTTCTGAATCTGTCTAGTAGTTATTTTGTCTTAGGGATCATCCAAGTGAAGAAACTTAGAAAATGACTGATGTGATCAACATACCTCATCTAAGTGTGAACCTGCTTGTTGCCTTCGCATCAGTTCATCATGTAGGGTTCCACGCTATTATCAAAATTCATAAATGATCACATCAGATACTTATTTCGGGTAGGGAACATAAATTTTATAAAAATGAAAGATAAATATTAATACTGTACTATATGAAGAACTAACTTTTTAACAGCTATGTACTAAAATCAAAGATATATCTGAAAATTCACCAGGTCCTATCTAATATATTACTGCAGTTGTTATTAACATGAAAAATAACCAGGTAATGTCTTATATACTACAGTACAGTACTGTGTTTGCTGAAGAACCTCATAGAAATGAGTACAAATAAGGAATTGCTTATGAACAAGGTTGTGTGTCTAATGCTCATTTGGTATTGTTTACCATCTGCGGGCTGATGAATACTCTATAATGAACACAAGTTGATATAAATCATTTCATTATCCTGTACACAATTTTTGCAGTTGGTCTCACTATTACAGTCCTAATTTCTTGAAGCCCGTTTAAGCTGTGCAAACTTTTGTTCTGAACATCTAAATCCATTAAATTTGTACATATAAAATAAATACCCTGTACAGCCATAAATGGTTTAGTGTTCATTAAAATGTTATTTAACAATATCTCAAACTAGTTCAAACTTGTTCATACTGAATTTTACATTTAAAAAGAAGATCATGTGATCAAATACTGAGCAACTTAAATGGAGCTGTAAATAATAGATTATTTTTTTTATTAATCTTGACGAGAAGTGCCAGAAATGCACGTAGGTAACGAGCGAACGTTTTCATCATCACAAACCTGGCAGTATGGAAGGATAATAAGCACTTGCGACGTACGGTTTCCCATTAAATCTGGCATACCCACTAGGTCTGCGTCTATGCATTCCACAATATTGGGATGAGACAGGGCTTTATGGTACTCCACTTCTGCCAAGGCCACCTGGAGAAAATGAACACTTTACAATAATCATGGCTCCTTCAAAGCAGTAGCAATGTTACAGTGTAAGTGTATTTGCAAACACAATACAGTGTATTGCACAAATACAGTGTATTTGTGTAAGAAAATTAAAAATGTTTACTTAAATTTAGCTGGAGTGATGCCAACTAGCCTAAAGAAAGTCCAAAATCACACTAAGAGAAAATCAAGCACTGAAGGGTCAATCTACCGACCTGTTCTAAGCTGCTATATAATGTAATTTACATCAAAATCAGAACTATTTTCAGAGCAATTCTAAGAGAATGCAAATTATAGGGAAATATATTATTTTATGGAACATGACTGAATCCCCACATACCTTCTGATCAGACTGTGCATGACATGTAATGCGCTTCAGAGCGTAGAGCTTATGTGATGATGATTCTTCTACCAAATCCACTGTACTAAACCCTCTGAAGAGATGAACAGAACATGTACAACAATAAATCTCCATATACCTGTACTGTATTATGCTGTACCTCGCTAGAGTTAAAAATATGATATAAAACATTCATCTGCTATTGATCAGGGAAATAGTTAAAACAATTTGTTGATTAATTGAATTATCATTGAGTGCAGAATGTGATAAATCAATTACGATGCATATTTTAATCCCATTAGTGGTGTTACCTTTTAAACACATGTGAATTGAAAGGGTAATACAGTACAAATTAAATTAAATTTTAATAGCCGAGTATTGTAGACTGCACTCCTCGACAACATGAAGACTACATGAAAAATACAGAAAACTGAATCTCAGTTCATCGGAAGACAGAAGAGTTAAGGGAGGCATGGTTACCACATACAAAATACTTGGGAATTGATAGGGTATGATACAGTAGTACCTGTACTGTACTTGCACAAAGGGAAACAGATGGAAACCGAGTACTGTACCCAGATGAGCCAGAGACATTATAATTTTTTTTACTGTCAGGGTAGTTAACAAATGGAATGCATTAGGAAGTGAGGAAATGGAGGAAACTAAGTATGGAAACTCCAAACACAGTTTCAAATTTTGATATGGTAGAGCACAATAGACTCAGGAACCTATATACCAAATGATTAAGAGCCAAGAGGCAGAACCAAAGAGGCTGAAGCTCAACTATGCAAGCATAATTAGGTGAGTACACAGCTAAGCCTACTGCAGTGCAAAACTTGATCAACGCTATATACATTACACAAGGATTATGGTTTCAAATGCTTTACAAAATATAGTACACAAAATATAAAATGAACATGAACAAAAATAAGGACTATGAAAAGAGCTATGAACAGTACGGGTATGTCAACACAGCACTGGCAGAGCCCGGATCATTTCAAAAGTTCCTGCAAGGTTATAATTGTGTTAGGAAGGCACTGAAAAAATAATCGTTATGCCCTGAATCATCCAAAGAAAATACATCAAACTCAAAATTTTCAAGAGAACTATCAATATTAGGAGCTCCAGACTTTTCAATTACTCTCCGTCTACATATAAGGGGTATTACTGACCCACCTCTCAAAATTTTTAAGAGAGAACTTGATAAACACCTCCTAAGGATACCTGACCACCTGGGCAGCAATTAATATGTCAGGTTGAGAGCAGTTGTGCCCAACAGCCTGATTGACCAGATCACCAACCACGAGGCCTGATCAGAGACTGGGCCGCAGGGATGTTGATCCCCAGAAACAAGAATAGATAGTCAATAGGTAAGTAGGTAGCCCTATTTAGCTTCACAGAGACCCCTATTGTAACACTCACCAGTTGCTTCAAAAGGCTGCTACAGCAGAACTCCCTCTAGGTGGCAGCACTACTATCAAAACAAGGTTTCTGCCATTACTTCCCCCCACATTCTTCATGATGCAAACAAAAACTCTACCCCAGAGGAAGCTGGGATGTAAGGGAAGTAACAAGAGCAACCAAGCAAGTTGTTCTGAAAGGAGGATTTCAAAGCCAAACCTTTGCCTCTAAGATTACTAATGCAGGAATCAGAACAGAATTACAAAAGAAGTGAAAATTTTTGCTGTAAAGTGCAACCAAACAAAATAGCTACTGTAGATAGGGTGCGCTTGGATCGCATGATGTTTAGTGATCTCGGAAAAGGTAGCCGTAGTGTTCAGGTTCCAAGTTTTGCATTTGCTTTGGCAGGATGTCTCCCTTATGCCTGACCCACTGCCTTCTCTGTTAAGGTAGCCAGAGTCCCTTATCCCTGTGGGTTTATATTCTTGTGCGTATTTTTGACTAGGCTGTTATGGCCTTCCCATCAGACTCCATACCTGACTTTGCAGTCTGCTGTTTATCATGATGTACATCAGTGTAGTATTTTCAACCCCCAATGGCATCAAGCTGAGTTTGAGCATGGAAATAATTATTTTTTATGAATGTCCTCCTTCAGGTCTTTTTGAACTGGAATGAGTTTTCTTCAGTACAGTATCTCTAGCACTGTCTAATAGTTCTAGGGAGTGACATTTGGAAAGATCCCTACTGCATTTGTTCAGAATGTCAACATGCCAAATGTAAGGTCCTAGTAGGATCTTACCTCAAGAACCGACCAAGTGGGACAGCTCAGAATATGCTTATGAAACAAACAAACAAAAACTCACCCTTCTCCAAGCCGTTCCCTGATGTAATACTGCCGTCCGTTGACTTTTACCGTTTCCTTAGTACACAAACAATTGCCCATTCTAACCAAGATGGCTAGGCCAGCAGTATTCATCCCACTGTTGTGCTAGAATCTTGTCTGTAATATAATGAAACATTACTGCACTGTACATGAATAAATATTTATACCATATAATAATAAATTAATAAATCCTAATAAATTCTTAACCTAATAAATTCCTTGTAACCTACCTTACCCCTCTATTGTCAACCCATGTCTGTTATTTTTTTTTTTAATCAACACTGTTTGTCAACCTATTGTATTGTGCTGCTTTTTCAGTCATGTTCCCCCTTTTTTTATCTTTATTTGTATTTGTTCTCAACACATTTTATTCTTTATGCTCAATTAGTATTAAGTTCTAGATATTAATGTTTTTCCTGCCCGAAACGCATTGCGTAATAGTGGCTTTAGGCATTGTATGTACTAGCTCTATCTATATATCGATCCATTAATGTAACATCACTTGTATGTATGTACCTTTCCTGAATAAACATATTTATTTATTTATTTATTATTTATTTAATCATAAATCACCTTCGTATAACATGTCATATACAACATTACAGTGCTGTTACTTTTTGTTACAGTGCTGGTGGGTGGTCAGTATGTGGAATGCACTTCCACATGTGGAAGCCGCCGGCTTCTAGTCCTTTTCGAGGCCAATAGAGTTAGAGGCTCTCGGGTAAACTTCAAGTGGCTGTGGAGGCCACTTCCACCCACAACTTTAAGGAAAGATTTGACAAAGAATTTGAATGTCAAAATAGGTAGAGCAAGGCTAGTAGGCGAGGCATAAAGAGCTAGCCTTCACTCCCTTACATTCCTTCCCTCCCGTCCCATCCCAAATCCTTATCCTGACCCCTTCCAAGTGCTATATAGTCGTAATGACTTGGCGCTTTCCCCAGATAGTTCCTTTCCTTATAGTCCTTATAGGCAAGTACTGAATATAAGCTTACACTTGACCTAAAATAAAGATAACCTCTCACGTGGAAATGTTTAGAAACAAGGTACAATGTATACCTATGTTTGCAAATCACTTTTTTGTTCTACTACATCAAATCTAACTAACAAAATATCTGCTCGTATTTTCCACATGGAGTATATGCATTGATAATAAATATATCTTTTGAAGATAGACTTACCATATGTGCTTGTTTACTCTCGCCCGAGCACGGCACACTCATCCTTGACCATGTTGACGGTCGCTTTAACTTGGAAGATATGCACCTGGGATGACAGCATGGTCTCATTTTCCCTTTAAAAAAAAATAATGGATATCAATAAAATTAATAGAAGAATGTTCATCAATAATGAGCCCAACCACTTGGGCTGGACGGTAGAGCGACGGTCCTGCTTCATGCAGGTCGGGGTTCAATCCCCGACCGTCCACCAAGTGGTTGGGCACTTCCCCCCCCCTCCCCCCGCCAGTCCCATCCCAAATCCATATCCCTTCCAAGTGCTGTATAGTCGTAATGGCTTGGCCCTTTCTCCTGATAAATCCTTCCTTCATTAATAATGAAATGATGTTGGAGATAATACACATTAAAGTTACCTTACTGACAACAATTTAGCTGCACATTGAAATAGAAAAGAACCTTTCTCCGAAACGCTATATGCGTGCCAGTGGCTTTACAAGAATGTGAAATCTACATTTCTATGTACTCTCTTAACCCCCAATGTACCTTTTTGTAAATAAATAAACCTCCGAGTAATAGTCCACCAGCCATTAGCAGATGATTATAAAGTATGAGCTGCTGATAAAAGATTAATAAAATAGATCCTAGAAAAAATGAAACGAGCCTTCTAGTTCAAGGCCATAAAACGATCAGTTAACAGTAAAGTATTTCCAGTCTATGTAGTGTACATGACCTTGTTTAGTAAATTTAAAATTTTTAAATTTTGCCCCGAGGTCACTATTAGGGGACCCCCCCCCCATAGCCATCTTTTGCAGATGGAGTGCTCACTGATGGGAAATTCATTACTTTTAGTTACCAGGTACAAGTTACGATGCCTCAGCCCTATTCTGTCATTACATTAACACGCTGTCTGGTGGATGCTTTGCGCTGTCCATACATATATACCCTGTGGTATAGTGATTAAAATGCTCGCCTGGCGTTTCGCGAGCACTTCGTCCTGGGTTCGTATACTGACCGGGGATCAAGGATTTACTGGTAGCAAATCCTTTACTATAGCCTCTGTTTAACCTGTAGCGAGTAAATCTTATACTCGCTCCAATCTCTCATTACCTTAATGACAAACTAATTAGTACTAATTATGACTACTCAAATCCTTTCCCTAATTACATTATTAACCGGACCCCGACCAGTTGTGTAACCACAAGCCTAGCAAGTATACATCTCATCCAGCCCCCCACTAAGCTAAACAGTCCCAGAGCCCAACTAAACTCCATTCCTAGCTTTACCAAACGGAAATCTCCGTAGCCTTACCTAAAACCCTCCACTTGCCCTTGAAACCAACTATGGAGCCATAGCAAACAAAAAATTGTGCTATGTGCGAAAAAAGAAACCCGGATTTCTAGCAAACGTATAACCATAGAGCCATAGCAAACAAACCAGGAGTACTAGTACACAAACAACCCCTGGCACACAACCATGCACGAGCCAGAGCCCGACCATGCACAAACCAAAGCCCAACAAGTCACACCCCTGGAGTTATGTAACCGGAGCCTGACCAGTTGTGTAACCGAAACCCCGACCAGTTGTGTAACCGCAAGCCTAGCATGCACGAACCAAACAACCCCTGGAGCACAACCATGCACGAACCGAAGCTCGACTATGCACAACCCGAAGCCGAAGTGACACCCCCGGAGCCCGACCAGTTATTTAACTGGAGCCCGACCAGTTAATTAACCGGAGCCCGACCAGTTATTTAACCGGAGCCCGACCAGTTAATTAACCGGAGCCCGACCAGTTATTTAACCGGAGCCCGACCAGTTGTGTAACCGAAGCCCAACCAGTTGTGTAACCGAACCCCGACCAGTTGTGTAACTGCAAGCCTAGCATGCACGAACCAAACAAACAACCCCTGGCGCACAACCATGCACAAACCAGAGCCCGACCATGCACAACCCGAAGCCCAAGTGACACCCCTGGAGCCCGACCAGTTATGTAACCGGAGCCCGACCAGTTGTGTAACCGGAGCCCGACCAATTGTGCAACCGGACCCTGACCAGTTGTGTAACCACAAGCCTAGCATGAACGAATCAAACAACCTCTGAATCACAACCATGCACGACCGAAGTCCGACCATGAACAACTAGAAGCTCAACAAGTGACACCCCTGGAGCCCAACCAGTTATTTAACTGGAGCCCGAACAGTTATTTAACAGAACCCCAACCAGTTGTGTAACTGCAAGCCTAGCATGCACGAACCAAACAAACAACCCCTGGAGCACAACCATGTATGAACCGAAGCTCGACTATGCACAACCCGAAGCCGAAGTGACACCCCCGGAGCCCGACCAGTTATTTAACCGGAGCCCGACCAGTTATTTAACCGGAGCCCGACCAGTTGTGTAACCGGAGCCCGACCAGTTGTGTAACCGGAGCCCGACCAGTTGTGTAACCGAAGCCCAACCAGTTGTGTAACCGAACCCCGACCAGTTGTGTAACTGCAAGCCTAGCATGCACAAACCAAACAAACAACCCCTGGAGCACAACCATGCACGAACCGAAGCTCGACTATGCACAACCTGAAACCCAAGTGACACACCTGGAGCCCGACCAGTTATTTAACCGGAGCCCGACCAGTTGTGTAACCGGAGCCCCACCAGTTGTGTAACCGATCCCCGATCAGTTGTGTAACCGCAAGCCTAGCAAGCAGGAACCAAACAAATAACCTCTAGATCACAACCATGCACCAACCGAAGCCCGACCATGCACAACCCGAAGCCCAAGTGACACCCCCGGAGCCCGACCAGTTATGTAACCGGAGCCCGACCAGTTGTGTAACCGGAGCCCGACCAATTGTGCAACCGGACCCCGACCAGTTGTGTAATGACATGCCTAGCAAGTATACATCTCATCAAGACCCCACTAAGCTAAACAGTCCCAGAGCCCAACTAAAGTCCATTCCTAGCTTTACCAAACGAAGATCTCCTTAGCCTTACCTAAAACCCTCCACTTGCCCTAGAAACCATGCATGGAGCCATAGCAAACAAAAAATTGAGCTATGTACGAAAAAAGAAACCCGGATGTCTAGCAAACATATAACCATAGAGCCCTAGCAAACAAACCTGGAGCACTAGTACACAAACAACCCCTGGCGCACAACCATGCACAAACCAGAGCCCGACCATGCACAACCCGAAGCCCAAGTGACACCCCCGGAGCCCGACCAGTTATGTAACCGGAGCCCGACCAGTTGTGTAACCGGAGCCCGACCAATTGTGCAACCGGACCCTGACCAGTTGTGTAACCACAAGCCTAGCATGAACGAATCAAACAACCTCTGAATCACAACCATGCACGACCGACGTCCGACCATGAACAACTAGAAGCTCAACAAGTGACACCCCTGGAGCCCAACCAGTTATTTAACTGCAGCCCGACCAGTTATTTAATAGAACCCCAACCAGTTGTGTAACTGCAAGCCTAGCATGCACGAACCAAACAAACAACCCCTGGAGCACAACCATGTATGAACCGAAGCTCGACTATGCACAACCCGAAGCCGAAGTGACACCCCCGGAGCCCGACCAGTTATTTAACCGGAGCCCGACCAGTTATTTAACCGGAGCCCGACCAGTTGTGTAACTGAAGCCCAACCAGTTGTGTAACCGAACCCCGACCAGTTGTGTAACTGCAAGCCTAGCATGCACGAACCAAACAAACAACCCCTGGAGCACAACCATGCACGAACCGAAGCTCGACTATGCACAACCTGAAACCCAAGTGACACCCCCGGAGCCCGACCAGTTGTGTAACCGGAGCCCCACCAGTTGTGTAACCGATCCCCGATCAGTTGTGTAACCGCAAGCCTAGCAAGCAGGAACCAAACAAATAACCTCTAGACCACAACCATGCACCAACCAAAGCCCGACCATGCACAACCCGAAGCCCAAGTGACACCCCGGAGCCCGACCAGTTATGTAACCGGAGCCCGACCAGTTGTGTAACCGGAGCCCGACCAATTGTGCAACCGGACCCCGACCAGTTGTGTAATGACATGCCTAGCAAGTATACATCTCATCAAGCCCCCCACTAAGCTAAACAGTCCCAGAGCCCAACTAAAGTCCATTCCTAGCTTTACCAAACGAAGATCTCCTTAGCCTTACCTAAAACCCTCCACTTGCCCTAGAAACCAACTATGGAGCCATAGCAAACAAAAAATTGAGCTATGTACGAAAAAAGAAACCCGGATTTCTAGCAAACATATAACCATAGAGCCCTAGCAAACAAACCTGGAGCACTAGTACACAAACAACCCCTGGCGCACAACCATGCACGAACCAGAGCCCGACCATGCACAACCCGAAGCCCAAGTGACACCCCCGGAGCCCGACCAGTTATGTAACCGGAGCCCGACCAGTTGTGTAACCGGAGCCCGACCAATTGTGCAACCGGACCCTGACCAGTTGTGTAACCACAAGCCTAGCATGAACGAATCAAACAACCTCTGAATCACAACCATGCACGACCGAAGTCCGACCATGAACAACTAGAAGCTCAACAAGTGACACCCCCGGAGCCCGACCAGTTGTGTAATCGCAAGCCTAGCAAGCAAATATCTCATCCAACCCCCCTCCAATGTGCTAAGTGTAGTGCCAAAGGGTCCATTTTGGGGCCAATCCTTTTTTGTCATATCCATCAATGACATGGATGAGAATATAACAAACCACATCATCAAATTTGCAGATGACACTAAGATCTATGGTAAAGTGTGAAGTGAAAGCCATATTGAAACCTTACAAAGAGATCTACATGAACTCCACAAATGGTCAGATGACTATTAATGTCGATAAATGCAAGTCCTTGCCTGTGGGGCATAACAATACACAACACAACTATCAAATCATCAACATTATCTTGGAGTTAGAATCCACCAATCACTGACAGTTGTACAAGTGGGAGCGGCAGTAAAAAAAGCAAACTAAACCCTGGGAATAATCATGCGTTCCTTTACCTTCAAGGAAAAGAAAGTAGACCTTCAATTGTATAAGTTTCTGGTGCGCCCCCACATGAATTATTGCATCCAGGCATGGAGACCTCATCTTCAGAAAGACGTAGCTGCTCTGGAGTCATGTCTTACCAGAGCTATGGAGCTATGTCTTACGACAAAAATCATACCAGAGCTAAGTCATCTGTTCTATCAGTAACGGTTGAGGGCCACAGGGCTAACACCACAAACCAGGCATGGCAGGGCGGACTTCATAGAGACCTTTAAATACTAAACAATTTGGAGGATGTCAATCAGGACAATGTCTTCAAAAGGTCAGATGTTACACGAACAAGGAGCAACGGGTTCAAACTCAACAAGCCAGAATGTTGGACAGGAAACAGGAGATGCTTTTCACCCATAGGGTTGTAAACCCGTGGAACCGCCTACCCGCCGAAGCCGTAAACGCCAAAACTCTGCTGGGTTTTAAAATACAGCTGGAAAAGATCATCAGGGCAAATGGGGGGACCTTAGACAAGCCGCCGGCTTACTGTCCTCATCGAGGTCACTAGTGTTAGTGGCCCTCAGGTAAATTAAGTTCCAGGAGAGGTGTACCCGCTCCTTCCTGTTGGGAAGTTGTTCATCTATTACAGTACACTGGACTGTCGCTTGTTTCTAAACTTAGTTTTTAAACTATTAACTTGATTAAATAATATTACCTTATACGCGAGAATAATTAACTCGCGTAGGGGAGCCTGGCCTGAGGACAGGCAACTGTAAATGCTTCACCCTCCACATACTTCAAGTGCAAATAATTGCCAACAGAACCTAAATACCGAACCTACTATACGCCTAATTAAACAATATAAAATTAATTTATACACGATAAAAAACTGTGGGGGGGGGTCGGCCGCCGTATTAAGGAGCCTAGCCTGACGTCGGGGTGGTTTAACACTGGGGAAGTGTATTCTACATAATATCCTTCTCATATAATATTGGCAAATCATGATCCTTAAATTCTTCCACAATATCCGAGAGAGGACAGACTATTTAGCATTAGTGGAATACAAACATTTGAATACTACAGAACCCGGATGAAAAAAAAAATAATACGGAAACAATGACCCTCGGAGACATTACAAAAAGGCTTAGGGCCCACGCAGGAATATCCCTGCAAAAAAAATAAAAATTACAAAAACTCAATGTTATAATAGCGAACAAATGTATAATGCATTAAGCACTGTAGGTGGAGGTAGACTATATATTCAAATGCACCTTCCAACTGCTCAGATATATTAGCAAACAAAACAAAAAAAATGATCAGTCTCACCTAGAGGGGAACGATGTTCACGCCGCCGCTGCTTCCTAACGACTGGCGGCCCCGTAGTCAATGATCGGTGAGCGACCAACCGACCCAGAGACTCTCTGCCTAAAATTATTTGAACGCCATATTGAAATTCCTAGCGTATAGCGCCAGGAGTGTGTAAATTAATATTTGTATGTATTATAGGCCTTTCTAAAGTAATTTATAGATTTGAATATTATATATTGTCTAACAAATGAATTATTTAACTTAATATTTTAATTATGTCCTCATCGCACACAAGAAGATTCGTCAGCGGATTCCTTTTTATTTATTTATTTATTTATTTATTTATTTATTTATATATATACAAGAAGGTACATTGGGATTGTGAGGATACATAGCATAGTAATTACATTCTTGTAAAGCCACTAGTACGCGCAGCGTTTCGGGCAGATTTTTATTTTTTTTTATATATAAAAAGAGTTCTACCTTTTCTTTTCGTCAAACTACCTTTTCCTTCGTCAAAATTTTGTTTGACTATTCCTAGGATTTGGTTTGCTTTTATAACTGCAGCTCCCACTTGTACAACTATCAGTGATTGGTGGATTCTGACTCCAAGATAATGTTGATGATTTGGTAGCTGTGCATTGTTATGCCCCACATTTGTTAGCTTCAAAACTGGTTTACAATGCATGATAGTGGCTTTGCAATAATGCACATTTGCCCATCTTGTTATATGACCACAGATGATGTTATCTCTGAATTCCGCAATTGACCAATTGTTGCGTTATTGTTTCAAATAAAATTTAGACCAGAGGTCTCTACGCTTTGTTAGTGTCTTTATATCAAGATGCTATACAATATATTTCTTTTGTAATGTTCAACGTTGTGTATCTTTAAAATATTATACGATTAACAATATATAAATAAATATATAAATAAATATATATATTTGATTAAGAATTGTCTAAAAAAATGCATTTAATATGAAAATAATATAATTACAATGCCCATCAATGTTAGCCGGATCTATGGTTAGTTTGAAAGCTCAGTGTTTTGTTTTGGCGGGACGCAAGAGGTGAGGGGATGGTGCTCCACGAGCTGGTATGGCCTAATACCTCTTAATATACAAGTTGTTTGGGTTGTAAATTATGTTTTCGAATGTATAATGCATTACACAGAAAAGGAGATATTAATTAATTATGGGTTGAGGTGATTTTAGAACTAGGGATAGTGGCAAGGGGGGAGTTGCCCTTGACGTTGCCCTGAAAAAGTCCTTAATCATACCTTTTTATACATATAAAATACACCTTTTATGTATTGATTTGTATTTATTTATATATAGAAGAGTTCTTACATTCTTGTACAGCCACTAGCGTGCATAGCGTTTCGGGCAGGTCCTTAATCCTAATTTTCACACACATCCCCAGGCAGCAGCCCGTAGCGGCTGTCCAACTCTCGGGTACCTATTTACTGCTTAGTGAACAGGGGCATCAGGGTGAAATAAACTCTGCCCATTTGTTTCTTCCTCTGCCGGGGATCGAACCCGGAACCTTAGGACTACGTACTCCCAAGTGCTGTCCACTCAGCCGTTAGGACCCTAAGGTGTCACCTCGCTTCTTCATTTATGCCATTTCATAAGATGGTTCAGTAGCGATTTTTTTTAAGCAACCTAGCATAGCCTAGCCAACCAGCACACATCTTTTTTTGCCCCAGCCCCACTGCCTAACCTTAATCTACCTGCCGCATATTAATCTTGCCTCACCGTATCTTAATGCACTTCACTCTATAGCCTAAGCTACTCGATCCCTTTAAGATGTATTTTATTGTCTCGATAAACGTATTTGAACCTCACTCGAACCCATCCCACCTCACCTTATTGTATTTTTATCGTTATTGTTTCAAATTGTATTTTTTATTGTTTTTGTTAATTGTATTTTTTTTACTGTTTCTTTTAAAAAAATGTATTTTTATTGTTATTGTTAAAAACTGTATTTTTGTAATTGTTAATCATTTTATTTAATTATATTTAATAATACAGTGGGGGATAAGGCAAGATAAAAGCCTGTAGATGTAAATGGCACAAAGGTGTGCCATTTAATCCCCAAAATCTGTACTTGCACAATCTATTGTATCGATTAAGTCGATTAAGGCAGTGTCTGGGATGCTCCCGGACGCAGGTTCAAATCCTCGTCACGGCTCTTGTGGATTTGTCCATTGTATCTTCTTGTGCTGTATAAGTAACCAATTAGCTAAAATATATGAAATTGTATCCAAACACCTAATATTTATTTACCAGTACAGTGCCCAGTGTCCAAAATAGTGTTTAAGTAACAGTACTGGATAAATTGTGGTACAGTACTGTATTGTATTTAAGAAATGGTTCATATACAGTAACTGGATTTTCTGGGCTGTGAAAAAAAAGGCAAGAAGAATTTGGTTAAGTACACTTTATTTATACTCTGGTGCTGTATAAATTTAACATAAAATATAAGTGAACTTAATTTTGAATCAGGACAATAATATATAAAAGTGAACAGCTATACAAATGAAAAAATATGCAACTGCAGACGAAGATGAAGAAACATTGTAGGTGAAATAAGAAGTAATGAGGAAGATTGTAAAGTAATGACAGGAAAAATCGGTAAATTACATCTTGGATAAACCGGGAAAACACTAAAATAAAATGCCTCAAATAAACAGTGTAAGTTTGCTTTGCAAGAGAGAATCTCTCGAAAGGTATACTGTATACAGTACAATTTAACTCCTTTCATCCATCCAAGCTATTTTATTATAGGGATAACATATAATTCATGCAATTATTTAACGTGAAAACAAGCCCCTTAAAATTTTTTAGGGAAAATACGATGTACCTATGTGATAATCTGACGATTTGTTTTTCATTTGTGGCACATAAGGAGCCAGCGTGCTGTCGGCCAAGCGGACAGCACGCTGGACTGTGATCCTATGGTCCCGGGTTCGATCCCGGGCGCCGGCGAGAAACAATGGGCAGAGTTTCTTTCACCCTATGCCCCTGTTACCTAGCAGTAAATAGGTACCTGGGTGTTAGTCAGCTGTCACGGGCTGCTTCCTGGGGGTGGAGGCCTGGTCGAGGATGGGGCCGCGGGGACACTAAAGCCCCGAAATCATCTCAAGATAACCTCAAGATAACCATATACTATGGTGTATACAGTACTGTATTTGCATTCCAGCCTTTCACTAGAAATTTGTAGACTAAGACATTAAAATCATACCAAAGTCACTTTGAATACCATTTCCAATTCCAACAATTATAGCTAGGCCTTAAGTGGATCTGCAAAATTTATTTTGGGCAAGGACAATACAATCTTTAAATTTTTTCTTGCATCTGTTAAAGAGACGAAGCATGCAGTACGGAACCAGAGTGCTGGTAACCGAAGAGTCTTGGTCACAACCCTGTTGGATATGTTTTAGTTGACCATTACACATGTTAATAATGTTGCTGAAATGCATTTAATCCACACCTTCACTAGCTGGGATCTTATTTGATTACACCTGTCTGAAGCCCAGCAAATTTGCCCTATTGTAAAAAAATGAAAAGCACCCAATTTTATGGCATTAAAGTAGCTAAATAAATGCACCATATATTGTATATGAAATGCTTGAAATATATAAGAATTAAACTAACAATAATTTTAATTCCAGGTTGAAGAGTTATCAAAATGTCAACACTACACTCCTCATTTACTGACCGAAGAGACATGGGTCAGATTCTCTACTCATCTCTACTGATCTTAGGTTTGGATGCTGCTGCACTTGAGCACAGCTTGCGAACCCCAGTAAACCCGGTGAGAAGCATTTTTTATTAGTTAACTATTGAACCTTGAGTGTTAACCAGTCTTGTCCAATTTTTCTGGATATCCCATTTATAAATGCAAAACTCTTTTACACAATGATGTATTATTGAGAATTCAGTTATTCTACTAAATGACTTTCAAAGTTGTATGGTGATGAACATGCATTTGTTCTATCTTTTATAGTTATATTTTTTTTGTATTATAAATTATGCTTCATTACAGCAGTATAAATATCTTGTTATATTTTAAAGTAGCTTTCTTAACTATCAATATATTTCTCCGTTAGTGAGGCTGATTTTCAAATACTCTGCACAGTAATCCATAAACTCTCTAATCAAATGACCGAACATTTTAAGGCATTGTTATGTAATATACATACAGTAATGTATAAACATTATGTATATTACATATGTCATGTTTACACATAATGTAATGCCCGTGTAATTTAATGTATTAGCGACAAATGTATAGTGTATTCATGTATTTTATTTATCACAGACTGCTCTAGCATTTTTTGTCAACTAGGAGTTAAATCTAGCACTTTATACCCCACCTGGCTTTTTATAACTTCTTCATTTGTTTAAGTTCTTGGTTGGTTCTTAAGTTCTTGGTCCTCTTAATGTTTAAGTTCTTGGTTGTTCTTCCTTCTGTAACTGTGGATGAAGGCAGGGGGGGTGGGAGGAGGCCTACATTGTGTTTCCATTTGTTTGCCATCTATTCAGTGTATGAATACTGTGTTTACTGTTTCTTCAACTCATTTGCATTTCAGTCTTGTTGTGCATGTTTCAACCTTTGCTCACTTGACTCGTTTTGTAAATGTGATCATCATATCATCATATTGCTGCAGCATATTCTAGTTTTATACATTTCTATTGCATGGCACTTGAGAAAGTTGAATTTCATTTGCTAGTTTGTACTTCATACCTTTAGTATTTCTAGATTTTCCTCTATGCAATTTATAAGTGGATTTCTTGTTACAGAAAAGTAATAAGGAAACCTTGTTTTCTGATAATGGCTTTCACACATAATTTATTTACATATTTGGGTCAGTATGAGAGCATTATTAATACCAAATTGTATTTACAACATACAGTAATGGTCACTTGACAGTATAGTTAAAGTGGCTGATAGAAGCTCCATTAAGTTTCTTGCTTTCGATCAGGTCCATGTTTCACTCAGCACATTGCTCTGAAGAGTGTAAAGGTTATTTTCTAATTTGGGTAAATAACAAAATATATAAATGTTATCCCTGTTTTAGTAAGCTATTGAATACAGTACCTGTCAAATACTCACCAAAAACTATTACAATGGTTATATTACTCTAGGTGATCATGTTGCGTACAGCATGTCAAAATTAAATCCTTTACAATTTTCTTTAATCTTTGTTGATTTATTGTGCTTATTACATATACTGTAGTATTTATTATACATATTTTAATGTCCATTGTTTTCAGAAAATGTTTGTCCACATGAATAAGAAACTAGGAGAAGCAATACTTCATTTTTTATTTGTATGTATTGATCGAGAGAAAGCGGCAAAAGTATTCCGTGACTGTTGGCCATTGTTAGAAAAGAAGCAGGAGGCCCAGTTCCACAGGGCGACATTTGATTGGTACAAGTCCCTTCAGCAGGTAACTTATATACTGTATTTATAAATTTGTATCATTCAATTTTGTTTAATAGACTTCATTATTAAAGTGAATATGTAACCCTAATAGAGATAATTTTTTCCCCAATTTGTAATGGTCATGCATTATTAGGAGAATGCCTTTACAAATCGACTTGAAACTTTTAACCCTTATGCTGCTCCAGACGCTTAAGGGTAATTGTCTCATATGCTCAGATGGCCTTCAGATGATTTAAAGTGCCCCAGTTTATTTAAAAGGCCCCCCATTTTAAAGGGTAAGTCATTTGATATTAGAGACCTCTGTTGATTGTTCTCCATACAATACTGTACAGTATTTGGAAAAAATCCCGAGTCCCATAATTTCCTTCCAGGGGTCTTAATAAAAGATGTGGGCTATGTTTGGCTCATCACCATGTTGTGACTGAGCGTGCAGGGCAGCCACGTAAGGACCCATCAAACTTTTAACAGCAGCAAATTAATGATTTCCATGTACAGTATATATTTATAGGCAAAATATGTACTATGTGCAATTATAAGATTTAGGGTTTTATATACAATATTAATATGAATAAATACAGGATGTGAGATATCTGTACATAACTTCGTATGTACAGATACACATATCTGTACATATGTATACGTATTTCCAAATTTATATATAATGAATACCACCACTATTGACACATCAGTACAACATCCAGACCTCCCTATAATGGATCCCTCTAAACAATGGACCAAATTCAAACATTAGATCTCTCCTCCAAGTTTTGAATTTTTGGGAAAACTTCTGGATCATTAGGAAAAGTAATTTCTTGCAGCTCATATTTTTTCAAATTTTGTTTATTCATGTTTTTTTTGTTATTGTTCAATGGATGTCAGAGAGGAAGGTTAGTGGAAGCAGCCACAAATGGTATTCTAAAAATGTTTAGGAAACCTTCCCGCCAAACACATACACCGAAACTACGACGTTGGTACAACGTTGGAACAAGTTTTAACACCTAACCAGTTATAACAACCAATATAGCAAGTTGTAACAACGTTCTAATACGTCATAAACACGTTAAGCCAAGATGTGACAACTTTATTACAAGTTGTAACAAGCGGAAAATAGAGACAGTTTCGGTTTGTGTTTCCAGGGTTATCTCCTTAATTATCAGAACAAGCTCCCAAGATATTTCACAGAAAACTTGAGTTTTAGAAAGACTTTCGAGTGTTGGAAAGTGATTGCGTTGGGTTTATTTGGTGTCATTGTCCTGTACCTTTAAAAAAAAAAGCTGGAAAGGGGTAGTTGGATCCTGAGAAATATTGGCAATGAGGGAGAAATCTCTTTATAGACAGGTTCTCCTGGTAGTTGTCTGTCATGTGAGAGGTTGAAACTGAAATTTTCACTCTGTGAAATTTATCCATAAAACATGGAAATATTAGAGATGAATAACAACCCTTGAAAATATCATTTGAATGTAATAGCATTCCCATGCCCTATTCCCTTTGGATTATATATAATTTCAGTCCTTTACTCTCCCATGGCTTATGTTTAAATATTAAATTTGAGTAGTTTATGGTGGTTTAATTAAAATTTTGTAAACCAGGATTGTCATTCTTGTACAGTACTATAACTGAAACATTTTCCTCTGTAATACCAAGGGCAACTGTTGTTTGTTAATGCACTCGTTAGCTACAGTGCTTGTGGTAGTGTATAATGACTTACATGATTCCTATAAATTTACATTCATTACCCACCAGAGTTACGGACAACCAGTACCAGCTGTCGTGGCTAAAACATTCATGGCTCCCGGTGGTCCCAAATTCTCCTCAACAGTAAAGACTCTTATACGCATAGCTTTGCACTCTTCAATTCTCAGGAAAGGTATAGTGGTCATTTCAACTTTTAAAATATACTAACGCGAATATTTGTACACAGAGTAATCAGACTAACGTGACTGCATCAATGAGAATATACGTCGGAGCCGTGATGAGGATTGGAACCTATCGGGGTGGGTAATCCCCCGCACATGCCCCAGATTGTTGCAGATTTTCTCATGAAAATTTTTGGTCTGTTATATTTCAGCTTGTTTTAAAACTCTATCTTTATATTGAGTCTATTATTCCTTTACACAGTCTCTTCTATTCCTTCCTAACCTCACACTAGATTAAAAGATCGGATCATGTTATAACGTACGTAGTTTAGAATCATATAATTTACTTGATTGCATTTTTTCAGCTGCACTTAATCTGAAGCACTGCTCATTGTTCAGCTTTATTTGTTCATCCTGTACACTGTCTTTTCACTTGTTTTGTTCCACTTTTCATTACTTAAACCTGTTGTTTCTCACCTTAACTATCTATCTATCTATGTACTGCTTTCTGAAACAGTCCTTAACCTTCTGTATGTTCTTACTACTTACTCTGAGCAGCTGGAAGCTTTCTCACATGTGTGATTGTGATGGTGTCATGTATAGGTTTGAAAATGTTGGTCAAGAAAGGAACTATAGAGTAGAGGATAGAAATAAATTTTCAAGATAAGGTTTGCAGATGTCATCTCATCCTGTGTGCAATGTATAGCTACTCTACTAGCAACTCTGGAGGATTAAGAGTTAATTGTGTGCTGAAAAAATCTAGGTTCTCGCACTGGGCCTTAAGCTTAAATCCTCTTATAAACAAAAATAAGGCTTTGAGTTAATTTTAAAAGTGCTTATTTGAGCAGATCTACTTCTCCCAAGGTAATATTTCCTGCATCTAAGGTACAGGATCATGCAGAGTCAGGCAGGTTGGATAATCTGGCACCACAGGCAACTATTTAGTCTGTCCTTGATAACACAGGTGACTACCAAGAGAATGCTCGGCTAAACCTGTTACCCTGTACTGACTATGAGGCTGCCGCAACACTGGGTCCTCTGGGTCCTCGGACTCAGACCACTCTAGATATTTTTTGATGCGTGAATACACTCTGCACATTGGAGAATGTTCAGGACATTTAGTGCCTTTAGTCTTTATTCATAGCTTTTATTGTTTAGGTCTGGGAGTAATTTATTAGCATGTCTTTGACCATTTTCTGTTTTATCTATTGGTTATTTATACTAGTACTGTATCTAAACAAACAAAACTGCATATTATATCTTTGCCTCATGTGTTTTATATTATTCCACATTGCTTTTTCATTGCTTAAAGACATTTCGTGGTATTTCCTGAGTGTTTTATTCCCTTCTTGTTGCTGATTTCCTTCATTCTGCTGTGTATATACTACAAAAATAATGCTTCTGGTCATGCCAAGTGATCTGTCCCATATTGGCTGGCAAACAAGTGGCATGAACACACACAAGTACTGTACTGTACTGGTCTTTACATGCATATATGTACCTATTGTTTGTGTATGAAAGCTTTACCTGTGCTACATATATCGAATATTGTTAATGCTTCCCTCTATGTTATGCAGTTTTTTCTGATAGAGTAACATTGTTTAGCTTCCTCCTCTTATGAAAGTGATTAATTGGATGCTGTGTTGATGATTTTCATTATTGTTTTTATTGTCATTATATTTACCAGCATCTCATTTTACTTTTTTTTATCTTACCAGCTCCAGATTGTACCCTCCTTCACTTTCCATCTCACAGTCGCAGTCCACAGTTGAATCGAAGAACATTGTTATTACTACAAGCATCCAAACTTGCTCATCATCGAAATTATATTACAAAACAGAAGAACCGCATGGAAATCTTGCAGAGTTTCCGGGATAGAGCTAGGTGAAGTTTTGCTGTCTGTTTTGTTGATGTACTTAAGCGGTTGTGGTATTTTGTATCTCATTACATAATGAAAGATTACCTGTATGTGGAGAGGAGTCACATTGAAGTAAATGACGATGTTATTGCCCTGGCAACTTTATGCACAAGTTTCATATAGAATGCTTTACTTTTTATTACTCAAAACATTTATTCCTAGTTATAAGTTATATTGGGGCAGTGCCACGTACGATTCTAGCAAGTTTATTACTTTATTGCATTGAATGCTGATATGTATAGCAATGGAATGATTTACTAGGATATTAAGGATAATTTGTTTACTTAACAATGTTTTTGATGCCAGTAAAAAATACAGGGTATGTCTACAGGATAGGAGATATGACTAATAGTGTACCATCTTCATATGATGGTCTTATGGTTCTAGTGAGCCTTAGAACAATGCCCTCTCTGATTGACTTTCTATTTGGGAACTCGTAAGATATTTATGTACCTAGCCCAAATGAAAGATGAAATGAGTTTCTACAGATTCATTGACCTGGTTGTTGGTTTAGGGGCAAGAGATACTGTATTATTAAATAATCAGTCACTATAGTTAACACATTTGCCTCTTTAATGCGTGGGTTTGTATCCCACGCAGAATGCAATGGTTTGGCACAATTTTTTCAAACACTTTGCCTCTGTGCACTGATCAATAATTGGTGATCTGGATATAAAATGATCAGTGAATAATTTTCAGTGAATAATAATAATCTTGAACCGAGTACCTTGGCCCAAGGCCTAAATCTCAACATTTGCAAAATGAATCGGTCAATCCTATCCTTTACCTACTATATTGTGCAATTCTGTAGTTAGAATATTATGTTACAGTACATAGTTTGAGAAAGTGAAATTTATTTTGCCACAAAGTTTAATAATTGAATGTCAGGATTTATTTGTAGAATGTTTTAATAGGTAATTTATGTAATCCATAAACTGCTCTCTTCTAGGGAGTTGACAAGTATGTATCGTAGACTGTGCTCTGAGAATGAAATAGCTGATGAAGAATTCAAAACGGCACTCAACAACAACACGGCACTGAGCCAGCATCAGAAGGAGACTTTTCTTGTGGCTCCTTCATCTGTAATTAAAAAAGGTATCTTTTAGTATGTTACTAAAATATATTTTACTTTTATTAGATACAGTTTCCTAGTAGGGATGATATGTTACAAGTTTTTGCCATTTTATTTATTTACTTTTCCTTGCTGCCTCTTGATTTCCTATTAGTTTTTTTTTTTTTTTTTTAGAATATCTCTTCACATAGGATTCAAACTTGTGTGAAATGCCATGCAAATGAGTAAATGAAACATGGCTGAACTTAATAGCACACATTTCCTAGTACAGTACCAGTTTATGATCTGGATAGTCTCGTGTGATGTTATCTTGAGGTTATCTTGAGATGATTTCGGGGCTTTTAGTGTCCCTGCGGCCCGGTCCTCGACCAGGCCTTCACCCCCAGGAAGCAGCCCGTGACAGCTGACTAACACCCAGGTACCTATTTTACTGCTAGGTAACAGGGGCATAGGGTGAAAGAAACTGCCCATTGTTTCTCGCCGGCGTCTGGGATCGAACCCAGGACCACAGGATCACAAGACCAGCGTGCTGTCCGCTCGGCCGACTGGCTCCCATAAACCGGCTCCGATGTTGCTGACTCAAGGAAATGATTTTACTTAACACTTTCGCTCACCCCGCGCGCCACCCCTCGACAGGGCGATATGGGCCCCAGAGTGTCACGGAAGCGCGCGTTTATTCCGAAAAGTGTATACTCTCTTCAACTTTGTCACCTCAATTCTCCTTCTACGAGATTAAATTTGGTATCATTGTGTTCGCAATAAAATTCTCTACAGCACTAAATGCATATAAACTCCAAAAGCCCGGCTAATTACCCGCAGCAAACAGAGAAAGTGCGAACGAGTTACCCGGGAGCGCGCAAACGGGATAAAATGTTTTCACTATTTTCACTCTGGTCACCTCAATTTTTGTCCTAGGTCTTTCATTTTGGTCTCAATGGGTTTGTAATAAAATTCTCTAGAGGAACATTAGCCTATAAAAAAAAAAAACCTGGTCACGCTCCAACCGCCGACGAGTTGAAGACGGGCCACGTGTTAGCCGTGAGTGAGTGCTCAGAGGCCTTCCTGCTACACTCCCAATTCCTACCCTTTTCAAGCCTTTCTTTCGCAATTTTCTTCCTGGAAGGGCCTTGTTCATGATTACTATCCATCGTGGAGTAAGCGTGGATAGTTTCTAAAGCCGCAGTAAGACATATAGCCACGGAAAATAGCCGAAATGTTCACACGTTTGAGATGCGAGGGGAAGCGACATTGGTCACAACAGTGGAGCAAAGACAATGGGCCCACGGCGTGTGCCAAGCAGCCTGAGCGCGACGAGGCTCAACAAAGAAAATGGGAAGACATCGGCGCACATTTTAAAACCAGTCCCCAAAAAATCGGATAAAAACCTGATTTTTGGCGAATTTTTAAAGTGGATGACGCAATGCTGCGTCATCCCCGGCATTACCGCCAGTAAACGGATGACGCAATGCTGCGTCATCCCCGAGCGAAAGTGTTAAGTTAATTTAGTGAGATTCTGGTTTCTGAACAGTTCAGTGCAATTGCTTCTGAATGCAAGGTGCTACTCGCCCCGAGTTTTATTTTGTAAGGCTAGTAACAGGCAACAGATTCCACTATGTAATTGTTTTTGTCTCTGGGGCAGTAAGTTTTATTTTCTATTTGCTAATGCCCCCAAAATATAGAAACTGGCTATTATTCCTCCCCCCCTGCAAACTTTGCTTTGGCCTATGCCTTAGAGAACTTAGGGAAAATGTCTTAAAAGTTATTAGAAGGCTGTCAACTGCTTATCTAGAGATGTAACAAATTGTCACAGATCAGCAGCCTTCTAGTACTTTCAAGACATCTTCCCTAAAGTGTCTGAGGCAAGGGTTGAAGCAAAGTTTGAGGGGAATAATTAGAAAATAACGCCACTCAGGAACAAACAAAAATAAACATTTATTACTTAGTGTTAGTAATGTGACAACATGTTGACCACTCCACATACTAGAAAATGAAGGGACGACGACGTTTCGGTCCATCCTGGACCATTCTCAAGTCGATTGTGACTTGAAAATGCTGACCACAATCAACTTGAGAATGGTCCAGGACGGACCGAAACGTCGTCGTCCCTTCACCTTCTAGTGTGTGGTCTGGTCAACATACTTCAGCCACGTTATTATGACTCATCGCCTGCAGTGTGACAACGTCGCGAACATTCAGAAATGACCAGAATTCTTGAGCATGTATTTCAATTTTTTTTACATATTTTGTTGATCAGCTTGTTAGCAGCTTTACAATTTGGTATTTTTTAGTGGCATTGTTGTCTGTGTAAGCTGATATATCCATTGAAGACAACATTTGACCAACATCTGGGCCTTCTCATTTATAAACAGTTTTCTTTAGAAATGAACTGACTGTATTAGCATAGAATGTATATAAAAAAGGGTATGTGTTTCATTTTAGAGATCCTGGACGATATAGCAGAAATGAACAGTACTGCAAGTAAATTATGGGAAAAAGTTGAAGGGTTTCAGAAAGTTGAAGAGGCATCATGGAAAATCATCTCCTCTTTGTTAGACGGAACAACTTTTCTTTCACATATAAATGGCTCAATGTACTCGCCACAAGTCCCTGAAATAGTGTACAAAACTCATGCAAGCACGATAAACAAGGTAAGTGAAGGACTGTTAACATTTCAAGTTCACATTGGTGACATATTTCCTTGGCATTTTTTAGGGATTTCAGATTTATGATTCTTTTAACACTACTCCCAATGTTTAGAAGGAGTTTTAAATGTTTCATACAATTTAGGTTCTATTTAAAGAATTCACTTTCATCCTGCTTTGTCTGAGCCATGTGGTCAGCTGTTTCTGGGCCGTGTGGTCAGCTGTTTCTGGGCCGTGTGGTCAGCTGTTTCTGCTGGGCTGTGTGGTCAGCTGTTTCTGCTGGGCTGTGTGGTCAGCTGTTTCTACTGGGCCGTGTGGTCTTGTGTTCCTGCTGGGTCGTGATGCCTTGTTTTTTTGTTGGGCCGTGTGGCCTTGTTTTTCCGGGGCCTCGCAACTGGCCATTTCTGGGCCTGCAGGGAGCAGTGGTTTATTGGGGGCCATGGATCAAAGACTTCTTGCTTGATTCCCGTGGCTGTAGGTTTGGACTTTTATTACCTTTGGTCTGTACTTAAGCCCCACCCCGCCCCCTTTCTCTGCATTCCTGGTTGCTTGATTGTTTTTGATCACTTGGCACATTGCTGCATCGTCTGTACCCCAGGCCCACTTCTGCTGTCTTTTCTGTGTTTTTAATCTTTTGGTTTCCCTTTCAGAAAAGTTAACCAACTCTGCCAAAGTACCATTTGTCTCAGCTATGTGGAGCTACTAAGGATGCCCTTCCAGAAATCAAGCATTGAATGGATTAAAACGCTTTTCTCATGAGCCACTCAGTTTCTCCCCATCCCTGCTCTGTTGCCTTCTTCCCTGTTGGCAATGCATGGGTGTCTGTTTAGTAAGGTCTGGCTTGGAATTCCCCGGTGACCTGGGCTACAGGCTTGCGTAGTTACCCCAAGGCAGTGATTCTTTGCCTTTTAACTTTGAGCTGCTAATTTCCTTCAAGTAATTGTTGATGTTGATGTGCATATACTTTCTGGTGTTTCTTTTAGGAGGGGTTGATCACTTATTCCTAAGCTTCCTCGCTTCATTCAGAGCTAGATTTTTGTCCTGAGTTGACCTCCTGAGGCCCGGTATGATTCCCCAAGGCTTCGAGCCCCAGTCTGTTAGCTGTAACGAGCTACTGAATGTTGTCTAACAGCGACATAAAAGGACGTTGCATTACATTTAATGCTCAATTTATAAATTTCTTATACTGTACTGTATTGTAACTGCTGTAATTTTTCTGGCTGATAAGTTAGTGGTGTACAGTATGCACTTATATATTGATCTAAAATTTGCAGATGGGTCTGCATGGTCTCTACCGTGATGACAAGCTGGACCTACTGAGCTTGATGCAGTATTCCAATTTGACTCTACGTTGCCTACTTGACAAAGTTCACAGCATTCACGGCCAAGCTAAACCTGGTTAGTTATCTTTGAGAAGTTGTTGATAAAAATGATTAGAAAATGCTTGATATATTTTAAAATTATGTTTGTGTTAGTTATTTAGTTTTCCTGTACTGTACATGAATGGTTTGGAAAGTTAGCACAGTGTTAAACATTTGCAACCTATATTATGATTTACACACACAATGTTTGCTTTAGACTGGACAAATCCACAAGGGCCGTGACGAGGATCCTCGTCACGGCCCTTGTGGATTTGTTCATTTGATGCATCACGTTATTGTGATCTCTGTGTGTGGTTTGCTTAAGACTGGTTTTCTTTTTTAATTTTCAGAATCTATCGAAGAGCTGAATGTTCAGTCGGGTCGAGTAACAAGTTTAAGCGAAATGGTTAACAATTTGAGTAGTCGAATGAATACCCTTTTGCCTTCCCTACTGGAGAGTGTTGCCCTTTATAGGAGTAATGTTGTTTCAACCTGCCCAGCATCTCATACATCGGATTTAGGTAAGTAAATAAATATTATTTACTTAATAAATAATTTAGTTTTGTTTAATGCATGAAAATACAAATGGAAGAAATTCATCTCTCAGAGGGGAAATTCACAGAGGGGAAATACAATAATATGAAAAAATTATAGGCATCATACAAGTGGAAACGATGAGGTATTACTATGATGGGTACACAGTAATCACACTTTGATTACATCATAGTGTGATGTAATCATTGTAATCATTCTCATTGACTGCATCAATGAGAAAAAACTCCTACAAATCTGTAGGAGACATGATGAGGGCTCGAACCTATGCAGTGGGTGTTCACACGCACACGCCCTAGTTAACTAGTCAGCGTGGCCTAGTTGACTAGAGCGTGTGCGCGTGGGAACACCCACTGCATACGTTCGAGCCCTCATCACGGCTCCTACGGATTTTCTCATTGACACCATGTTAGTGTGATTACTCTGTGTACCCAAATAAATATTGGGTATATAAAAAAAATAATTGTGTAAGGGTAATAAGCTTAATGCTTTAGGAGAAATAGTGAAGGCAAACTCTAATTCTGTATTCAGATGTAAATTTGGTAAAACCCACAAGATTAGGGAAGATTCACAGCAGACCATTAAGGGTTAAATGGTGGGGGCCTTTATTTGCAGCACGATCACAAGGTTAGACGAGTACTGAACATACTGTATGCACCTAAATTATTCTTCACAACATATTATGAAAACACTAATACCGTATTTGTTTCTTCTTTCAGAAGGAAAACCTCATCTATGCCCCCCAACACCACCACTAAAACTTATAAATACTCCTGTAGCCATCAAGGGTGGGACAAAATATGCTCTGATGCAGCTCACACCAGGCGAGTCATATTTTGCAGTTGTGTTTATAACTAAAGTGTACCATGCGTACAGGTTATTTGAGTTTAAGTTATTGGTATTAAATAAAGCTACCTCTTTTTAATTGTTAAATGTGGTTTTGGTATACAGTTCCAAATAGGGGTATATTATGATTTTCAAAGGCTTTCCAGAATACCTTTGTGTACTGACAAAATTTTGATGATTTGTTTGTGTATGGCGATGGAAGTAAGATTGAGCTCTTGAGCCCTAGTGGGAGAGTGTACGATGATTTGTCGAATCATAAGGAGGGATTGGAGGGTTGGAGTCTACCTTTGCTTTAAATTTGATTATACTTTATTGAAGTGTTAAATAAGTCAAATCATTTTGTTCACCCCCTTATGGTCAAATATTGACCAGATGTTAGATTTGCCGTAGATAAGGAGAATAGGGCAGTGTTTGTGTATACAGTGTTACACCAGTATACCACACTCTCCCATCCTTGTCTTTTGCATCCCTCTTGTATCTCTCCTCAAACCCCAACTACTCCTATAACCCTAACAATCACTACAACCACAACTACTAGAGCATTTACAATTCAAAGCACAGCTACACCCATAAACATAGATTCAATTTTCACACAGCCACTGTTAAACCCACAGCCACCACTATACCCACAGCTCTCAAAACAATTACTATAACTTCTACTGTAACAATCACCCATCAATACGATACTTTCACTATACTACAACTTCCACTATAACTACAATTACCAAAATACCATCATACCACAACCACCACTTTAACCACAATTGCCACCACATCTAAAATCACAGCTAAACCAAAATCAATGCAGCACCCACACCCACTTCCATCTTGCCTACCTTAACCTGCACCCTCCCACCTCCTCTCCTGTACCACCCTCACCACTCGGCTACCTACGCACTCTTCACCATCTATTGCTCCTCCTCCTCTGTGCATGCATTATACTCCCTGTGCTCATTACAACTCTAAAATCATTAAATTTCCTGCACTCATTACACCGCTATTAATATCTTGAAATGTGCTGCCTTTGGATACTTCTTGATTAGGCTACAATCAAATCATATGTAGGTACAGTAATCATATTTATTTTCAGCCTTCTAGGCACTTGGTGCTAGTTTGTGTAATTATACAGTACTGTATAATAGATCTTGGTCTCTGTAAACACAATATGGCCACTAGTTAGGGATAGCATTTCAGGGAAAGTGTGGATTCAGTGCTGATGCAACCTGTTTACTTGTTCCATGTGCAGTGTATATTTGTTGTTATGTATCATATGCTCTTCCATCATTGCTTCTTGAAGTGTAAACAGTAAAGACGGAAATCATATACCCATTTTCTTTGTGAGTTTATTTTATGTACGAGTTGATTGTTAATGTGATACATGCTTCTCTAACAAGTTTTAAACTGGTACTAACTACTTTATCTCAATAGGTACACAGAATATGAAGTGTTTATCTCAAAGTGGTATGAACCTGACACCAAATAAGCTGTTTTCTACTATTGACATCATGCGGGCAGCCAAGAAGTCTCCCAAAGCTAATGTTGTATTCTCCACTGCCAAACACAAAGATGATTCTATCCAGGTTAGTTACATTTAACTTTTCTGTAATGTTTATTTGTGGTGGTTTGTCAAATGCATGTTGGTGAGAATATTTTCATTTGTTACGAAAAGTGATTTGAAATTTCCTGCCCTTGGTTACACAATATTTAGTTGTTCAGTTTGAAGCAATATATATATTTTTCAGATAAAAATGAAATATTTAATATTCTTTGAAACTTTAGTGGCATATCCTTATCTGTCATCACAGGAAAATGTTGTCTACTTCAGTGATTAGAACAGGAAACTGCATTTGGTTTAAATTTGTGTAAAATGGTATTATATTTGCAAAAGGCTTCTTATATTACTGTATTTCCCTTTTAATTTCTATGGCTGATGCCTCATCAGTTCAATGAACTGAGTCTATTAATAATGGACAAGTCATTAACAAGTCTATTAAGAATGGACGAATGAATTTATTCCGGTGTAAGTAGGTATTTGTGATGATGTAAGTGTATTGTGCCAGATTTAAGTCGGAATTTATTCTACAAGCTGCTGCAAATCTATGTAATAGTTATGCTGCAGTAGTAGGTCTTAATGGTTAACCAACATATTTTCCCCATAACCTTAGGTAATGGGTGGGGAGCACTCAAGCAGACTAGTTAGTGAGGCTGGGCTGACAATGGCTATGTTGACGGTAGACTGCCGTGGTCGCTATCAGAAGAAGAAAGAACAAAGTCAGGAGCCCGTCCAGACTGCCAATAATCCCACCCTTGAAAAGCAAGGTAATTGAATATGTTTAACCTGTTGTGTTGTTGTTAACAGTAGCAATATTATTTATTAATATGTAAGGAAGGATTTAGCTTTTGGTTTTTGCTGTTTTGTTTTTATAATTTTTCTTTGTCGATTTTTCAGGAATATGTTGAGAATGCTTCTCGACATTGAACTGGAATGTAAAACATTTACATGTGGCCATAGATTGATGGTTGCTATTTAAACTTGGTAGTGAAGCTTCTAACTGTGACAGTTTTGGGTTACAGCATCTAGAAACTTGGTTGATTTACTTAATATTTCTGAGGTGGTCATACTTAATAGCTGTATCTTCGAGGAGGTCATTCCTCATTCCAGAACAGTACTGTTGATTAGGAAAAGTATGGGTTTGAAGACTATTCCTTCGGGAACTTGTTACTTCTCCATTCTAACATCTCTGCATTTTGTGTTTGTCTAGTTCTCATTTCTCAACTGGAGTGCCCTCCTGAATATCCCAGCCTGTTTCTCCAGTATGTAAATTGGCTACCTGTAGGTCGCCAACCAGGCTGTAGTGGATATGTGGGCCTGTGGGCTGCTTGAAGTAACAGCCTGTTGGACCAAATTATCACAAGTCAAGCCTGGCCTCGGGCTGGGCTTGGGGAGTAGAAGAACTCCCAGATCCCTCTCCAGGTATGCTCTAGGTAGGGGTACTATGTCAAAGGCCAGTCTAGGAATGCAGAACTATGATAGGATTGCAGACATCAGGCAAGAATAAGAAGAATTTATGGATGGCATATTTCTAAACTGCTCTCTGACAGTGTCCAACAAGTGGCTGATTTACGTACTGATATATGTAGCTGATTTGCGTAGTGTTGAAATGTCCACCCATCCTTCTCTACCATTTCGTGCTGATGCACATCATCCTTTAATAGAATTCTGTTGTTAGTGTGTGGTCACATTTGAGAAAGTTTAATCCTATAATCATTGGATCCTATAGGAAAGCATCCTATACTCATAGGTAGGATGCAGTTATGTATTTTGTTCATAGTTATTATTATTAAACATATTTAGGCCTAACACTGTATCATCTTGTTCAGGTACTTGTTGTTTGCATATAGAAGGCATGTTGCTCTAATTGTTTGGTCCTGCAACACACACAGTTCTTGATAGCAGACATCTTTGCCAAAATGTGAAAATTTGAGGCATTTTTTAAGATTAAGATTTTAACATAAAGTAAACTTCCTTTTATCCAATTAAAGGTTAAACAAATCTACAGTTATAACTGACACTTGATGATTTGGATAGTAGTAGGCATCCTTCAGTCTCGGGAGACTATGGAGTTGCGCCCTGGTTGTCAATCCTGGTGCAGCGTCTGGTGTGACTGATGAGGTCAATCCAAGAGTGGCAGTCCATCCCACACCGAGCACAAACGAAGTCCGATTCTGGTCTGTCTTTCTGGCTACCGGCTTTCCTTCTCTGTCTCTTTGCCTCCAATTCCTTGGCAAGTGATTTGGATAACAAGCTTTGTAAACAATGATCTTGCGATAACTCGAATCTACAGGTAACCGAGAAGAACTTGGGTGTGGATTACCTTTTTGGGTAACCTAAATGAGTTTTTGAGTACCAGAATGGCCTTCTAGCTTGCATACTGAATATAGCCACTGGCATGGGCTTGTGTTTAAATACTGAGGTAAACATCGGATAATGAAGCCCTTGACAACATTGTGGAGTGTGTGTGTTATTTTCTATTTGTTATTACTTAATAGTTGTTAAAGGGAGAGAGCCATGTTTGTGGTGTTGCATCTTTTCTGCACAATTTACATATACTGTATGATAATTTCTTTTAAATTTCAAATTGGTTTTGCATTCTACCTTAACCTGAAGTTCGTTCCATATGTCATTATTTTGTAAATAAAAAACAAACTTTTTAATGTTTCTAAACCTCTTTTCTTCCATTTGCAGCTGCCTTCTTGCTGTGCCTAGTCAACTATTGGGAAAAAAACCCACTTGGGATAAAACACCTTGTCCTTCAAAATAGTACTTATTTTAGAATGTAAAAAAAATAAAGTGCATAAAGTATGTACAATAATGTAAAGTAAAAATTCCAGTATGTATCTTGGTCACAAGGGTCGAGGCAGGTGGCAGCGGTGGTGGTAATGGTGGCGGCTCCCTTACACCCAATAAAACGTTCAACTCCACAAATAATGTACAGTAAAGTATTAAAAAACCCAAAATGATTCATAATTGTGTCTCAGCTCAGGTTGTGTTACCTGTATCTACATTCCAAGTGGCTTTGTTGGGTTTTGGGTTCAGTGCTTGTTCAGGGTGGTCCACCTAGGTGTTGGTTTTTGGCTCTAGTTGAGGTGTGTGGGGTACAGCGCTGCTGGTCGTCTGCTCTGGCCCCCTCTTCTCATACCGTCTCACACAAGTGAGACTAGTTAGTCTTGTTTATAAATCTTTCATTACCCTTTCAGAAAAGTTAGCCACCATTATTGGTGTTGTGCTTACACCGCAGGAACAGATGTTTGCTTTGTTTTCCACAGGGTATAAATGTTGCTGTTATTCATTGCAAGAATTGCACTGTACTGCATGTTGAATACAGAGTATTCATTCATCACCATTTTCTGTTTTTGTGGATATTACGAAGAAATCGTTTATGCACAATATGAAAGGGGCAATACATATCTATTCTTAGTGAGATATTTTAGCTGATTAAGTCCAGCCGATTATTAATTAAATCAGATGTGTTACCTATGACACTCACAGGCATAAATATAGAATTTTTTCCTTGCAGGCTACAGATCTTGCATTCCTAAAAGGCGTCTCATCCCTAAGGTTCTTGTAAATTCCTCTGCACAAAGCACCATGACAGATATAGATATTAGTAATATGATGGAAGACTTCAGCAATTCTTTACTTGATAAAGTGAGTAATCGTTATTATACTTTACAATGATCTGTTACATATATATGGTACAAATAATTTTTTATCATTATCATTTCACCATTTCTCACTAACACTGTCCAGTCTGGCCTCTCCACACATTTTCAACCGTAAACATTCAGTGCAAAGAAATGTTTGCAATCATTTTACATTTTCATTGTTATTTGTTGGGTTATATCTATAAATTTGGTGTCTAAATGTTAAGACATAAATTCTCTAGAAAATAGATACAAAAAGTGTATTTATACTAGATTATGCGCGACAGTGGTGAATATACGGATGTTATGAATAATAATCCGATGACTCATTTTAGCATCATCGGAACATAAAAGATGGTAGCTAGATGCCTGCCCAAATAAAAATGACCTGTTGTATAGTAAAGGAAGATCATTGGCATGAAAAATTGCCTTTATTTATCCATTATATTATCATACACAATATATGGTAGAGTATATAAATTATAATCGGCAGAAATGCAGATGTTCAATTTAAAAGGAACATGACTTAAGTGGGTGTGTAATTTAGAAATCTCTGACATCATATTACCTCTGGGAACATCCCTTGTTTGAAAGGGATGATAATCTTTGAGAGATTATCCAAATTCCTCCAAGTGTTACATTTTACTCTTGAAGAAGCACCCGAGTCATTTGTCAGTGTATGTAAAGAATGGTTTTGCCTTTGGTAAACAGGTAGAGATGTGAGTCTGGATGGAAACAACCGATTGTGTGACTGAGAGGCTGTGGTAGTACTGTAATTGGAATGTCTTAGACATTTGTCTAATAAAACTGCTTAACAGGGCAAAAGAAAAGCAAAAATCAGTCTCAATGAAAACGGTCTACAGATTGCTCTTGAAAGTTTAAAGAATAAAGGTGCTTGGGAAAATATTAGTGGTTGTTGGTGTAACCTTGCGAATTATATCTTAAACTTAGATATTTGTTCTAACATATTTTGTTGATATTCTTTAGTGATGATAATATTGGTTTAATATTTGTATCACACTCAGCTGCCAAATATCAAGGCTGACAACAGCGATGACAGTGGTGTGCCCGAGCTCCTTGGTGCCACTCTGTGGGACGACGTTACTCAGAATGGATCCTCGGTTGACTCAGGTATGTTTTAGTTATTGCTACACTTAAGCACATAAGCATAACAAAAAGTTCAAAAGTGGCAATGAGTCACAATAACGTGGCTAAAGTATGATGACAAGACCACACACTAGAAGGTGAAGGGACGACGACGTTTCGGTCCGTCCTGGACCATTCTCACTATCGACTTGAGAATGGTCCTGGACGGACCGAAACGTCGTCGTCCCTTCACATTCTAGTGTGTGGTCTGGTCATCAAATTCAAGTCCTATTGGCCATTAAAGGCAGCTCCTATTTATATCCACCCAAACTTATTCACATTTACAGTATGTCTAACCTATGCAGGCGATGAGTCACAATAACGTGGCTGAAGTATGTTGACCAGACAACACACTAGAAGGTGAAGTGACGACGACATTTCGGTCCGTCCTGGACCATTCTCAAGTCGATTGTGAATGGTCCAGGACAGACCGAAACGTTGTTGTCTAACCTTTGCTTGAAAGAATTAAGTGATCCCATCATCTATTATGTTAGCTAGTAATTCGTTCCATAAATCCATAATTCTGTTTTCAAACTAGTATCTACCCAGATCTTTTCTGAATCTAATGTTCTCCAATTTGCATCCATTGTTTAAGACTTATATTTTGCATTGATATGCTGTACAATATTTAAAACCATACTTATATCCCCCTTTGTTATACCCTTTCATCCATTTATATTCATCAATAATGTCACTTCGTGCTCCTCGTCTTTCTAGTGAATGCAAGTTAAGATTTCATAATATCTCTTCATAAGGAAAATTTCTTATTCCCAGGATTAACTTTATCATCCTTCTCTATATGTATTATTAAATTGAATTTGCCCATTCTTTAGTACGGTGACCAAAACTTAACTGCATAATCTAAATAGGGGCCTAACAAAATTGAGATAAAGCTGAAGAATAACATTAGATGTCTTATTGCTAACACTTTTAGTAGTAAATTCCAGTATCCTATTTGCTTTATTCTGTGCATTTATGCATTTATTATTTAGCTTAAGATCCCTACCAGTTATGGCTCCTAGATATTATCTAGGAGCCATAAATTCATAATTTCTTCTTAGTCTTCTTCATAGACTTCATGTCCTAAAGGGTAAATTTCCAGAAATCTGAATATCACAAAAGTCTAGGATACAGTCTCGAACTATACAATCTGGATTTAGGAGGTTTGCCTGTATGTGCACTTCATTTGATTAGGATCATATAACTAAGGTTCCTTTTTTTGTTTGTCTGGTTTAATGTGCCTGCAAATGGTGTGGGTAGAGGGAATAATTTTACTTGTAATAATATTTCCTAATATTGTTTGTATTGTGAAATATGACTGGCATAGGGATCAGGGAATGTCTCCATTGAGTTTGTGGTTTTGCATGTTTTAAATTGTAGTAATACATATTTTCTCATAAAAAACAACTACAAATGGCAAGTGTCAAAATCTCTGTTATACATGTGATAATATTGTTCAAAATCATGTATGCATGTTTATTTAGTGGCCAATTATGTAAAATTTTGAATGCTTCTAAATGGGGTAAATATCCAATTCTCCATTATTTTTTTCAGGTTGTGTAGAGATGTCTTCAGATTCTGATACTTTGCTGGATGTATTAGGGAAGATGAGCATTGCTCCAAACCGAGAGAATGTTGGGCTGAATGAAGGCAACAGATCCTTGAGAGGCACTCCACGGTCAAAAACTAAAGCTGACCTTTCCTTACAAAGTGGTAGACCAACAACTCCCCAACAGCAGCAATTATCAGATGTAACAATACAGAATGATCAACCAGTAAACTTGGATAACGAATTTTCGCAAAGCCTCTTGGCAAAATTGTCGTTTCTTGCTCAAAGTCCACTTAGGGAAGAGACAGCATCAGTGTCTTCTAGAACATTTAGAGAGTTTGATGACTATGTTTCTTTAGAATGTAAGGCTCAAAATCCAGTAAGACGTACATGTGATGAGGACGCTAGCCGTAGTGGTGAAGTGGAAATACTTAGACATGATTCTAAAACTAAATTAAATCTATTGATCGAACAGGTCCAGCAGATGAAATCAATGTATCCCTCAGAAACAGGTTTATCTAAAGTTAGAACAAAGGAAGTTGAATCAAAATCAAATTTTATGTCTTACGTTGAGAATTTGAAAAATGTAAAGGATAGTAATGGGAAGTTTTCGGGAAGAGAGCTTGAGAATGTCCTGAATGTTGTTGGAAAAGATAATACAACGTTGAGCACCTGCAACATCAGCCTCATGGAAGACTTTATACCTACCAAGACTGATTCTAACAAATATGAAAAGGATGCAATGAATGTTGATATTCATGAGGATTTCCATAGTAATTTAAGAAGAATGTGCAAGTTTTTAGGTGATGATGATGATGATGATGACGATACGCTTACAGAAAACAATTTGGAAGTGAAGGTATAGTATATGACTTGATTTACATTTAACACTTTTACTCCATATCAGAAACCCCCTCAAAAGGCATGTTAGATTTGTTTACAGTTTCAGACCAATCCAGAATTTTCCTTCAGGCATTAAACTTCTTATGAACCAAATTATTTGTGTTAAAATGTGTCATACAATTGTGATGCCAGTGTGTAATATTCATGTTACTGTACATGCTTGCATCATGTCCCCTTGCAACTTGGGTGCAACACCCAGGGATGCCCATATGACAGAGTGAAAGATGATGTTTTTCTCACATCTACATAATTGTTGTACAAATCTAGTTCATTTAGCATTTATGTGGCCAGGAAAAAGTACTTGGTATTAATATTCAGGTAAGTATTTTCTTGCAATGAAAGTGGCAAGAGGTGACTTGGGAGTCTCAGAAATGCATACTTATTTTTCCTATACAGTATAACAAATTTACATGAATATCAGTGAAGTTTATGTGGATATATAATAGATTGAAGATTACTATTATACAAAACACATACCTTAAACTTGCACTGATATTTTTCTTATTGAACAATTGTACAAGTGTTCTAGTCTTTATTTATTTTTAACTTTTTTTCATAGAATGCTGGGGAGATCATAGATGCAGAAGAAACCTTTGCTAGTTCTACAGAAATACAAAACATATTAGGGACTGCATATCAAAAATCTTCCTACTTGCCTGAGAACTCTGTGTTTGATACACTTATAGATTCTATTCTTACGGGCGAGTCATCGTCTTCCATTTTAAATGATGAAGCTGTGAAGGCAGAGATTCGTAGAGGTGAGTCTTATAGTGCATAATACTGTCAGTTTTTATCTGTGATTTTGTGTTCTAAATTGAAGCCCTCTACTGAGGAAGATGCTACAGTAGTTATGGATATAAATATGATTAATTTTACTTAAAATCACACACCATGAAAAACATGCTCAACCTCTTGGTCTGGACGGTAGAGCGACGGTCTCGCTTCATGCAGGTCGGCGTTCAATCCCCGACAGTCAAGTGGTTGGGCATCATTCCTTCCCCCCGTCCCATCCCAAATCCTTATCCTGACTCCTTTCAAGGGCTATATAGTCGTAATGGCTTGGCACTTTCTCCTCATAATTCCCCTTCCCATGAAAAACATTAAAAAATGTCAGTATATTACCAAATTTGAGGATTTATAGCTCTATCAGCTTGGCTTGGCCGATTAGCAAAATATTGGTTAATACAATGCCTTCTGGCCCCTGTACTGTGAGTCAGCACTTTGTCATTGATACTGTACTAAAAAAAAAATTTTAGTTGGCTTTTCCTACCTTCAAGGTAAAGAATTAACTTTAATGTTAAGGTACTCCATAATAATTGTTTTGGCCTTGAAAGCCAAAATGCTTATTCCTAATAGCTTTAATACTTATTGGTCATAGCACTTTTCTCTTAAATTCCATATACTGTAGCGATGTGAGAAAATGATGACAATTCATTCAAAATACGTACGTTAAACCATGGCTTGTCTTTTACAGAAAGTATAACATCTCGTAGACTGTCCCTCACCAGGGACCGGACAAGCTTCAGCTCCAACAAACGTTTATCAGGATTCTTTGCATCTTGCCCCGGGATTCTTGGTAAGCAAAAGGCACCATATACCGTTTCTTATTTAAATTGTTTTTCTAACATGCCAGTTAGCTGTTAAATGTGTCTCTTTTAGATGTACAGTACTAAAACTAACTGATATGTCTCCAAGGCTGTTCAGTAGGTAAATTATGCTTTTTTTTTTCTTATGACATCTCTTCTTGAGGTTATCTTGAGATGATTTCGGGGCTTTAGTGTCCCCGCGGCCCGGCTCTCGACCAGGCCTCCACCCCCAGGAAGCAGCCCGTGACAGCTGACTAACACCCAGGTACCTATTTTACTGCTAGGTAACAGGGGCATAGAGTGAAAGAAACTCTGCCCATTGTTTCTCGCCGGCGCCTGGGATCGAACCCAGGACCACAGGATCACAAGTCCAGCGTGCTGTCCGCTCGGCCGACCGGCTCTCACCTGCAGTTACTCTCTAATGATTTTTGTATCTTCAAATTTGTTCTTTTTATTTATTTTTGTTATTATTTACCCTCTTAAATATATTTATGTATACTAATGATTGAAGATGTTCAGATGTGGGAAGTGAGTGTGCAAGGAAGCAGGAATTAATTGTGAACATTACAGAAGAATTTGTAAGGAATATAGTTAGATGGAATTAGTTTAAGATTGAATGAATGAATGTTTGACACTGGTTTCACTTGATTTACAATGAAACACACAGGAAGCAGCACCCAGTTGTATGAAGTGGTAGGGTGCTACTGTGGATGTGAAACATTGTGAATCACTACTGCCACCACCAACTCCTCAAACCTTGTTACACTGCCACCACCAACTCCTCAAACCTTGTTACACTGCCACCACCAACTCCTCAAACCTTGTTACACTGCCACCACCAACTCCTCAAACCTTGTTACACTGCCACCACCAACTCCTCAAACCTTGTTACACTGCCACCACCAACTTCTTAAACCTCGTTACACTGCCACCACCAACTTCTCAAACCTCGTTACACTGCCACCACCAACTCCTCAAACCTCGTTACACTGCCACCACCAACTCCTCAAAGCTTGTGCAACATTGCCACCACCTCCCTTTCCCCTACCTCCTTAGCCTTACATCTAGTTGTACTCATTACCAAAGCTCTCCTCATTATACCACTTTCTTCATATTCTGAGACAACATCAGCTTGTGGATACCTTTCTTGATCACCCACATGGGATCAAAATATATCTAGTTGTGTGGAACATGGGTTAGTGTGGTAAGACACATGAGGGGTTAATTAGTAGGGGTGCAGTATGAGTTTTAAAGGAAGTTAAATTTTTATGGGATACTAAATACTATCAGTACAGAACTTGTTTATTGAATGAACAGAGTTGATTTGTGCAATGTACTTCAACTTATTGCGTATTCATAACTCGTAATCGGTAAATTATCTAATATATTTACAGATGAAAACGATTCCTGCTTGCTGTCGTCATCATTAGATGATATTTTTGACGTCTGAGAGATGTCCAAAGCACTGTCCAAGAAGGTAGAGTGTTGCAAAATATAGTACAGTGCATAGTGTTTTGGGAGTCCACAGGTGAGCAAAGCCTGGCAGTTAGCTTTACTTAGCTCTTAAGCAAATTCTTGATCATTATTGTATATTATACACATCCATATTGTCATTTTATTTGGCACTGTTTTTCTAAAGAGTAACGGAGAAATGCTTGAAAGGCTACGAACTTGGGTATCTGTTGTTGCTTCAAGTTTTGGTGAGAGGAAAAAGTTTTGTCAGCTTAGGCTACATAGCCTTCCCGGTTTGGTGCCTTCTTTTGATAATTACTTACTTTGTCAGCTTAGGGAGGCAGTGTAACTGAGCGATGATTGTACGGGCAGTTCAAAAACGGTAGATTATTGAATCTAAACTGAATCTGTATATGGATAAATAAGGTTTCAACTATTGTAATAAGTGATGAGTTAAGAGCAGTGTTGGTGGTGGGTTTTCAATATGTTAATATTGAACACTAAATTATAAGTGCACCATATATCTGAACAAAAGTTTAAATTGATTCTAAGTGAAGGCTTAGTCATGCAAGTGTTGTAGCTTGTAGATTTGTTTTGCATCGCTAATTTTGTTAAATTATATTTACACTGGGTGGTTCTAATGCATACGGATCAATTTTACACATCAAAGTTTTATTTTTATATTTTTATGTAACATTGTCAGGTAGGGATATTTGTTTGTTTTATTTAATGTACCAGTACCACAAACCCAAAAATCACACAAAGTGTGTCGAGATGTACATTAGCATGTTTCTCAAAGTTAAGGACTAATGTTGTTAAATTAGTAACAACATTACATTAGCTCGGGATGACTTTGAGATCTCGATTCCATGTGACTGAAAACCTTTACACAGCCTTATCTTAAATAGGCTGTAAACCTTATTAAAGAGAGTATCCCACCTTTATGCTAACTTCTTGCCACCTACAATAACATGTGCTGTATTATTCGTTGTGGAATTCAAAAATATATTAAATGTTCAAAAGAACTTACTATAGTATTGTGCAATATAGTTAACTTCTGAGACCAATCACAAAGTTGTCTTTGATAGCACTGATCTATATACTGTAGGAGGTCAGCCTCTTTACATTAAAAGTAGGATTATTTATCGAGGCCTTTGTAATTTGAATAATTGTTTTAACATATGTTTCCACACATTAAAATATTACTGAACTTCCATAGAAAATCTTTTACATTTATACTTTACTCTCCTGTGAGTTGAATAACATATTATCTTCAAGATTTTGTGGCAAATGAATGCATTTTGTAATAAAACCTTTATGACTTAAGAAAATATTTGCATTTTATGTATACTGTATATATTTTACTAACTAAAGTTGACTATACGGTTCTTATTTTCATAATATTCTGATGGCTACTTTTGTTGATTGTTAGATATGTAGATACAGTACTGTATTTGAGAAATGTAGATACACTACTGTATTTGAGAAAGAGAGAGGGATGATGTAGAATAAATTGGTGCAGTTATATGCTCCTAATCACTTTCAAGATGGCAAATTTAAACTTTAACGTGGTGCAGTTTCTATATAAATGTCTCGACAAATATTGCAAGACTTCCTCACTTCTTTATTGAAATTAATTTATATATTTGCATGATTACATTTATAATTTATCATATATCAATGTCAGTTTTTACATGGCATACTTTTATTGTCAGTTTCAATTATTTAACACAGTGGATATATTTTCAGACCAGTTGTTACATAATATTCATAATTTTTTAGGACGGTTGAGATGCCTTTCCATATATTTTATGGAGATATTGCATCTATGAAAAAAATATGATAATGTATCCTCGTGCAGGTCTTTAGTAATGGGATTAGTATTTGGGGTACAATTTGTAAAAGAAGAGTCCCACAAGGGTCAATGGTGGTTTATATCTTTAGGAATAGTTATCAAAAGATACATGTTACCCCCACATATAAGGAGAGAGCTGTATATCATGGTGGTTATGTCTTTGGGAATAGTTATCAAAAGATAGATGTTACCCCCACATATAAGGAGAGGGCTGTATGTCAGTAAACTACTCTTACACTTAACATGCGGGAAGATGTGGAATGACCCGGAAATGTAATATTTAGGCTCGTGAAGACGTTTAAATGTTGTGTTTAGTATTATAAAATGGGGAGGAATAAGGAAAAGGGAGTGTGTGTGGGTGTTTATTGACAGAGAGAGGTTTAGGGCCTGTGCTAATTTGTCTTCCTTTATTAAAGATGGTTAGGACATGTATCTTGAGGTTATCTTGACATACATGCAAACCATCATTTGTATTATGTAGCCATCCATGTAGAAAAAGAGCTGTAGCATGGCTACATGGTTATCATGTAACCATCCATGTAGACAAAATTATGGGTTCTGATTATATGATAGTAATGCGGTCATTGTAAATTATTTGCTTATGTTATATTATTTTTTTGTAGGAAGTTAACATATACATATGTGAACTTTTGTGAAGAGGTTCATTGTTCAAATAGTGTAAGCAGTACTAGAAACACTTACATTGCTGTTTTTTTTTTCATTTATTGTGTACTCAATACTCATCCTGTGAGCGGCAGTGGAAAAGGCACTGAACATATTTTACATACACTGAGCATAATAAGGATTCTGTTAAAGGAAGATGAACATTCATAATCTCCAGAATGGGTTTCGTGTTCATTTTAAAGTTGTGTGGAGCAATGTTACACTGACTTTATTTCAATTTGTACTTTATGCATTCAAGGAGGTGATATAATTGGAGAAGGGACTTAATGAATTTGAAGTGGATTATCAAAATGAACTGTGGGAAAATTAAAAAAATCCATGTTTTAGGAATGGAGGAAAAAAATAGCCGAATATTATAAATGTAGGTTATTGGATTTTGTGAATCCTAAGCCTTTACGTACACTGAGCATAATTTTTACATTTAATAATAAATACCTGTATATAAACTTTTGTAATTGAGACTAAATTTAAGTTTCCCCTAGATAAGTGGGAATCATAATTCCCTTATGATAATTACTTATTATTTCTGTCTTGCCATAAATTAAGTTGTATTGCAAATCTACAAATACTGTAACTGAAAAAATATTTAATCCCTGAAGCCTATACTTCCTCCCAGAAGCTCCCCTCTCACAAGATGGTCACAGCAGATGTTTTTACTACAAAAGGCTCTACCACTGCACAAACCTTTCATATTTGTAATTGCTCTAACCACTTCCCCTTTCTTGTAAATATTGATTCATGGTCCCCTTGCAAGATACTGGCTGCATGCCTCATATGACCCCCTTGCACACCCTTGCTAAATGATTCTCGGCAGCTGTTCCATGACAAAATCCTCGGCTTCTTTTGACGTTGCTTGTCTTGTCTATCTGCTGTCATATTAACATCCTGAATACTATCTTGAATATTCTTTATCACAGATAGTGCTATATAACAATCCTGGCATAGTGTTTTCTTTTGATAATTACTTGCTTGGACATTCTGGGTGGTTGGTTGCCCGAGTCAATCACAGCAGAGCACATTAAAATGTAGGTCGAGTTCTCATTCACTTTAATATTGGAATTGGTCACCTGTCTGTTTGTAGTAAGAAAAGGTGGGAGTAATATGATGGCTGGTGGCAGGACACTACAGCCAGCCTCGACTTTACAGGGGGTTACTAGCCGTCTTTGTTTCTACTGACTGTTCAGTGGTGCAGTGCCAAGTGATGGAAGCAAGTGCTATCAAAACAAACTGATTCTAAGTCACAAGCTTCAGAAATGGTAACCTTGTGGCAACTAGTACTGTATTTCCATATATATTGCACGTGTTCACATATTCATAATTTCACAGTACTGTATAAGTAAACAAATGATTAACAAAATTTCTTTATGACAAATTCAATATAATAAAAGATAATACTTTATATACTCTCTATAGTATATGTTACATATTAAATAAAACTCATTTATCGGCTTTAACAAATGTATAAATGAACTAAAAATAAACAAGGTTTAAGATAGAACATTTCAAACTCACTAACTGATGTAGTTAAAATACTTCATGGCTATTCATTGAGAAAATGACAGAAGCTCTCGTGACAATATTTGATGTATGAGAGTAGAAATATACTGTACAGTCACTGAAAAACTGATACCTGTATTATACCAATGCTATATACTCCCACTCAAATCAGTTAGAGTGGACAGTAGAGTGATGGTCTCGCTTCATGCAAGTCGGCGTTCAATCCCTGACCATCCAAATGAATGTGCACTATTCCTTACCCCTCGTCCCACCACAAATCCTTATCCTAATTCCTTCCAAGTACAAGTACTACATATAGTTGTAATGGCTTGGTCTCCTCATAGTTCCCTTCCTTAAATGGTTAAACCAGATTTCTGAAGTAGAGGGAATATAGAGGACATATATGGCCCCCCCCCCCCACACACACACACACACACAATAAAGCACCTAAATTATTGGGACTGTCTCATAATGTACTCTCTGAAACGGAAACAAGAGAGGTTACACATAATATATACGTGGAAAATACAGGAAGGCCAGGTCCCAAATTTGCACGGTAAAATAACATGCAGTACTGGAGCGAACAATACGGTAGGAAATGCAGAATATAGCCGGTGAAAAGTGAAGGTGTCGTAGAAACATCAGATTAAAAAAATAAGCCCTCCTGGAAATCCTGCATTGAATGTAATAAAAAGCCTCTTACTGGTGGATCTCTTCTGTATCTCCCAGTTTCCGTCTTCCTGTTATGTTCAGGAGCCTTACTTTGGCATTGTGTGAATAACTGCTACCAAAGGGCACTCGTGATTTGCTAAGAATCTGGTGCGATACCTGGGTTTAGAGGATATAGGTGGGAAGCTCAGCGAGATGGAAGAGACCCACCAGAAAGGGGCATTTCATAACATTCAAAGGTGATTTTTTTTATATAGAACCTTGAGATTAGCATCGATGAAATACGCCTAAATGCACAGAAAATACTTATGCTACCAGTACAGTATAAGATTAAATATCACTAAAAGAATAATATAATACACCTATAAATTGTTTGAAATTATAATAAATTTATACAAATTAAGGGGGTAAATTTAATATTATCTAGTTAGAAATACCGGCAGGACTTGGTCATTTTATTCCTCCGTGCTGTACCTTTCCTTGTATGTTAGTTCAATGATCCTCAGACTAAATTTAGAATTTCTACCATTTTTTGTTCCGATTGTACAATTGCTAATTAGTTTCATATATTATGGCTGTTTAAATGTTATTAAATGTAATGTATTAAATGTTGTACTGTTCCAACATTTTTTTTTTATTGATTGAGCCCATGCAGATGCTAGATGCTGTGGAAGTGGTGTCTGTCCCAATTAGTCAGTTACAGCAGGAGTACACAGTACAGTACAGTACACTAGTTAAAATCCTGAGAAAATGTTAATCTAATTTTCTAACAAATATTGTAAGGTTTAATATAACTCTGAAGTGCAAATCCACAAGGGCCGTGACGAGGATTCGAACCTGCGTCCTGAAGTGCATATTTGAATGCTATTATATTTTATATAAGTGTACTGCTAGCAATGTGCAGATATTTAGCACCAACTATTTATTATAAATGAGTGCCATCAATAATGTACAGTATACGATACACCCCATGCAAGTACAGTAATAGATGGGACCTTTAACATTTAATACTGAAATGATTAAGTTGTACAGGTATGTAAAGTCTATAAAATATTGATAAAACAATAGCTTCATTTAAGTACCAATATAAAAATAACAATTACTTGCAGTGTGATACTTATTATTTTATAATTTAGGGAACCGAGTTAAAAAAATTTAATCCACAGATATTTAGAGGACACGTTAAGGCAATATTACTCTCGAGTTACAACTGCATAGTGAATTTATGCACAGTACCATCAATCATACTTAAAACCTGCTCATCATAGTTTTCACTAAGTAGCAAAAAATTTTATGCAATCACAGTAAGGATGTATAATTTTGTATCTGTATCCTGCAAATACCTATGAAATCTTTGTGTTAGGGTTTCATGCCAACAATGGATGGTATTCCTCAAGGAGTCTCTTGCGGTAGATGTGCGAGAAGCCACAGAGCGATGCTGCCCATTTGAGGGACAGAACTGACCATATTGCCATGAAGTAATGATTTGTACCAATGTTATCCATGGAGGGGAAACCTGCATATAAATATTAAAAAAGTTTTCAGTGTAATGTACCTTTAAAAGTTATTTTTTAATTGTTTACATGCTTCTAATGATATTGTAGCATGACACTGGAAATAATGCAATGCTTTTTATAATACAGTACTATGTTTGGCAATTCTAAACTGACAAATGTCTACATGATAATGTTCCTTTGTTTTACATTGTAAAATTTAGGAAATGCAGTGCAAATTACTTTCAAATAGTGTAATCTTACCTTCATTTCTGGATATAGCAATACCAATGTACACTGCTGTTCCTATAACCCCAGCTATCAACCCTAAGAGCCCCAGAAGTCGTATTTGCAGAAGGTTCTCTGGTGTGTACCACAGCTCTATGGAGTGCTTCTTGTACAGAATGTGGATGAAGAGTGTTGTAGCAGCAAATGTTCCTGTAGCAAAGGTGACACAGTTTTCATATACAATTAAATTGTTTACAAATTCAAATGTACAATATATATATATATACACTTATGTAGTTCAAGTTGTGTTTGTAAACTCTGAGCATATGATTAATGTGCCTCTTATATGATTGTTGGAACATTATTGCAACCTTGAGGGTCTCCATATGTACTGCCTTTGCTGAAAATTCCTCCATTGTTGCAGTTCATTTTTACCAAGAGAAGGTTTATGACACCATCTGCAGATACAATATTTTAGATAAAAGATGTTTGTCCCTCAATAGAATCCTTGGTAAATCCGATACCTTTGCTGTTATTCGCCTTATGTCCTTCCGTTCTTGTATTTGTATCTTGAGTGATAGTTAATGCCTTTTGAATATCTAGTGATGCAGATGATGCTCCATAGTCTTCCCACTTTGGTGCCTTCTTCTGATAATTACTTGCCATATATTATTAAAAATGTGTGAATGCTCAAGGACCACATCTCTGGATATTTCTAGAGTTTATTGTACTGTATAGTTACACTGTTTCATGTTAAGTTTTAACTAAAATTATAAAATAATATACAGTACTCTCCAGTTTATTACCTGACACAAAAGCCCACATGCCAGCTTGTCGATTTTCGAAGTGGAAGAAAAACACACCAAAAGCTGACCATCCTGCTATGACTCCAATTACAGCAGTGATGATGTTGAAGTACATACAGCAACCACTACGACGAGCCATGATGAGTGGTTCAGCCAACTACCTGAAATTTTTACATTGGAAAAGTGCATTGAATGTTAATGAATGGGAAGAAATAAGCCACATAGAGGTGTAAAAAGTTGAAATGAAAATGCATAGGATGTGAAATTGCAGAGTGCAATAACATAAAAAATAGATGGTTTAAATACAGTAGCTACATGGATATGGTGTTGATTGATATGATTGGAAAAATGGAAGAGTAATCAACATCATGGAAGGAGCAAGTGGAGTAATGCATATTTACAAGTAAAATGCTTGTGCCGATAAACAGGGCACTGAACAGAATAGAAAGATATGTTAATTTGGACAACTTTGAGGCTTAACTGTTTTATATGTGCCCTAAATTTAGAGTTCCTACATGTAAATTGCACCATAGATAGATACTTGGTGCATAGAAAATTGTCATCCTAAATAGTCTCCTGCTGCTATGATAATAACTCCTGTTCTTGCCAAGGCCAGCTCTGGCTCACAATCGATAATGTGTCACTCTGGGCCGCCAATCATGGCTTCATCTATGACTAAAACTTGGGCTACAACTTTCACTTGAAGGCAGGTCATTCCTTGCCTCCCGTTGTCACACTACGGTAATCCCCTTGTGTATAGGGATACAGTACTGCCAAACTCTAGGGGTTCATCTTTGACACCCAAGATTAATTAATCTGCAGTGCACAACTGTTGGCAGAGTCAGTTTGGTATAGGTAATAAACTGCATCCTCATCCTTATCTGAGCTCTGCTCTCACCCTCCGAGCTCTCCTCCAGCCTCGCACATGCTCTCTGCCCCCGGCCACCTTCAGCACCACATCCTACCTGATCCCGCTAGCAGCAAGTAACAAGTGTCCTCGTCTCAACCCATCATGACACCATCGTACCATTTCTAACATCCAACTGCTGTAACCAAACTGTTAAATAAACATTAAAGCCTCCATACTCTTTTGAATATTTCACCCAAAATCTAATACTGTACGTTACAACATCAGAATTTGTAACCTTTTCAAAAAACGACACATTAAACATGGCACTAAAATTGTATCATTAAAAATGGGTACTGAATTAGGATTGCTTAAAAGTTCAACAGCCAAAATACCTGAATTGCAAAAGGTTTAAAAAAATAGATTGGTGTTAGTGCATTCTTTTCCTGCTTAATGCCCTGATCTGAACAACTGATTGTTACCAGATGGTAGAATTTTCTGAAAATGTACATTACTCCGAAAATTTAATGTAACTTTGTCACATTTTGACCATCCACCAAACTTTTGCAGTACACTGGCTAAAAAAAAGAAAGAAAACAGGACTGAATAGTGACAAGATTCAGAATGTTAGTAGTTTGACAGAGGTTAAATTTAATCAGATCTACAGTAACAGGTGTTGCTAACTCCTTAAACTAAACCTAAGCCTAACCTAAACCTAGCCTATCATAAGTCTGCTGATCTAATTGGATAACATTTAAATGTCATTTTCTTCTTGCAAATTTGTATGATAGAATAACAAGTGTAGACAGTGTACACTTTATAAAGTTAAATTGTCTTACAGTTCTAAATACTGTACCTGTATTGTAAGTACCTCAGGCTACTTGTAGGCAATCAAAAGTAATAATTAAGCCAATAATCAAAAGATTATCTCACCACTATGACAAGGTAGTGGAGGAAAAAAGAGGCTAGAAAAGCACGTCAGTAAATGTATGCTGGTACAATGCTGTCTCGGCCGAATCTCCTTCATTAAGGATGAAAAGGAGATGGTCGAAATAGGAAATCCACAATTGCAAGCATTCGCCAAGGATATGTGGCATGGAAACAGCAGCTGAGAGGCAAAGCTGCAGAATTTGCAGCATGATTGATGGACATTGTCTGAATTACTAGCTGAGAGATTGTGCCCATCTAAAAGACATCAGAAATATGCGCAGTATAATAAACCCTGTGTTATTTGAGTTTAGGAATGCACTTCTTGTAAGATATATTGTATGTACTGTTCAAAAAAGATTTCCCCACTTGTCACCAACAACACATACTTGATGGTTGAAAGATGTTAATCAACTTGTCCAATGACAATTTATTAAAATTAAATAATATAAATTAATGTAAACTACATGATTACAAATGACAAATTAATTAAGTTATTAATTAATAAAATAGTGTAGGTTTACATAATTACAACATCTATAGTATCAAAAACTATATAAGCTATAAACAAACAGTGACCATATTACGGGCTATTCATGCCCGTGCCACTACCTCTTGGGGTGACTTAATCTTTATCAATCAATCAACATAAAATGTTCCAGACTTCGACCTGTTTCCAGGCGCCACAACACCAGATACCATCATTTGTATTTTCCTTGACATTACCTGCGACGCTCAAAGCTCCCTGCATAATACTTTTCACACACCTTTGATGAAAGAAGAGAGGACAGACAGGTTGTGAGTGAGAGAGGAGAGAGAGAGAGAGTACAGGAGGCCTCACCTGGCGCCCTCGGGGATGCGGGTGCCAGCTGGGTTTGTTTACTGTGGAGGAGGCGGTGGTGCCGCTTCCGATGGTGGGCGGTGGTGCCACTTCCACCTGACAACACCATTTCATTCCATTTGAGGCAAGTAGAGTACAACTATTTTATATATATATATATATATATATATATATATATATATATATATATATATATATATATATATATATATATATATATATATATATATATATATATATATATATATATATATATATAAAGAGAGAGAGAGAGAGACAGACAGACAGACAGAGAGAGAGAGAGACAGACAGACAGACAGAGAGAGAGAGAGACAGACAGACAGACAGACAGACAGACAGACAGACAGACAGACAGAATAATAAAAAAGTTCCAATATTTATTTATTTATTTCGCATTATCATTTCCAGATCATCAAAATCAGCAAATATAAGTACTGTACATCGTTTAGAAACCTAAATCAGGACTCCTTCAAGGTAATCTACACAATATTTGTGAGATCAATACTAGAATATACATGGAATTCACACTTTTTGAAGCATTAAGCCAAAATTTAAAAAAAGTACAAAGGTTTGCAACAAGATTGATGCCAGAGGTAAAGGGGCCAATTAAGCTACGAAGATTGGCCAATGGAACTAAATCTCACAACCCGAGAGTATAGGAGGAACAGAGGAGATATGAGCACAGCATACAGGCCATTGAGGGGAATAGACAAAGTGGATAAGGATACAAAGCAGGATAAGAGGACACAGGTGGAAGCTAGAATTAAAAATAAGCCAAAGGAACGTAAGGAAGTAATTGTACCCTGTATTGGGCAGTTAAAAATGGAATGCTTTAAAAGAGGAAGGTGTTGAAAGCCACCTCCATCCATAACTTTAAGGCCAGATTTGACAAAGAATTTGATCGTCAGAATAGTTAAACTGAAACATAACTAGTGGCTAGTAAGCCAGTAGATAGGGCATAAAGACATATCTCAGTGTTTCTATATACATTAATCAACGGACAATCAAGAACATAATGGGCAAGGGGGTGAGACCTTAACATACCACATAGTTTACACTTCGTAACGAAGATAGTTACAAGATACGAGCCAGATGGTGTTGAGATTGCAAAAGGAATTATGATTTGAACGCCAAAAAATCAATGCGTAAATGTTTGCAAATATGAGGCTGGGACTTATTTCTCGAAAAGTTAGCAATAAAATACGCTTTTTAGTTCTTTATTTTTAAAATTAAGACCAGGGATTCTGTCTAACGAAGCTGCAAGCTAAAACACCGTTATCCTATAATGTTCATTTGTAGCTTGACCCTAAATACTCGTTTATTAAGCGAATTTATTGTTAGAGTTCATTAGGAATCAACTTATGTTAAAGGCAGAGTTTCCAACAAATAATTTCCTGTGATAGGCTGTTGCGGGGAATGCCAACGCTTATATGAATAAAATGCAAAATAAGAAACGTCCTTTTGCTCAATAACCTTGTTGTTGTACAAAAGAACAACAATTTCTGTTTTATACAAGACAGAAATTTCCATCTAACTGAATAATGTAGACTAATAAGAGGACGGAGACATTACTGTATCGCCGATATTATTTGTGTGAGGCAACCACCACTGATGACGTCACAAGTCAGGTAGCCAGCCCATGTTTCTGTAACACCCTTTACATCCTGCAGTATTTAATTATCACTATATTAATACTTTTAAATACTTAACATTTCACTTTTTAGATAGATTAAAATTGAAGCAGAATGTCATAAGCAAGGATGGTGTGCTGAATAAAGATGATTTATTAAGTGGATGGAGCCTTTAGCTGATCCCTTCCTGTAATTGGCTGTTGTGTGAATGTCAACAAAGAGTTTCTACCAATGATATGCCATTTATTATGCACCCCATACCATCTTGGGGCGGAGCTAGGAACCTCCTACCCGAGCACAACAACCCGCCTTATGGGTTACTGTTTGGCTATTTATAGTGCGTTGGAAAAAAAAAGAGATGGCGCTAGTAGTATTTTGTGGGGTAATTTGTTATAAGTGTAATTTGATGTCAACAGATGGCGTAAGCTGTACCTTATGGCCACTATTGACCAGCCAGTTGATAGTGTTCTCTTCTGCCGACAGATGGCATTAGCTGTACTATTATTACTTCTGAATTCCCTTTAAACACTGATCTTCAAATCCCTTGGCTTATGATAAGGTTTTATACCATTTATGATAAGTATTAGATAACTGGAGTTCCGCAATTACTTTTATTTATCAACTGTTCAGGATATCATCATATTACGTCTGATTAGGACGTACTGCTCTCGATTGATAAAGATTAAGCCACCCAAAAGGTGGCACGGGCATGAATAGCCCGTAAATACTCGTAATCTCATAATATTATTCAGGGGTGGGGGAACTATCAAGTGAAAGCGCCAAGCCATTACGAATATATAGCACTGGGAAGGGATCAGGATACGGATTTGGGATGGAACGGGGGAAAGGAATGGTGTCTAACCACTTGGGCGGTCGGGGATTGAACGCGGACCTGTAGGAAACGAGACCGTCGCTCTACCGTCCAGCCCAAGTTGTTAAGGATAATATTATTAAAACAACAATTTATGCATATAAAAAGAGCATTTCACACTAAAAATACTTGGATATATTGAAATTTGGTAGTGAATTTCATTCTAGGAATCTCCTATGACTAAACTGTACTTTTTAATAATTTTATGTACTTACTACTTAAATTCGACGTAAATAGGAGGCAGTAGAGCTCCGATAAGCCAGCGCTAAATCTTCAATATGAAGAATGTTGCTGCTCTCTGATTGGCCAAACGAAACACAGTAGTGACCTTTATCGGTACGCAGGTGAACCAACAATTTTCTTCCTAAGTATACCTTATTGAATCGCACCTAAGCATCTTCTTAGGGCGCACTTAGGAACCTTCGTAGCAAACCCACTTACGAAGAAATGCACAGAGCTTCCTGAATCTAGGTCAAGGCATATAAACTGCTTTATGCAGGTGCCGACATATATGGGAACCTTACTAACTTTACTTAGCTCAACCTAACACAACCCAGCCAAATACAGTCTAACCTAAGCTAATACATCCAGGCATAACAATATACAAAAAAGGTTTTAACCAACACTGCCCAGTGTGTCCATGCGTTAAGACGGCACTAACTACTAACAGTAGTAACAACATCATTAGTAGTAGCAACACTAATTATAACAATCCTATCAGTGAATTCCGCCAAAGTCAGCCTTTGTTATATTTTCACAAATTCTTCATGGGGTGCATAATAAATGAACTAAATAAATAAATAAATAAATATGTTTATGCAGGTAAGGTACATACATACAAGTGATGTTACATTAATGGATCAATATATAGATAGAGCTAGTACATACAATGCCTAAAGCCACTATTACGCAATGCGTTTCGGGCAACTAAACTAAACTAACTTCATTTAGAAGGAAGGAACAAGATAGTCCTGCATTTTATTATACAAAAAAGCAGGACTATTTTTTTATTATCAAACAAAATATAATACGGTTATTTAATATATGAAAAATATTTATTGCAATCGCTATATTTTGTACAGAATCGCAAAGTTGTGGCGGGAAAGTGAGGCGCCGCCGCCGCCGCCCTCGACGCCTGCCGCTGCTGCTGCCTGACCTCTCCTAGATCACTCTCCCAGTCACACATCTTAGTAATTGGTAAGGAGTTCCCTGTGTAGCTTGTTAACTGTGTGGCTCATGTACCCGTTCTGTATTGGATTGTATTTGATTTATTGTATGAAATGTGTTGGATTGGAATGACCTTCCCAATCATGTTAAAGACTGTACCTCTCTCAACCAGCTCGTACACAGTTTCTTAACTGTGTAGCTCATGTACCCGTCCTGTAGTTTGTTAAGTGTGTACCTCATGTACCCGTCCTGTCTGGGCGGAGAGGTTACAGAGACACGCAATTAACAGCAATTTGGGTGGCAGTGCGGACACCCAAGCCACCGAGCCTGACAGGAAGAGTGGCTTGTTTCCACTGGCATTCGTTTAATGGGGGTTCAGGAACGAACATATATATATATATATATGTTTTATCAAGGCAAAGGGGGGAGGATTTTCAACAAGCCGCCGGCTTCCTGTCCCGGTCAAGGTCACTAGTGTCGGTGACCCTCGGGAAAATATGCTGTATTAGGCCTGGGATTGTTTGGCTTTCAGTTTTTGTCTTGTTATGCCGCTATAAAATAAATAGTATAAACTGTGAACACACAGCACCGCTCCTGTGCCAGGTAAGTCCACTACGGGCTCACCATAGCCCGTGCTACTTGGAACTTGTTCCGAGTAGCTGAATCTATAACAACAACTGTGAACAGTGTTGTTGGCTGCAACAATGCAGTCAGTCATGTATATTCGACTATGTACAGTAGTTGCTGTAAGTACTGTATTTTAAGAGGATTGTATTTGATACAAAGTATGGATAATCTTTATTTATATTTCACCGGCAGGCGATGGGTCACAATTCAGTCATCACAATCGACTTGAGAATAGTCCAAGACTCCTTTGCCACGCAGCCGGTGCAGCCTCCTGTAATGCCAAGATTCCGAGAAGACGTGAGTGTTCCTTATTTGTGGTTTTCAAGATTTATTTAATTACCGTTTCGTATTATTGTGAATTCTGTCTTTTCAGCAAATATAATGTTTCCTGTTCTGTCGATAGATTAAGGTAAGAATAGATTTCAGCAAATATAATGTTTCCTGTTCTGTCGATACAATAAGGTAAGAATAGATTGATGTATTTTTTTATTAATGTGCATTTTATATTACTCAATTTGTTTTTTAAATGTTACTAATATTGTTACCTTTGTGTGTATTTATTATTTCTTGAACAATATTAAGCCTGAAATGACGACGTTTTGGCTGTTTATGATTTTAGGTTCGGTCTGGTTTTTTTAAAAGTTTTAAAGCATCGTGGCTGAAGCCAGCATTGTACTAGTGGGGATGGGAATTGGGGTATGCTGACAATATTTGACATCATATAATTATTGAGGTTGGGAGGTGCCTTCCATCAAAATTAATGTTTTGCACTACAGTTCGGACTTTTTTTTTTTGCTCGTCCATGGGCGTGTCCATACCATTCTAAATTTCAGTATTGCCGTGAGTCTTTTAAGTTATATTTTTGAGTGAGACATTGTTTGGAGGTATGACCATTGTACCAAAAGTGGAGTTTAATCTTGTTTGTATGAATTTTTAAGTGAAGTATCTTTAATTTTTGGAATTTTGGCAAGATAATCTACTTGTTTATTCACGTTTTCAGCCTATGTGCTGTGTTCAAATTTATAGTCACATTTTGCATTTACATCCCTCAAATAAGAAAAGGAATAGGGGGTTTATCGTAAGATTTCTATTGGGGTGGAAGGGGGGTTAGCACTAGGTCACACTTACTAGCAATCACACGACCACAGATGTTGCAGCAGAAGTGAAGGGGTCCTACATGGTCAGACGAAGGGTCAAGCTCGGGTTTCCTAGGTGTGTGGCCGAGATCAGAATCAAGGAGAAGGGAATTATCAGGAGAAAGTGCTAACCCATTACGACTATATAGCACTTGGAAGACCTACACTTAGCACTTAAACGCCGACCGACATGAAGCGAAACCGTCGCTCGACCGTCCAGGTCAAGCGGTTGGTCAGATCAGAATCAAGAGCATACATCACAATTGTTTGTGGGTTAATAAGTGTACTGGATGTCATTTCCCACACACATCATCTAAAACAACAGTTGCTGAATGATTATGCAGCATTGCCTGAACAATGTGGAACTCCTGTCGGGTCATAGTTTCAGAAACATTGCTTATAATCTTATGAACTGAACTGAGTAAAATGAAGGACATTAAGAAATGGCACCATCTTTGTCGTACTTTTATTGGACATTCTTGAATTTCATTTCAAGTATTTCTCTCTTGACACCTGGAAAAATGAAAATATTCAGATGACAAAGAATTATTGCCTATAACAGTGACATGTAGTTTATCAAAATTACAGTACAGTATATATATACTTGGTTTACAGAGAAAAGTCATATATTTTGATTTTCCACTATTTGATAGGGAGGGGAAAATGGGGAAAGGGAGAGAGAGAGAGAATGAAGTGGGGGAGGGAGGATGTAGTGTGTAGGAAGGAGAAGGAGAAGGAAAAGAGAAGAGAGAAGGACCAGAGAGAAGGACCAGAGAGGGATATAATTACATACAAAATATTAAGGGATATAGACAAGATACACAAGGAAAACCTCTTTAAAATGGCACACACTGAGGATAGTCAACATGTGAAATGGAATGAAAGTTGTAATACAATACTGTAGTGGAAACCACCTCCATCCACTAATGAGAAACAGGACAACAAATGTAAATGCATCAGGTACTGTTGTCTGTGACAGGATGCCTGTATATACATATATACTTTAGGTTTGTATTGAGATCCCTCCCAAGGTCAAACTATTGACTTTTCCCAGAACGTAACCCCACAACAGTTGTCTTAACTCCCAGGTACCTATTTACTGATAGGTGAACAAATGCATTATGTAAAAGGAAATATGTCTAATCATTTCTGTCCCACCTGAAAATCGAACCTGGGATCCCCAATTGTAGTCAAGAATGAAGCCAACTCTACTACATGACCATATAATAGTTAGGAGGTGGGGATCAAAGAGCCAAGTCTCGCTGTCCATAGATGCTGAATAATATATATGGGTATGATCTCGATGTACTGTCCTGTGTATGAATTTGTTAGATACACTACAACAAGAACTTTATTTATGGGGTGCATTACAGGTCAACAAGGCAAATATACAATTCCAAACACTTTAATTATTAAAACAAATACATTACTATACTTTATGATTTAAGAATGAAAAGAATGAATCTGGTATTTCAGGCTTTATTTTTATGTTTCGATAGGCCTAAGGATGGTATTTATGCCAATGTGCGCTAAGAAACGACGTATTGTACGCTAAGCGCTAAGATGTGCCCTAAGAAACAACCGTAAACATAACAAAAATTTACTCACCTTCGTTGTTGGTAATGTGTGTCAGGATGTCCAGTTTGCCTTGGCTCTTGACAACATCAGCAAACTGTAATGTACCTCCACCAACACCAAAGTAATAACTCTTGGCAGCCAGTAGTCTTATGGAAAATTAAGGAATATTCTTGGATCTTATTATATAAAAAAAGAGAATGAATTAATTAATCATGATCTAATAAAAAAATTGCCTTTGAACAAAATTAGGCTTCGAATTTGTGGAGAGACAGATACCGTTACACTGTCACGAGTTATCAGACATTGGCCCTGAAAAAACCTAGTATCCACCATTGCACAGAGCAAAGTATCCACCATTGCACAGAGCAAAGTATCCACCATTGCACAGAGCAAAGTATCCACCATTGCACAGAGCAAAACTGCAAAAATACCAGGAACTCCAAAATCATGTCAAAAACCAAAAGGTATATAATGCACCTTTTATAAGATTAAAATTAGTGTTATTTTTTTGTGACATAATGCATGAATCTTACAAAAATCAAAGTTCCCATCATTGGAGACAGCAATGCTATTAAGCTTATCAAAGTCCTCCTGTATAGGTCAATGACTGGCTTTCCTCAGGATGGTCACTTGCCTAACTCCTAGGTTCACAGAGGAAAGAAATGAAGCACTGGATATGACTGCAAAACAGTTCACTCAGTGGCTAGAATAAACACCCGCCCCACTTCCTAGTTATAGCTGACCACCACCAATGGGAACTCCCAGCTTCCATGTCATTAGAGTCTCAGTCCTGTTGCTGATGTCCTTGAATTCGGACCTCCACAAATTGCTGGTTTTAAGAGTCTTCTACCTCTCAGGGAGGTTTGCCTTGCTCCAATCCTTTACTATGGAGCAATGCCTTCTTGTCTTAGACATCAGGCGTTGAACATGGTGCTGCTCTAGAGTCTTCATGAACGACTTCTGGGGTCTTCATGTGTGACCCCAGAAGTCAGGGAGGGAGCCCAAGTAGGGTTCCTGGGTGATCTTCAGTCCTTCAACTTCTGATTTTGTCTGCGGAAGGTACTGTATTTTATTTAAGGAAAAGTACTTTTCTTTGCTCTCTGGAGCTGTCACAAAGGAGGATCACGGGCCTTGTGCTCACTTGGCAGCTGTCTTGTGCATCTGGGTGGCTGTGGAGCTGGTCAGAGAACAGCTCAATCAAGTTAGATCCTTTTGCAGAAGGGTTCTGAACCACTTCCTCGAAGGAAGCCCTCCAGGGTTTGGACCTTGCCGGTTGTTAGTCAGAGTAGACCTCCAGTGGAGTCTGATTCCCAGGCCTTTGCACTTCCTTCAGCACAGGCTTATTTTAGTTGGCATGGTTCTCATGCGTTGCGGAAGGTACCACTGCTTGGGGCTCTTTGTGTCAGCCGTTTATGGTTTATCACCGAGAGCTGAAACAAAATGAAGGGGCATATATATATAAATATACAGGTGCAGTACTCCTGTACCGTACAGTACCTTGAGATAAAATGCTTTATGGGCCATTTTAATCACACACAATAAAATTAGAAACATTTTGAAAAATTAACATAACTAAAAGGATACATAACACCATCCTGTTTTAGGCAATTGGTCATAAGTGTTAGCAACCTCTGATGGCATTCTGGATTATAGATAGTTTCTGATGTTAAAATTATATCAAATTTAAACTCTTGACACTCTTCATAATTCTGCATGGTTGTCTTGCTCTTGTCACTGTTAAGGTTGTCTTTGCTGTACTGTTCATTGTTTCGAATATTTAGCAGTAGTTTGTCTAGCTCACCCCAGTCACCAGAGTAAAAGGAGGCTTTCGATTGAATTTCCGTAACAGTTTCTTGTGAAGCGCTAATATCTTCTGTTAGAATATTTCCATTATCAACAAAGGAGTAGTTTGCAAGGTTTAGTGCAACATTTGGTATAGTGATGAAATTAACAACCTCTTCATTCTGGAAAAGATAACAGAAAAATTGCTAAAAGTAGTGAATTACATATACATTACATTAAATTAAATTAAATGATATTTCAAGTTTAGAATACAAATCTAAAATTTGTTATATATAATATCAAAGTGAAATTTGATATTTTACATAATTTTCCCCTCTAGGAATACCTAATATAAACAGATTATTGCCTCAAATTCTTACTCTACATCTAAGCTAGTTGGCAAAGAGTATGGCAGGTTAGTGATCGTCATATGCTTTCTCCTAGTAAATAAAGTCCAATTTATTTTCCTTTCATTCCCTTTCTTTCTATACAAGAAAGTACATTGGGTTGTGAGAGTACATACACTGGTGTTCTTACATTCTTGCAAATCCAATAATATGCATAGATTAAAGACCTGCCCAAAACGCTAACAGATAAAGTCTTTCTTATAGTAAAATACACCATTATTCACTGATTTCGGAAAAATTAAGAGAAATTTCCTGCTGTCAATAATTTGCCTGTACAGTACGTACTTGCATAAAACAGACAATTTTTCCACAGCTTTAAAAGTTTCTCAAGTCATAGCCCTTTATCAGTGTAAGGGGTAGCTAATAATTTTTGTTAGTATTTCACACTACTTAGCTCCTCTCACTGCCAACCACCCACACACTAGTCAATTATATTTCATTATGAGAGAGACAGACAGTAGATGGATGGATGGAGAGATAGATGGATGGATTGACAGATACAGCTATAGATATGTACATGCATGTATAGATGCATAGATGGATGGATAAATATATGAACAAATAGATGAACAGGTAAATGAATAGACAGATAATGCTGGGTACTCCCCCTCCCTAGTTGTACTATAAATTAAAATAAACACAATAGACCTAGGATGATTAAGGTAGGCGTACTGGTATTTTAACCCCTGAAGAGGACAGAGAAGGGTTACAATTCATTCATCGAGGAACAGATTTACAAAATACAGTAAACAATGAACAAATCCACAAGGGTTCGAACCTATGTCCGGGATGATCCCGGACGTGCTTTAGTCGAATGTGCCACGACATTGTAAAATTTGTGGATTTGTTCATTTGATATTTCACGTTATTGTGATTTCTGTGTATATACAGTAAACAGATAAAAATAATACAAGATTTACATAGTCCTGAAGAGTGACGTGTGCACCTTGTAGGGCAGTGTACAGTGCTGGTAAGGCAGCACCACAGCCCAACTCCAAGACTCTGTAATGTGAAATATATAACTTAATTTTATGCGTATCAAATGTCTTATTTGTTTGAATAACCATTCTTTCTATAGTAGATGTAAAATTAATAAAATAACAGTGCAGAATCATATAAATCAATATATTTAAAAGTAAAGAATAAAGATAAGTTTAATATACAGAGTATGATAATAATTATAAGGAAAAGGCAAAAATAAAGCATATATATAGTATAGGTTTACTGTAATATAGCAAGTAAAATGAATTACTATTATTTCATTTGATGAACTGCAGGGTGGAATTTTCCTAGAATGCTGAAGACCTACATTTAATAGAATAAATTAACAAATAGTGACTTAAATATATTAAACATTTACCTACGTCTCTTTAACTTGATGTCTGAGGCTTCAAGGAAATGAAGAAGGTCCCAAGTGCACTCCCACACTTTAAGGCCTCCTGTTCATTGCAGAAAAAAAACACTTAAGAAATATATAGTATCGTTTTGTACTTATTATTAAGTATTATTATTGTACTTAATGTTAAAATACAGTGTGTGTAAAAGCATGAACAATATTGTCATTTGCACTGATATAAAACTATTTTATACCCATTTTTTTTGTTTTTTTTGTAACAAAAGTTTTTTATTTATTTTATTTATTTATTTATGTATATACAAGAAGGTACATTGGGATTGTGAGGATACATAAAATGGTAATTACAATCTTGTAAAGCCACTAGTACGCACAGCGTTTTGGGCAGAAGTTCAAATTCAATGGCAAAAGTTCAAATTCTTTGGGAGTGGAAGGGGGTCCATAATAAATCATTCCATTTGAGTAATACTACTGTATATATATATATATATATATATAGTATATATAAATATTTTTAGCTTACGAAGACTACTTTATCTTGCGTTTACCTTGCATTGGTTCCTAGGATCAGCGTCCTCATGGCCCGGTCTCTGACCAGGTCTCTGGGTTAGTGGTTTGATCAACCAAGCTGTTAGATGCAGCTGCTTACAGCCTGATGTACGAACTGCCCATTTCTTATGTGGAATAATTCATCTTTAGCTTCCTAGTGTTTTCCAAACCCTATTGAGGGGGAGCAGATATGCTTCTGGTATCTGTAAGCATCCATGAATCAAGAGAGCTTGATGTGGTCCTGTACCTGGGTTTGGAGGTCTCCAGGTGGGTAGCTCAGGGCAATACAGACGGAAGCCTTCCCAGAAAAATCAATTTATGATAAAACGATTATACAGTACTGCATATTTATATATTTCAAACAGACTGGATTCTTTCTGGATTTTACACAAGGTCTTGCAAATCTTGTGTAAACTTACTTTATCGTATTCAAGATATAAATGATACACCTGTATAACTGTCATTACTAACTTTATTCAACTTAATAATTATTATTGATTATAAACAAATACATTGGTGCCTCGATTAATGAATTTAATCCGTCCTGGCACTGAGCTCGTCATGTGAAACGCTTGTCTTGCAAAACAACAACACTGTCGTCGGAGGCGTCCGAGAACCAATGGGAACGCTAGGAAGCACCGTGTGGTTTACTCTTTAATCGAGCGGAAGCTCGTCAATCGAGACAAATTTTCTGCGAGTGGCTCGCTCATTACTCAAAATACTCGTAACTGGAGTCGCTCGTCACTCGAGGTTCCACTGTATATCCTGCTCCAAGACTAATTTACCATTCAGGGTCTTGACTACAATACAGGCATACCTCAGTTTAAGAGTTTAATTGGTTCCTGGAGACGCCTCGTATTCCGAAAACTCGCATTCCGAAGCTAATTTCCCCATAAGAAATAAAGGGAAATGAATTAATCCGTTCCTGACTACCCCAAAAACCCCACATCAAACTAAATTTTTATACCTAATTCATCTAAATAAACCTACAAAACTATGTTCAAGTTATTACTTACCTTGCTGTTGAATGCTGTAGGCGCATGGAAGATGGTGAGGAGGTGGGAGGAAGAGAGGAGTTACTGTTTGGAAGGGGAGTCCCCTTCCATTATCACATCAGGCAGTGAGGACTTCACTGCTATGCACACACTGGCACATTTTGCCTACATACCACTAGGACTTGCTTGTTTTACTAAGAATTTATCTAATGACACTTGTTTTTCCCTACATTTTAACACTTGTCTGTAGTAAGACATCACATTATCATTTAAAAGGTCAATGCAACGGCCTGCTACAGCTTTATCTGGGTGAGTTTTTTCAACAAAACTTTGCAGTTCTTCCCATACTTCACACATTTTCTTAATCAAGAAGGGACATCCTCTACTGCCTCTACTCACAGCTATTTTCTTAGGTTGAACCTTACCAATGGCTTTCTTGAGACCCATGGCAAGATATATAATGACAACTTTTATGCTCAAATGGCCAAAAAACCGATAAAAAACTGTAAATCCTTGTGAAGAATTCAGGTGGGATAGTCACTGGACACGAGACACTGGTAAACTGAGGCGCGATCGCCATGCCACCACGCGCCAGTCGGCCTGTACACGTATCAACAAACTCGCGTCCCGAGGTAACCCTCGCCTTCCGAGACATATTTTTGGAGTAAATCCTGCTCGTCTTCCGAAAAACTCGCATACAGGGACACTCGCATTCCGAGGTACCACTGTAACTTTATATGATCCATAATGTATATGGATCATATACCCTTGGCAACACTACAACTATAGTTATTATTATTCTTTAGCCTTCATGGCAGAAGCCTCTTAGCCATTCCATGTCTGCTTGACTGCTTATTAAATTATTTTTGTTTACATGTTAATGTGTGAAAAATGAATACTCTATTGCATGGTAAATGGAAATAAAATAATGTGTAATTATTTATTTTGAGTTACACCAAATGAGTGTTTAAAGTCTTAAAGAATGTGAACCTCAATTGAAACCTTTAGAAGCTCAAAATCAACTTGGTTATTCACTACAGTATTTCAGATGATCAAAAACTTGACTGTACAGTATTAGGAAAAGTAAATATAGATTGCTCTGCCAAGAGGATATTGGAAATGGTCTTGTAAATAATAAGATCCTCACAATCAGTGAGGTACTAGTCAAATAACTGGTCTAACCTTCATAAATTGCAGGAACAAGATCAGTGTGATCTTTAAATGCTGGTAAAATATAGCTGGAAAGTTCTTTTTCTTCCATTTTTTGCATAGCAGCAGTCATACTCAAGTACCTAATCTGCAAAATAAATACAATTGACTCAATTGCTCAGTACTGCTTTTCAATGGGGGGTATTCTGCACATCCTGCCATGCCTTCTGGTCTCATGTAGTGTTATTTTTGTGTGCAGGTTTGGGACCAGCCCCCTTTAATATTTTCCATGTATTTTCAACAAGCGCCACAACCTTCCAGTCAACTGTACAACACGACAAGCACCACAACCTTCCAGATAACTGTACAACACATCAAGCATCAATTTTCAAAGAATTCTGCATGCTGATTAGGATAGAAATGAAACAATTGTTTTTACTAGAACTCAAGAATGTGTGAAAAGAATGAAGACTGTCCTCAGTAAGCTCACAGAAGCAAGAGAATAAAGAGGAAACTGAAAGAAATGCACATGGGACAGGGGAGGAAAACTAAAATTATAATTATATTTATTGAAAGAGCAACATGGAAAGGAAATATTTAGACCAGACCAAGAACTAATAACAAGGAATGCAATCTAATGAATGCTTTTATTCACATGTGAACATTTTATTATGTCTTCAAATGGCAGTATAAACAAAATGGAAATTATAGGCATGATTTCATTAGTAATTTTGCACATAGACAACAATCTTCAACATTCCTCCAGCATCAGCAACACTTTTGTGGGAATGAAACTAATGATGAAGTCTTGTTTGAACACTCAAACCTAGCTTCAATTCATTTTCAACCTTTCATCCTATTACAGAAATTTGTCAGTGAAGATTAGGTAACCAGTAGGCTATGATATATCTATACAAGCCATAATGTGATACAATGTTTTTAAATGCAGATTGCCAACCCTTTGGGAGGTTGTCATGTTATAGCCCATGTGAACATTTCTTGGTTAGCCTGAATTCAAATTTTTATTCAGGTAAAAGTACATACATTGATGAAGAGTTACAAACATAATGTTGGATTTATAGATAGAGCTAGTACATACGATACCTAAAGCCACTATTACGTATAGCATTTCGGGCAAGGTTAACCATGGCTGATGAAGTTTTGTAATATGACCAAAATGTCCTGGAAAGCAGTTTTAAGCAAGGACTTTATTTAAATAATTTAAGTGCACCCAGTAAATTTAATCCTGGAAAGGTGTTCTAAGAAAGGTCTTTGCTTGAATAATATATGTGCACCCAGTTAATTTATAAGCTCCCAAAAGTGAAGAAACACAAATACAATGCTAATTAATGGTTACTGTCACAAAATGACTTACTTTGGTTTGTCCAATTGTAACTTCTTCAACAATAGTGTCTTCAGATAATGACTGAAAATGTGTGGAGTTAACTTCATGTTTTTGTGCAGGCAACCATTGTTCAGAATCCGACACTGGTTCAGGAGACACAGATGACTCTGAAATACAACAGTGTTTTGGGCCATTATCTAAATGCACATTAAAATGTTAACATAGTTTTCCTTGTGAATATAAAAGTGAAGGCACAGGTAAGAGCCACTGCAGAAGGTAAAGGGCACAAAGGCCAGTTTTATTTAGTTATGATAAGAAAAAGACAAAGTCAAACAATGTTTTTCAAATTCTGTACAATTCTGTAATTAATTTCTCACTGACTTCGTTTGTACAAAGTCAGTGAGTAACAGACAAAATAGATACTGTACATTGCATGCAAACACTCAGCCAGTTAGATCTGTGATCTATACTTTTAATCTTAGGATTTGCTACCCCATTCCTTCCCCCTTCCCCTGAAAAAAAAGAACATGCATATAAAATGGAATTGTAAATGATCTAGTAATAATGTCAAATGGCCTAATGTTAATTGCACAATAAGTGAATGCAGCATCAGCATTAATGATGTGGTACACTGAGAAATCCTTCAAAACAAGAGATGCAATGCTAGTGATTTCACTTTTCAAATCACTGGTGTTCTTGTTTGGAACATTATGTTACTGTGTTCATAATCTCTTTCAAGGCACGAGATATATCTTAGGAAGCAAAGTTTTGTATCTATTATGTTCAGACAGAACATACACAAAGCATCTAAACTACTGGAACTGACTTTAACATGGAACATTCTCGGAACAGTAGAGAGACAAGTAAAGTTTTATAATCTATACCTGTACAAGGATATATAATGTATAGTCAGGTTTAATCTGCAATATAAAATAATGTAATGGAGTAAAAAAAAGACTGCTATAAGCACAATTACTGAACATTGTCAACATCAGAGGTTTGATTTTCTTTCAGCAAACATAATATAATTATTTGCAAGCACTGCTGTCAGCAAAACAAACCTGCATATCTATATATGTTTTCATTTCATATTTTGTTAGCTTACCAATCTTATCCTTAGGTTCCACATTGAAGTTGAACTTGAACATGATTTATAGAAATCTTGAGCAACTGGGTTTCCTGAAATATAATTTTGTAATCAGTAACTTTTAACTTGACAGGTAATAATGAGCACTGGTAGTTTATTATAATGAACTGAAACTATATACTTCTTATTAAAGGTATAACAATTTGAAATAAGAGTATAACATTAAAGAACATAATGCAGATTTTTGTTTCATGCAGACAGCCTTGTCATGTGGCAAGAGAGATCTTGATTAGCTAAATTGACTTGATATCCTCAATAGAGATATTGAATTAGTGTACTGCATACCAGAACTGGGTTTGGGTCTAGTTACTCATTTTCCAATTCATTCCAAACCAAAATTAGTCTTGTCTAACCTATTATGTCAAAGTATACAGAGGAAGGGAACTATTAGAAGAAAGTGCCAAGTCATTATGACTATATAGCACTTGGAAGGGGGATCAAGATATTTTTTTTATTGATTTATTTATATATACAAGAGTTCTTACATTCTAGTACAGCCACTAGTACACGTAGCATTTCGGGCAGGTCCTTAATCCTAAGTTCCCTGGAATACGACTCCACGAAAAATCGCTTAACAACCAAGTACACATTTTGCTGTTGAGTTAAACAGAGGCTACAGTTAAGGATTTGTGCCCAGTAAATCCTCCCCGGCCAGGATGCGAACCCAGGACAAAACGCTTGCGAAATACCAGGCGAGCATCTTAACCACTACATCATGGGAACTGCAAGGGATATGGATTTGGGAGGGACGGGATGAAGGAATGGTGCCCAACTACTTGGGACGGTCAGGGATTGAACACTGACCTGCATGAAGCGAGACCGTTGCTCTACCATCCAGCCCAAGTGGTTGAACGAAAAATACTATAGAAAAGCATATGTTGGCCCCTGCAGGTAGACGCAATTTTCTAGACTGTAGACATGCTACATAAGGCTACTTTTAGGACGTGCTAAGTTATGTTGTGTGTTATGTAAAGGCTAAGCTAGATTATGTTTGGATAACAAAGTACGGTATTGTAATTTTAGGGTCAAGACGACATGAACTTATTATCATTAATATTTGTATTTTTTTGTAGTAAATCTAAACGCAGTTTAGCAGAGTTAATCTCTTCATACTGCCAATAGGATCAGTGAGTTTCACATACACCTTGTTTTGATACGTGAGATTTGCGTGTGTGTTCGCTTCCAGATTACTGCACGATTGGTGGTATAAGGTGGCGAGTCACTGTTGATGGTCAGGCAAAGCCTGATTGTCGTTTTTGGAGTTTAAGCCACGATTACACGAGTAGCAGAGGAGCTGAGACTCTTCTTCTTCTTGATAGTAGGTGTAGTTTGCATGAAGGATGAGCTGAGAATGTAGTTGGTGTGGGGTAAGGGGCAGCTAGAGTACGGAGTAAGATGTTGTTAAAGCATCAGTTAATCCCTTAAATTGTTTCCTCAAAGTTTACGTTTTCTATGGCTAGTTATCAGGGTAACTTTTCAAGTTTTTGACTTATTTTTCTGATACAGGAAACATTAGTGTTATCGAGGCCCTTCTTGCCAAGGGCAAGACTACTCACGCGGTCACCAAATCGATTACTGTCTAGACTCAACGGTGTTTTAACTGACTGAGTGGCGCTCACATTGTCCACTACATATATTAAATTAGTAGTCATATATCTCAATATTAGCCAAACATGTATGAATACACTCTGACTTCCTGTTCCCAGACGCAGTTAATTATATTTATATACTTTAGGCGTGTATCGAGGTCCCTGAAGGTCGAACCACTGATGCAACCCACGACATTTGCCTAACTCCCGGATACCTATTTCCTGTTAGGTGAACAAAGGCATCAGGACCACTAACACTCTAGTGGCCTCGACGAAAACAGGAAGCCGCCGGCTTGTTAAAGGTCCCCCCATTTGTTCTGGTGAATTATTCAAGCTGGGTTTTAAAAATAAACAGTTTTAGCAGTTACAGCTTCGGTGGGTAGACGGTTCCATGGGTTTATAACCCTGTGGGTTAAACCCACAGGGTTATAAACCCTGGAAATCTGTTTTCTGTCCAACAGTGTGGCTTGTTGAATTTGAAACCTTGTAACCAGATGTAACACAAACCTGTGTTTGTGTTACATCTGATCATTTTAAAAAGTTGTAATCATCCTTCAAACTGTTCAGTATATTAAAAATTTTGATGAGATCCGCCCTGTTATGTCTGGCTTGCAGTGTTAGCTCCGAGTCTCTCAACCGTTCCTGATATGAGAGTTGTCTTAGTTCTGGAATAATTTTTATTGCCCGGTGTTGAGCTTCGTCCAAAGAAGCTATGTCTTTCTGAAGATGAGATCTCCATGCATGGATACAGTAATCCAAGAGGGGGAGGGGGCGGCGCACCAGAAATTTATTCAGTTGAACTTATACCTTCTTTTCCTTTAAGTCAAAGGTACACTTGCTTATTCGTAGGGTTTGCTTAGTTATTTTTTTTACTGCCGCTCCCACTTTTGCAAGTTTCTGTGAATGATGGATTCTGACTCCAAGGTCCTTTTCTTTATAAATTTTCTGCAAGGTAATATTGTTAATGTTGTTAATATATAGGGAAATTATACATGCATTGAATTTTGTATTCAAGCCAGGGTAAATTCTCGAGACATTGAATTTCCTTCAAAATTTCACCTGAGGTAATTTTTCCCCAAGCTGATTAATTTTGAGAGTTCTAAAATATATAATTTGGGTAATTGGCCTTACATTAGAGCCCATCCTCAGACCAAATCCAATACCATGAGAAACCACATTCACCTTAAAACCACCTGGATAGTTATCTAGATATATACGATGGTCTGAAAGCATATAACGGTTCCAGTAATAATCTGTATGTAAACTGGCAAATGAACCTTTGTCGTAAACAGATTATTCTCAAGTTATAACTTTATTATAATGTAAATCGTTGGTTTAAAATATAAAAAGGGTATGGTGAAAACGTTTCTTTGAAGAATTTGGTTGTATGTAAATGGAATTCGCCGGCACACTCAAATAGTTTTTGAATTCCATATGTCACATTCTCATCAATAATACATCGTAAATTGAAATCTCAGGAAGTATATGGAGGCCTTCCTGTGATTTCAGTAGAAATCCGATTGTATAACATTTAATCAAGTCAGTGATGGTACAGTGATAGAGTATGTGGCTGGAAGTGTCTTGGTCATGGATTCGCTTCACCTGTGAGATGAATTCACCATTGATATATATCACGTCAGTGTGATTTTCTGTATGCCGGGGAGTTACAGCCCCGCTCCTGTGCCAGGGACGTCCACTACGGGCTCACCATAGCCCGTGCTACTTGGAACATTTTGTTTCAAGTAGCGAATCTTAAACAACAAGCAACAACAACATTCTGTATGCATTAAGTATAATGTTATTAAGTATATAAATATAATATAATTAGACGTAGTTTTACCTTGGTAAGGTAAAGGTTTCTTGTGAGTATATTTAAGTTAGGTTACCAAGAAGAACTTTTCGTTGTGGGTGTAAATGTAAATCTGTTTTTCATTCCCTTCTAAGTTTACCTCAATTAAAAATATTAGCACAAAAGCTATCACACTTTAACCCAATTTTTGTTTTGCATGCTAAACGGTTAATGTTGTAGGTTGACCAGACCACACACTAGAAGGTGAAGGGATGACGACGTTTCGGTCCGTCCTGGACCATTCTCAAGTCGATGTTGTAGGGGCTGCCTCTATACAGCCCGTCCTCTAGAACTGCTACAACGAACAAGTTACTACAACCCTCACAACCTGTCCTCACCGTTCTGACGTTATGTGACGTCAGAAACGTCACATAACTGTTGTACTAAATTGCCCGAACCTAACCTACCCGAGGGGGGGGGGGGCGAGGACCCGTCTTGCGATGCTTTCGTGGCTTAACGTCCTCGCGGCCCGGTCTTTGACGAGGCACCCACGAATAGAATCGTAAGTCCTCTGGTAGGTTAGGGTCGGGACATCGCGTCAATTTTGCGAGTCGCTATTTGTAGTACATTAATTTTTGACCTTAGGTAAATTATACGTCAAAATGCGATGCACTCACTGTTCAAGTAGCCTAACTTAACATTTACAGCCCCGCTCCTGTGCTAGGTAAGTCGGGCTACGGGCTCACCATAGCCCGTGCTACTTGGAACATTTTGTTCCAAGTAGCTGAATCTATAACAACAACAACAGCCTGACTTTAACTGACCCATTCATAGAAAACCCGAAAAGCTGCCCGAAACGCTGCGCATGCTAGTGGCTTTACAAGACTGTAATTACCATATTTGTATCCTCACATTCCTTATGTACATTCTTGTATATGCATAAATAAATAAAAAATAAATAAATAAAACGATTTTTGATGCGCCGCTACCTTTCATAGTTCCCCCTTAATTTATCCGTTTTAAATCATGGCATCAAAATATGGTGTACTGTATTGCCAGTATGTGTGTTTAGATTATATTAAACACAATATTAATACTGTTATAGATACACATTCAGTTTATAATATTTATAGATTGCTATGGATTTAGATTGCTATTTATAAATTCTAGATACACATTCAGTTTATAATATTTATAGATTGCTATGGATTTAGATTGCTATTTATAAATTCTAGATACACATTCAGTTTATAATATTTATAGATTGCTATGGATTTAGATTGCTATTTATAAATTCTACACAAATAGCTTATCAAATTTTTTTTTTCGTAAATATTCCTTTTGGATCAGAGGAGAGGAGCATACGATTTTACTGAGATATTAGGCTACTCTAATTCAAATTTGACCTCCTCATTATAGTTTTATGAGGATATACTTCTATTTTCATACAAGGATAAAGTTTGAAATCAAACGTCCATTCATATGTGTTTATTTAATTGGAAATACTTTAAACGAATAACAAAAAATAACTGTACACTATAATACAACAGCGATAGTCGTGTGTACAACAAGCTGCAGTAGATCACATATACTGCGTAATGCAGGTTGGGGGCTCCCTTGCACACAGCCCCCGTAGCACCGGGGCTAACGCTGGGGCCTAGCCTACACACACATAGACACACACACACAACGTCCTGGGTACTGGGAACACGGCGTCTAGACGCGGCACCTCTGGTACTGGGAACATGGCGCCTGAACACGGCACCTCTGGTACTGGGAACACGGCGTCTAGACGCGGCACCTCTGGTACTGGGAACATGGCGCCTGAACACGGCACCTCTGGTACTGGGAACACGGCGTCTAGACACGGCACCTTTGGTACTGGGAACACGGCGTCTAGACACGGCACTTGGGAAAAAGTGGCCAGGATTGATACCTACAAGTGATGCCTGGGGGTAAACAAAATACCCAATCATAATAGAGCATTTGGATCTCCCTTGTACCGGTTCACTTTGCCTATATTACGTCACCCCGAAAGTTTACTGAGTAGGTGAGAAGTCTGGAAGATTGATACGTCGAGATGTCTCAGGAACAGCCGCGAGACTCTTATAACAGTGATTTAGTAGGCTTATATATCCAAACGCCAACAGCTAATTATGGCGATTGCACAAAGGCCATGGAAACAAAGACAGAACGATAATTATGATGTGTTTTGAGTGGATTCTTGGCATTACTGGGGAGTGAATAATTTGTAAGGACTTAAGAATATAGGAACAATATGTGGGAGAGTTTAGAAATCCCCGATATCGAGGAAACCGTTCCCGTGGGGATCTCCCAGCCAGGGATAGGTGGGAGGGCACTCCATGCAAGTGTACAGGAACATTTCCTCTTCGTTGGGGAAGATGCGTGGAACCTTCCTAGCGCAAGGGTTGGGCAAAGAGCAGTATGGCTGTCCCTTCACCTCGCATTTTCCCTTCCATTCCTGGAAGTTGTTTATTGCTGTCAGCTCAGTTGGGGCTTCCATCCAGTTGATGACCTGCTGCATTGTGACGAAGAAATAGTCTCCGCTCAGGGCGGTATCCCTCACCCACTTCACAAACTCTCTCAAGAAGTCACGACGAGTCTCGAAGTAACCGGATGTGAAGTGGAGACCAAGAGGCGCGCGGTTGGTCCTATAGTGACGGGCGAGGTTGTTGTCAAGGAAGGCGCGGAACTGTTCTGGGGACTGAAGGTTGGCACACTGGTCCACAAAGTGGCAACCAGTCAGTTTCTCGTCGAACTGTGGGTCGTCACGACGATCCAGCTCATTCACCACCATCTCCCACACGGTGAAGTTCTGGGAGGGGCAATTCTGGTCGTTACCCAAACACTTGTGGGGCATACGGTGCATGAGGGTATAAGGCCAGAGTGGCAGACGTCCCATAGGGGCAGAAATGGACGAATCATACAGGAAACCCCAGTCAACCATCATGCGGAACTGCTTGTTTCCACCAACTCGCTGCTTGGGAACACGAACGCCCAAAACCTCATTGGCTGTAATATTAGCGAATTTTTCAATGATGAGACGAGCTCCATCCATTTCAGACTCGTATTCTTGAGCGGAAAGTTTGCTCCAGTAATCGGGGTTGTCATTGTTAGTGATGGAGCTGACACCGATCTCGTGGCCCATACGGTGGAGCTCCTGCACGGCGGAGTAGTTGGTGAAGGCATGGGAGAGGAAGAAGGTGCCCTTGGGGGTACAGTCGTTGCCCTTCTGCTTGGTGGTATCCTTGAATATATCTTGGAAGATGCGGAAGTTACGTTCGTTGATGGCGCCTGTGAAGGTGATGGTGATCATCTGGGGCGTCTGTTCGACGGTCAGGTCCCCGGGGATGCGAGTTCCGTCGACGGAGCAGAAGCAGCCAGAAGACCAGATACACGTGCGTGGATCACACACGTCAGCCCGGTTGGGATCCGTGTCAGGAACTGCCGGGTTAGAGACAAATTTAAAATTAGATGACTATAAGATTAGAGGTTTACTGAAATGTTAAATTTGTAGTTAAATACGTGAAGTGTTATTGATACATGCATCTCCTTATGAGGTTAATCCTCTATGCAAAGGAATTGTCACATTAAAAAGGTTAAATTAAACTCTAGTTAATCAGGTACCTTGACTTAACAAGGGGAATAAAACTAACATTTTCCTAACGTAACATTCGAAGAACTACCGATATAGAAAGCTTGGAACACAGAACTACATAGGTTATCGTCTCGTAATATATGGATTATCCTCGCTCGTCCAAGAACAATTCACTCTAGCTTTACAGAGACCAGAGTAGTAGGCGAGGAGTCACAATAACGTGACTGAAATATGTTGACTAAACCACACACTAGAATGTGAAGGGACGACGACGTTTCGGTTCGTCCTGGACCATTCTCAAGTCGATTGTGTCACTTCTCAAGACACTTGACTTGAGAATGGTCCAGGACGGACCGAAACGTCGTCGTCCCTTCACTTTCTAGTGTGCGGTCTGATCAACACCAAGAGTAGTATGTCCCGCGTCCCGCCCTTTGCCGAATCATACCATTTACTTGCCTTAAACTCACATTATAGTTGACCAACCAGAGCAAACTTACAAATGCCCTAGAAGGTAATGGTTGCAACCACCTCTCGGTGGAACTAATCCATTTATTCGGGCCAAGACTTTAAAATATCAATAATATTTGCCAGAAGAGAGGCGAGTGGATTATAACCATTGACTAACGAAGGTAGTCCAACACGAGCAATGTAGATATTCAGAATACCCCAAAGGATTCTGTACTGAATCCTATTGTACAGTTATAACTATCCTACAAGCCCCTATACCCAGACTTAATTAATCACGATGACCCGGTTGTCGCTAAACTAGATCTAAGAAGGACTTAGCAAAACGTTATGTTTAAACAAATATAACATACACAATGTTCTGAAACAGGTAATTTGAAAGCTGAATAGCGTGTTTAGGACAGCTAACTGGTAACTTACCGCAGATATTCTCGTCAGAGCCGTCGGCACAGTCCGGGGTGTCATCACAGAACCGGTGCCGGGGGAGGCACTCTCCAGAGCCACACATGATCTCGTCTTCTTTACACTGGGATTCCTCGCCCTCTGATAGGGGCCACACGGGCTGTGGTGGATGGCTCTCTGTAAGGCAACACCAACCATCATCAGAACGTGACAGATGCAGGAACATGAAGTGTATTTTTGATAAATGTATTATATTGTTACTACACACACACACACACACACACACACACACACACACACACACACACACACACACACACACACACACACACACACACACACACACACACACACACACACACACACACACACACACACACACACACACACACACACACACACACACACACACACACACACACACACACTGCACACACACACACACACACACACACACACACACACACACACACACACACACACACACACACACACACACACACACACACACACACACACACACACGGCCAAGCTAACAGCGTTTCGGATTCGCAATTCATGGTTTGCGAATTACCAGCTGAGACGGAAACAAATTATGTGTGAGAAATATATGCAGTATTATTATTATTATTTTTATTATTATTACTTTGAGAAGAAGGGAACTATCAGGGGAAAGATAGTTCAGGCAACAGAGGGTTAGAAATGCAGTCTAAGAACTAACCGCTCTCTCTCTCTCTCTCTCTCTCTCTCTCTCTCTCTCTCTCTCTCTCTCTCTCTCTCTCTCTCTCTCTCTCTCTCTCTCCCTCTCCCAACACGTTCTGAGAATGCCACTACTTACTGTCAATTTGGTCACAGTTCAGGACCTTAGACTTGCGCTCGCAGATCTGTTGCTGAACATCGAAGAAGAGTTCACTCTGGCACTGAGAGGCACTAATGGACCTCTTGCCGGCTGGGGCTGGCACACAGCGATAGTACACACCGCAATTGGATCTGTACTGTGGAATCCAAGGCAATCGAATTAGTTAAATTTGGTTGGCTATATTTTCATAAGCATAAAATGACGAAAGTGTTAACAGCGGATATATATATATATATATTAAAAAAGGGGGAAATGTTGAACGTGATACTGAAGATATAGAAGATCAATTAATTTAACAATTACTGGTATAGATCCACAACTTACCTTAAGGTTGTTTTCCACTGGGTCACCAAAATCTTTCCTGAAATATTCGTCATCCCGGCGACTGCAGTACAGTTCTGGGTCCATGTCTGAGATCTGCGCGGCCGCCCATCCTGCCAGAACTGTCAACACAAGCACACATTATTATCTTACAACATGATCTTTTATCGAATCACATATATAATACTCATACATAATATAAAGGGGTAAGATTAATCATTCTAATACGAATCTTCTCACTATTTCTTACGTTTTGCTTCACTGTCGGAGGGTAATTGGACAAATTAACTCTCCAAGGCTCATTTTTTGCATTTTTTGTTATTTATGGTCTGATGCTTAGAAGCGTTTCGCAAGACTTCTCACATTTTCAAAGACTGATTTTGGTGAAGAATATGTGTATGTGTGTATGTGTGTGTGTGTGTGTGTGTGTGTGTGTGTGTGTGTGTGTGTGTGTGTGTGTGTGTGTGTGTGTGTGTGTGTGTACTCACCTAGTTGTACTCACCTAGTTGTGTTTGCGGGGGTTGAGCTCTGGCTCTTTGGTCCCGCCTCTCAACCGTCAATCAACAGGTGTACAGATTCATCAACAGGTGTACAGATTCAACAGATCAACACACACACACAGATGTGTGTGTGTGTGTGTGTGTGTGTATGTGTGTATGTGTGTATGTGTGTGTGTGTGTGTATGTGTGTATGTGTGTATGTGTGTATGTGTGTGTGTGTGTGGACAGCAGCAGGGGAGGGGCTGTAAGACTACTAATACAAGAGTGAGTCACAAGTGAACAATCATTCGCTCCCACATCAAGTGTGTCAAGAACAAGTTTGGTTAGATTACAAAACCTTTATATATATATATTTTTTCTTTGCAGCCGGACACGACGCGAGGTGAATTTCCTTTCACTCTCAGGTTTCAGGTTTAAGTTGGTGCAGTGGACGAGAGAGGGAGAAAGGGATAGACAGAGAGAGAGAGGAGAAAGGGATAGAGAGAGAGAGGGATAGAGAATAATGAATTTTTCGACATGAACACACATACACACAAAGAGACACACATATATATAATCAGGATGTTAGGTATGTGTGTGCGTGTGTGAGACTCGTATAACCCTACATAGTCTCAGGCGAGGCTACGATACTCTCTCACTGTGACTCTTCAACATCACCTCTTAAGTGACTACGAAAGCACCACCTCCATTAGGTTTCTATTGGATCGAAAGTACGGAGATGGCAACAGTCCAAGGAATTTCTCTCCCGCTTTCTCCGCCTCCACCAACACAAATACAGCCAGATGCAGCGTGTTCAGTTTTTTGTTTCAGACTGTAAAGGCAAGTTTCTAACATGGAGAAACAATAGCAAACACTGGTCAAGACATGGCCATTTTTTTATAAGCATAATGGTATGTTCGCGATGAAAACTAATATTTAAGGTACTGGTTGTGTGGGTTAATATGCGCCTGTGATTCAACGGCCCGTTAATATGCGCCTGTGATTCAACGGCCCGTTATCGGGGCCGTCGACGGCATGGAGATGGAAGATTTCGTAACAGGCGTTATTCTCTTTGGTAATATTGCTTGTGTCATAGCAATACAAACTTTTAAAGATCGGAACTGTGCTTTGATGAACAGTGTGAACGAGCACAATGCATGAACACAAGTCCTCGCCACAGTGACGGAGAAAGACTTTGTGGGTTACCACAAGACGTAATTCTGACGCCGGAAGAGCGCAGTGGTAAAATCATGTCTGCCGCATATGCAAAACCTGAAAATGTTCCAGAAAACTATACAAAGAAGCTTTCAGATCTTGGATCTGAAAGCAAGATGTGGCTCATCTTGGCTCGCATCAGAGAAAGTGATGGCTTCAGAGTGAGATGGATGAGGGGGAAGGGGGGCGGGATGGGATTAGATGAAGAGGGAGGGAGGGAGAACGGATGAAATGGGATGCCAGGAACGAGAGAGAGAAAGGCGAGGGAGGCCAGGAGAAAGGTATCAAGGGAGGGGGGAGGGGGGGCACATGTGCGATTTAGATGCTGGGGAAGAAAGTGAAACGTGATCACGCTTCAGCAGGTATACGGCAGCACTTTCCATACTCCCAGCGAGGAGCTGGGAAGGGAGGCCCCAGAAAGGAGTAAAAATGAAGAACGGAGAAGAATTTTAGGTAGTGTGGATGAACTAGGAAAGCAAGGGGAAGGGAAAGGCGGGAGGGAAGGGAAAGAGGAGTGCCAGAGGACAGGGAATAGAAAGGGACGAGAAAGTATAGAAACAAAGTACACGGAAGAGACCAGGAACAAAGTGGTGATGGGAATGGAGATGCAGTGAACGACAAATTGATAGACGAAGAAGTATTAGAAAGGGAATGGAGGAGGGAAAGGGAGGAGAGACAGGTATGAATTGGTAAAGAGGGATAAATATGCCCTGAAGAGATTAGACGGTCAGGGAGGAAGTGATGGAGAAATGGGTAGAGAAAGGCATTAAGTAGCATAACAAAGTCAAGAAATAGGCAGAGTAGGGACAAAATAACCCTTGTGAGAGAAAGGGATGAGCAAATGAAGGAGAAGAAAAGGAAGGCAGCAGTCGGCAGAGTAGGAGAGAGAAATGGGGAGGACCGGATGGGAATGGAAATGGGCGATAGAGAAGTAGGGGGCAAGGATTGGGTGTGTAAAGGGGCTGGAATGGTGATCCCCTGGAGGGTATTAGGGCAGAAGGGTAGGGAAAGGGAGGAGCAAGGAATATTGTGCTGGGAAGGGAATAGGAGCAGAACGAACATAGGGACAGAGGCAGGGTAGCTGGAGAGACAGGATAGGGGGGCCCAGGGAAGGTATCTGGGACAGAGGTATCTGGGACGTTCCATGATTCCTCAGAGTCATGGAACGGGCAATTACAAGGATGATGTTTTAAGGTGACGAATAGGAACACCAGAGGTGACGGAACACCAGGGGGGTGACGGAACATCATGCCTGGGTCGCACAAAAAAGGAACACAGGAACGTTAAGGGTAAAGGAACAAGGAAAGGTACGAATGGAGAAAGTAGAGGAAGGGAAAGGTAAGAGCGAGAGAGGGGTGGACGAGGGAATGTCAGGAGAAAGGAGGGGGAGGTTATGGGGGAGGGAGGGTACAAAGGGAAAGGGGGTAATGTGCCAAGCGGGAGGGAGGGAGGGAGACAGAATAGAGGAAGGGAGGCAGAGGGAAGAGAGTGTAAAATAGGATTAGGAATAATGGGAGAAAAGGATAAGAGGGAAGGGGAACAGGGGAGGATAGAAGGAATATGAAGGGAGGGAGTGCAAGAAAACAAGGGGGGTAAAATACAGCGTTGAAAGGAGAAAGTTAAAGGTAGAGGGAAAGGTGTTTTAGAATGGAAGAAAGGTAGTGGAAAAGGGAGAGTTGAGGGAAGAAAGGGTTATATGACGGTGAGATAAATAGAAAAAAACAGGAAAGAAATAAGCTTTTATAAAATAGAAACAAATGTAAGAAAGGAATAATTAATAGTTCGAGAGGATAAATGGCAGAGCTGGGGCGTTGGGTACGAGTTAACGGGAAAGGAATGTGTGCTTGATGGAAAAGAAGGGAAGGTAGAGTATGAGGTGCACAATAAACTAATCGTCGCTGGCGGCCACAATCTATAACTCAAAGTGAGAAAGAACAGACCGTTAAGGGCGAAGGGAAGATTAATAGGGTAAGAAAGTACACTGGGAAGAATAGAGAAAAGAAACGAGGAGTCGAGAGGACAGAAGAGGAAAGACAGAAAGACAAATATAAGTAACGTTAACAATATCAGAATGATGATGATGAAGAATCAAACGAGAAAGGAACAATAGGACTACATAGTAAGCACCTAAGTTTACGGGAGCCGGTCGGCCGAGCGGACAGCACGCTGGACTTGTGATCCTGTGGTCCTGGGTTCGATCCCAGGCGCCGGCGAGAAACAATGGGCAGAGTTTCTTTCACCCTATGCCCCTGTTACCTAGCAGTAAAATAGGTACCTGGGTGTTAGTCAGCTGTCACGGGCTGCTTCCTGGGGGTGGAAGCCTGATCGAGGACACTAAAAAGCCCCGAAATCATCTCAAGATAACCTCAAGATAACCTCAAGATAAGGGAGACCAATAATAGTGCAACTGGTTATATACAACTCTTCTTAACAATTTTAACAACCATTAGAAACTTAAAAAGCCCTTCATGACGTGATATCTCGACTAATTACAGAATCACCGTCAAAGTGGGCAGCATAGCAAGCGTCAACAACCAGCCAATAAAAGAACCTAGCGGTTAAACCACCTATTAACGACGGAAATTGGTCAATAAGTAACAACCTCGAAGGTCTAATTGGCAGTCGGTAACGGTACAAACAGGTGTTGAGTTAAAGATGAAAAGGTAAAAAAAGTTCTTTATATATATATATATATATATATATATATATATATATATATATATATATATATATATATATATATATATATATATATATATATATATATATATATATATATATATATATTGGTGTATACTGGCAGCAGGTTTTCTTTCAAACATGTCTCATTGAATATGACCGCATATTCTGTATTTACTATCTTCTGATTTAGGGCTTCTATCCCTCTAACTATTTTCTTAGCATCAGGGCTTAGCTGAAATAAATGCTAGACATTCTGTCTAGCCTGTTTATCCAGCCTGGCAGTCCGTCTAGTGTCGTTTATCTACCCTGAACGTATTCAGGGGATAGCGTGTAACACACACGAATGGCTATCGTGATCAGGGGGTTCAGTTATCGTTGTAAGAGATCTCATTTACTGCACGCAAGCGCTTGTAATCGTATTCAATAAATTCTAGTTGCTCGTTATCGCATTAAAGGGCCCATAAATGGTGTAGGTACTGTGCGCAAATACAATGGATTAACCTGAGAAGCTTAGAGACTAAGCTAACTGTCGCGTCTTAAGAAAGCTGTAAAGAAGGAACCAAGTCGTTCGAAGTATTGATACCGCACGCTTAATTAACATTCTAAAGTGGCAGGCGGGATGGGCTATTTCCGAGCACGTTCGATTTAAAAAATGATTGTTCTTGTTCAAATTTCTTATTAAGACCACTCAATAGCTCAGTCGATAGAACTTCGATCTCACACGCATGGGGTCCCAGGTTCGAGTCTCCTAAAACCTAGATGAATGGACTGTTCAATTTCTTATTGTGCAGTAAGTAATTATCTAAAGGAGGCACCAAGCCAGGCTGACTATTCACAACAGAGTTGGAGTAAACCAATTCTTTGATCCCAGCTGTTGCCGGCCTAAGCTAACACATACACACACACTCTGTCTTGGAGTGAACTTACTTTCACTCAAGTCTTCCTCTATCATCGAGAACAACCGATGCTTGGGGCGCTAATATTCTCTCGGTGTTGTTTAAAACTGTACTTATTTTCAATCAAGAAGCATAATATTTGGCAAGATATTTTGGCTAATTATTATAATATATTACTGTATATATATATATTGATATTGTTGAAAATGTTAAAATACCATTGACTTATAAGACAACAATTTTAATACTATATTACCACAAGTACTTAAGAATCAACGTAACTACGTAGCCGATCGAGCGCAAGAATAGGCCCATTTTCAACTGTGTTGAAAGTAGTGATATTTAATCTTGCGCCATTGAACTAGACAATAGAAAATAAATAGTGTTGTATGGTTGTCTGGTCTCTCGAAATAGAAGTCTTGTGGTCTCGATCGCTCTCGCAATTCGCTAGTGACATGCATCATTTACGAAGTTTATTTTTGTTTCAATGTATTCCCAATCTGTTCGTTGACAGTCTATCCAGTGTGGTAGATACACTGAGACAGCCCACAGGGTGTGGCAGGTATACACAGCCCACAGGGTGTGGCAGGTATACACAGCCCACAGGGTGTGGCAGGTATACACAGCCCACAGAGTGTGGCAGGTATACACAGCCCACAGGGTGTGGCAGGTATACACAGCCCACAGAGTGTGGCAGGTATACACAGCCCACAGAGTGTGGCAGGTATACACAGCCCACAGAGTGTGGCAGGTATACACAGCCCACAGAGTGTGGCAGGTATACACAGCCCACAGAGTGTGGCAGGTATACACAGCCCACAGAGTGTGGCAGGTATACACAGCCCACAGAGTGTGGTAGGTATACACAGCCCACAGGGTGTGGCAGGTATACACAGCCCACAGGGTGTGGCAGGTATACACAACCCACAGGGTGTGGCAGGTATACACAGCCCACAGAGTGTGGTAGGTATACACAGCCCACAGGGTGTGGCAGGTATACACAGCCCACAGGGTGTGGCAGGTATACACAACCCACAGGGTGTGGCAGGTATACACAGCCCACAGGGTGTGGCAGGTATACACAGCCCACAGAGTGTGGCAGGTATACACAGTCCACAGAGTGTGGCAGGTATACACAGCCCACAGAGTATGGCAGGTAAGCCCAGCCCACAGGGTGTAGTAGGTATACACAGCCCACAGAGTATGGCAGGTATACACAGCCCACAGGGTGTAGTAGGTATACACAGCCCACAGAGTATGGCAGGTATACACAGCCCACAGAGTATGGCAGGTAAGCCCAGCCCACGGTATGTGACAAGTGCCTTGCGGTGTGTGCTGGAGCGGGAAGACCCCAGAGGCGCTAAGCTCCCACCCTCCACCACCACCACTTTCACTACCGCTACCACACGTCGCCGTCTCAGTTGCATAACCAACACCAGCCTGCACGGTATGGCACTACAAGCTGCGCTATTTTAAAAAAAAGCCACAACGGGAGATGACGATTCACGCGGAATCTGATGTTGAAATTTTGAAGATTAGGCTGCGACGTCACGATTTATTTGCGACATTTAATTAGCTTGAATCTTTAGGCGCAGCGACAGTCACATCTCTTGCTCAAAAAGCCTGGCACTCGATAATCAAGTTGCGCTCTCGTTAAGACTGAAGTACTAACGTTGATAACCAAAATGGACGGTGTTAAGATGAGCGGGAGAGACGAGAGCAACGCCGCCATACACTGCACCGCCCGGCCAAACGTTCTCAGTAAGCTTATACAGTAGATCCACCGCAAACTTTGCCACAAGCAGGACGATTTATGAAAATGTGAGTTTGAACAGGGCAGAAGTTGTCACTCACGGAGGGCGAGAAGGGGCGTAGTAACTCGACGTATCATGGTGCACTCCTGAGGTCTCGGACCAAGGGCCACCTATACTTATATACCTGGTGACAGCGCATGCGCAGGAGGTGGCCGTGGTGTGCGCCGCGCACCTCCACAGCCCCGGTCACTTTCACCTCCGCAAGGGTCGAGGACGCCATACCAGTTTTGACCCCTGCACTAACCTCTTCCTAACCTCTTTTTGACCTCACAAGTGGGTCATCAACAACAGGCACACAACCAACTCAAAACTCCTCTAAAAAATCTGGACGTTGAAGGCAGTGACGAGGCTAGGAAAGTGTGAGGAAGGGGGCGGAGCGTTGCTAGCTCCGCCCCCCTCCTGCCATGCCAGCCGCTAGCTGGTTTTCAGATGGTTCTAGAAAACAGGTCCCGCGTTCCCAGCCAGGACACCCTTGACGGGACAAACCCTTCTGTTCTCACAGGCAGGACAAGTTATTGTTCAACATTCCTAGGGACAACAAGTCCTTCCTACTCACAACTGTACAACCTTCCTAGAATACTCCTAGGATAAGTTTCTCGATTCCGACAGCATAACCTTTCAAGGACAATAGAGGTTGAGTTGGAATTTTAATAGTCCTCTCAGCCCAAGTCTTTGGTACACGTTGAACAGAACAACATTTCCAGGATATCTAGGTTGGTGTCAACAGGTAGGAAAACATCTCAGAGACAATAACCCAATGTCAACAATATCTTTTTCAGGACATCAAGGTAAGTGCTCACAGGCAAGATAACCTTTCCAAGATATCAAGGTCGATGCCCACTGGCCAGAAAACCTATCGCGAAGAGCTAGTATGACGCACACAGGCATGTCGTCCAGCACATTACAGTAAATATAGTGGCTGTAGACAGATCAACCTCTTGAGAAGAGTTAATCCACTACTAACATGCAAGGCAACCTACTCAGGAGAGAGAGATGAGCTCACGGGCAAGACATCTTGCCCCGTACAGCATATTTAGGAAAAACAGGCAGGACAACCCAAGTAATCTTCCAGGCCAACACCGGTAACCTGGAATGAGTAATTAACTATTCGGCTTTTTTCTTCCGCTGTGCGATGTACTGAAACTAAGCAGCAAACAGGCTTACAATAAGGGCAAGAGTGGGCTCCAGAAGTTGAGGAAAGACAGAAAAATGTAACGAGAATGAAGTGATAAACAGAGAGTAGATGGTAGATGATTGACAGGCAGGCAGACAGACAGACAGACAAACAGACAGACAGACAGAAAGACATACAGACAGACAGACAGACAGACAGACAGACAGACAGACAGACAGACAGACAGACAGACAGACAGACAGACAGATAGCAGTAAGAACATGTCAGCTGTTCTAAGGCGTCATTAGGAAGTCTTGCGGCAGAGGTAAACATGGGGGTCCCGCAGGGCTCCACTTACGCGTAGGACCACTTCTATTTCTTCCTGGCTGTGTTCTGTCACTTATGGCATTATACAAAGCGCAGACATTTGCACAGATACTTCACGTTGATCCCTTACTGATATTCCGATGCCGAACCTATGTATCTGTTACTGTCTCTATAACGCATTTATAAAATGTTTACATATCTTGACCTAGTCTCAGAGTTCATCTATACTGTATTTTCACAACTCATTCCATTTTTAATCAGTATATTTTGTGAGATTTTTTCCCGATTGAGAGACATAGATGAGGAAACAAGAGGCAGAGATAAGATAATACGCAGAGACAAAGGCAGATAAGCAAGATCATTCACAGAATTAGTAAGAAAAACTAGATACAAAGATGAATACGGAAGATAGAGAGAGAAAGAGCCAGAGACAACTGGAGACTGATAAAAACAAAACAAAAAAAACAAGCGAAGTTTCATTTTCTTGGTACTGAGAATCATCCAGGTAAGAAGAATTTGTTTGGTAACTTCTTGGTATTAACGAAGAAGGGAGAGAGGGAGGGGGAAGAAGAGGAAAAAATGTTCAGAGAAAGAAGGAAGGAGGAGGAAGAACTACGTTGGAAGAAGTATATGGTATAACTGTAGCTTGAGACTTGGAGTAGAATCTACGTGGCTATATTAAGAGGGCTAGAGAGAGTGTATATATATATATATATATATATATATATATATATATATATATATATATATATATATATATATATATATATATTATTAAATATGACCGAAAAAGTAAGATTAATAATTCTAACACGAATTTTCTCAATCTTTCGTACATTACGCTTCACTGTTGGAGGTAAATCAAAAATCACTTCTCCAAAATTCAGAGGATACAACTGACAATTTACTATAAAACCAGAAAAACGGCCAGCCTACTCATGAGAAACTCTCCAGACACAAAACAGAACGCTTTAAAAGAGACTAATGTCGTCTATGCCTTCAAATGCCCACTTGGGGACTGTAAGCTCCAAAAAACCCAGTATATAGGCAAGACAACAACATCTCTTTCTAGGCGTTTAACGATGCATAAGCAACAGGGCTCCATTAAGGAACATATAATCTCTTCCCATAACCAAACCATTGCCAGAGAAATCCTAGTAAACAACACAGAAATCATCGATAGATACAGCGATAGCAGGCGGCTTGACGTTTGCGAGGCACTACACATCAAGAAGTCAACACCAGCAATCAACAGCCAATTATTGCACAACTATATTCTACCCACCTCAAGACTCCGCTCCAATATAGAAGCATCAAGAAATATGGACCAATAGGCTTTCTACAAACACTTCTATTCAATACCCATTGTTTCTGTTCTGTCTTGTGTTGATACTTTTAATACCCTATTAATATCCCCTCCTGTTCTGTCTTGTGTTAATGCCACATCACCCTTACCACCTCACTCAAATGTAGATATAAAATCAGAGATACGTTCTAATCAGTTGTGTATTTGTGAAGTCTTTGAAAATGTAATAAGTTTTACGAAACGCGCCCGTGTCGCGTCAGACTAGAAATAAAAATGAATTTTGGAGAAGTGATTTTTGATTTACCTCCAACAGTGAAGCGTAATGTACGAAAGATTGAGAAAATTCGTGTTAGAATTATTAATCTTACTTTTTCGGTCATATTTAATAATATATGTCTACAGGAAAGACTGCTACCAAAATATACTAATATATATATATATATATATATATATATATATATATATATATATATATATATATATATATATATATATATATATATATATATATATATATATATATATATTTATTTTGCGTTTGAATATAAATGAATACGCTCAGGCAAACTCAGATTTCTACTTTTTTTTTTATCGAAACTACTGACGGTTTTAGCCTCCATCATCTTGTCACTTAGTTTGTTCCAATCGTCTACCACTTTGCAAAAGACAATTTTCTAATATTTTTTACGACACATGTTTTCTTAGCTTGAATCTGTGTCTTCTTGTTTACCTTCCCCGTGGTGGCGGCCATCTTTGATATTGACGGTCATTTGTTGCGGAAAATATGATTTTCCAACACAGATTGTTCACTCAATTTCATTAATTTCTTGAATCTTATTTACTGTTAAACTTTCCTATATCTTTATGTAACCTGGATCACCACTTACAGCCCTTCAACCTGTTCCCAATACTTAGGCAATTTGATATTCCTGGAGCCTGCTGCAATGTTGCCTGCCTCTTGGCGCTGCTGCTGCTGCTGCTGTGTGTGTGTGTGTGTGTGTGTGTGTGTGTGTGTGTGTGTGTGTGTGTGTGTGTGTGTGTGTGTGTGTGTGTACTCACCTAGTTGTGCTTGCGGAGGTTCTCACACACACACACACACACACACACACACACACACACACACACACACACACACACACACACACACACACACGCACACATACTCACACACACACACACATTGGCTCAGGAACCTGTACACCTGTTGATTGACGGTTGAGAGGCGGCACCAAAGAGCCAGAGCTCAACCCCCCGCAAGCACAACTAGGTGAGTACACACACACACACACACACACACACACACACACACACACACACACACACACACACACACACACACACACACACACACTTTCATATAAATAGAATAACGTCGGCTGCATACTCTACGCTAGCAAAAGTCAGAGAGCATCATTCAGAAACTTGAATAAGGAGACTTTTAGATCACTGTATACCGCCAATGTGAGGCCAGTCTTAGAGTATGCCGCCCCATCGTGGAGCTCCCATCTTCCTTGTGTGTTTACACAAGGAAGTTCGAAAAGGGGTAGAAGTTTGCAACGAGACTCGTCCCAGAGCTCCGAGGGGTGAGGTGCAAAGAGAAACTGAAGGAACTAAACCTGACGACGTTAAAAAGGAGGAGGGAGAGGGAGGACATGATACAGACATATGAAATACTTTTTAGTATTTTAGAGGCAGCAGAGGCAGCTCACCACCACTGGAGTGAAGCAACCACACCACCACTGGAGTGAAGCAACCACACCACCACTGGAGTGAAGCAACCACACCACCACTGGAGTGAGGCAACCACACCACCACTGGAGTGAAGCAACCACACCACCACTGGAGTGAGGCAACCACACCACCACTGGAGTGAGGCAACCACACCACCACTGGAGTGAAGCAACCACACCACCACTGGAGTGAAGCAACCACACCACCACTGGAGTGAGGCAACCACACCACCACTGGAGTGAAGCAACCACACCACCACTGGAGTGAGGCAACCACACCACCACTGGAGTGAAGCAACCACACCACCACTGGAGTGAGGCAACCACACCACCACTGGAGTGAAGCAACCACACCACCACTGGAGTGAAGCAACCACACCACCACTGGAGTGAGGCAACCACACCACCACTGGAGTGAGTCAGCGAATGGGAGGGACAACCTTCTGGAAACTTAACAATGAACCAGTCTTGTGACCTTGTTTATAATGGATCACAGTTATTCCTTGTGTCCTATCTGTCTATGTTTCCCATCTGTTTCTATGTCCCTGCTTGTCGCCTTGTTTATCTGTCTCCTTGCTTGCTTGCTTGCCTCTGTTTACATGTTTGTGTCATTATGTTTTAGTCTCTGCTTGTCTCTTGTGCTGTGGCTTGTCTGATTATGCCCTTGGTACGTATGTCAGCATGTCAGTCATTCAATCA